GTGCACGATCAATCTTACACAAAGTAGTTCTTATTCCTTACATATATTTCACAAATGCAACATCGGTTATTATTGAGTAGTTAAAGTATTTTATAGTAATTTGTACTTTGTGCTTCAAAATTGAAAAAAAACAGTTTTGAGGTATTACAAAAACCGTTGGCAGAGAACTGGAAATGAACTGTTTACAAACTTCTAAATTAATCTACTCAATGATCAAGTAATGCATTTACAGGATTAAAATAGTGTTTTATAAAGCTAAAAAGTTCAAAATTTATATTTAAATAATTTTTAAGATAATAGGTAAACCTCTGACTAAAACGGCCGACAAAGTTATGACATACTAAATTTCGCGTGCAGTTATGCGATAAAAAGTAGATTATGTTCTATTCCAGACCATTAAAATAAGATCGTGGACTAGTAGTAGTAAGATCAAATCATCATCATCGACAGCCTTTAGTAGTCCACTGCTAGACATAGGCCTCTCCTTAGAAAGAAGGCTTTGGCCTACTATACCACGCTGGCCAGACGGGTTGGTATAGGGTTTGTTTCAAGTTTTCCTTCTCTTTGCAGTGCTGTTGTCCTGTGTAGTTTGCTCCCTTAGTCGGCGCTTACGACACCCACGGGATGAATAGGGATGGTGACTCTTTGTATTCTTAATCCGTCACCATACAGACAAATAAATGTGACATAATACTAATTATATTTATTTATTATAGAAAATTTGCACAGTTCGGCACGCGACACGCTAACCCACATATCTACTCGTATAGTTATTCATGCGTGATAAACGCAGTTGTTCGCGTGTGCAAACATAAGTAGCATTAAGCAGAAATCAATTCTCTTGTCTCGGCTAAACGATTAAAATTACAAACCGTCTCACTCGAATTCTTTCAAAACTTATAGTTACAACACGGCTCGCAATCGTAAATCCACTATATCCGTCTTACTCATCTTAAAGATTTTGTTTGAAACATTATATTTGTTTCCGTCTGCTTTAATAGTGTTAATATTGTAGTGCGCACGATAACTAGGTACTAAATTACATTAACATTCATGTTAAAAGCCCATTGAAGTCATTATACATAATTATTACTGGTAAGTTTGGATTCAAAATTAATAAATTAATTGTCAAGTTGCGGTGCGACCCGGCGCTGGCGACAGGCACCGCGAGAATTCGTGATGGAGTCGTTAGCGCAGTAACTAGAGCACCGAATGAAACCGCGAGGATAAAACACAAACTAGATCTACGCAGTTTGCATACCTACCTGACAGACTTTTGTGCTCTGTTTCCCTGCCACAATTAGCTACTGTCAACGCTAACGCTAAAAACACATACATGTAGCGACACAGAATAAGAAACTGTAACGAAACACTAAACTCCTGAGTAGAAACCTCTATTTTCATTTTGCCACACTTAAAATAATGGCTCGTTGATCTATACTTTGAACATGTTATTTGCACCTCATAATGATTTCGTTTGGAATCCTGTCCGCGCTGTTACGACAAAGAGACTATGAATAATAACTTGGCCAATCCTTGTGAAATTGTTTTAACCCTACATCGATTAATTGAACCATATTTGCCGGATAGAGAAAAGTTGCTTTTTCCGTTTTCTCTCCTTAAGTGTAAGCTATTTGTTTATTCATCAACAGATTACATAGTATTTGAAATTTGATAATTAATTATATCCTCAGGCAACCTATTATACAGTTGTACCGCTTGATATCTAGCAGATGCATGTATGTGTAATTGTGTGCATGCGATGATTTTAGCATGAGCTATTTCTCGTGTCTGAATGTGTACGAGTTTCTCTCGATATGAGTGTAATATAAAACTTAGGTTTTCGTTTAGAATACTCATTAAGTCCGTAATATCCATGTTTAATGTATCAACCTTCTATAGCTTGCCTGGCAATATCGATTGATGTTTGACTTTATACTGTTTTTGTTATTTCTTGACTTTATATTGAATAGGGTAATCGTAAAAGTTGGACTATAGGAGACTATATAGACTATTGGACTACGGGGTCGAAATTAAATGATCAAATAATAATTCTAAAGTAGGTAGTAAATCTGTATAATGGACTGCTTTATCAAGTTTAATTCCTTATACAATGTATGTACATTTTAATAAAAGTGATACTTGAAATTGATAGAGGTGTATAAATTTTGCGCCATTTAATATGTAACTAGGTCAAAAGGCAGGCAGTACTCTATATATTATAGCAATTATATGTTTAAACTCAAACGAGTACCTACCTGGTTATAATTTCTGTATTTAAGGTACGGTCATTATTATTCAATATTTCTTAATAAAGTTGATCGTAAAATTAAGTACATCCGTAGTTAATATTTAGTTTATAGTAAATCTATAACAGTGTTAATTTAATGAAATAACTCAATATACAAACTAATATATTTTGAAGATCCTTGAATGATATACATATAAAGGTAAGAGAGATGAAAATCGTAGGAATAGCTATAGAGATTAAATGATTGAATTTAAACTGAATGTCCTGGAAAACCTATATTTCATAGAATGAATAATCGACTGTTTTACGAAATAAGAAATTAGCCCATTGTAATATCTAAAATTAAACACAATAAAGGACCTAGGTGTCTAGTCTTACAATTCTCTAAAAGACGAAGGTGCAATTTGTTTTAGAGGGGAGGTACAGGAACTATTTGTGACTACTTTATATCTATGTATAATAAATTCACGAATTATTCATTCAGGTGACACAATTCTGTGCAAAGAAAACAGGAAACGCCAATACGAGGGCTATTATCCTACCGAACAACGAGCTCGATAACCTTGCCCCATATTTTGCAGACCTACCTAGAATTAGGTCGCTGTAATCACCTGCATTCACTCCATACTCACCGAAGATAACCATATCGCTACTTATGTTGTCATGTCGTCCTTGATCTGTTTAGTTTATACACATATACCAACCGTTACTTTCTACGCCGGTCGATTCATAAACTTGAAAAAAATAGTATTGAACTAATTGTTTTTTTTTTAAAGTCTTACAGGTTACGGTTAGACCGATAGGAGAAACTAAAACATTATCTAAAGACAAAATAATGAATCAAAGTCATGAAAGCCTATTCTATTCAATTTTGCAAACTATAAATTACAATAACCTTTTAATAGTGGGCCCGATAGTTTTTTGTCATAACATGGACAAATAATTATGAAAATAATTTATTAATTGGGACGTGTTCCTAAGAACCACGCCTTCCAATTGTGAATAAAAAACACAAATACAAAACTGTTCCTTAAATTTTGCGTAACTACAATATATTTACTTTCGTTTTTTAAATAATTTGCAAATATTTATTTTAATTTACCATTACATTAGCAAACAACCATATCAAACAACCATATGTTAATGTCATATCTTATGACTTGCCCAAGAATCTTAAAATCAGAAGCAGTTCCATTGTTTGTATGACATGTATGTTTAATTAAAATATATCATGTATATTTCAAATCGTTAAATGGAATGAAGAATTGGGTTATTGTAAGCCAGCTTCTCGCGTTGGCATTATAGTAGGCACCTTTTTTTTTTTTTTTCCGTGCGGAAATCCCCTCGGATACCACCTGTCGGTGGCATGTCGGACTCGAACCGACTAAAACCGGGGAACCAGGAAAGGAAGGTGCATTATAGTAGGCACCTATTCCAGGCTAAACCGCACTTGTTACGATGTTTAATGTGCTGGTATTTGTGTATTTTTTTTGGTAATAATAGAATATAAACTACTATTGCATTTCTACTATCTTAATTCAGTACACGTAATTACAAAATAAATACACACCTTTCCCTGAAAAATCAAATCTTTAGACTTTAGAACCGAGAACACTGTAAAATATCAACTAAAACATTTTTTAAGATTGAAATTATATGTAGGTTTATGGTATTATCTAGTATTATAAAAATGTTTTGCATATGAACTGAATAATAAGTACTTACTTTATGTTCCTCACTCAACCCAAAGGTTGACTAGTAGATAATGCCTTTTGGCATGCAGTCCGTCCCGTCTAATATAAATAGTCCATACAAACAGTCAAGCAAAATGGTTTACATTTCTATCATTAGTTGGGTAACAATTATTTGACGCACTCAGAGCCATTATAATTACTTTATCTATCATACTGAATAATTTATTAATCTTCCATCATAACATACGACAAAATCGCATTGCTGTCGATTTGGATCTACATGTAATGAATGAATTAAAATCAAATACCTATTAACAATAAATTTAACTAATGTTTAGATTCGCAACAATATTAAATTTTATATAATTATGTAACTATTAACTGTAATAAAAATTAACACAATAAAGGATTAACAGAACTTTATAAAGAATTACACCCAATTGTTCCTGTCATAAAATATTAAACTGTAACCACCTACAGATAAGTTTATGCAATATGGAAAAATATATTAAAATATGTTTCAACAAGACGTTATCTTTATATAAATGTTTCATGTAGGCAATGGTGGCAATGATTCATATTTTCTTTGATTATATCAGTGACTTGTAAAATTAGCAAAATATGAGTCTTATCTATTAATAGAGCTTGTTCCAGCGTTCTGGAGATATTGGTAGAGTCACTACACTTGTCACTTGTGGCTTTCAGAGAAAACTGAAAATTAGCCAATTCATATTTACCTAGTACATTCAATATACAAATTTGCGACTTTATATTATATTTAAAAATTAATATACTAATATTATTTTAAGGGTACAATTTTAAGACATATAAACACATTTAATTTTTTGTGTTCTCAGCAACGTGTAATGATCAAATTTAGATGTAAATAAAGTTTAAATTTATCTTTGCTTATATATATATAATGTGTTCAGCATATCTATAGTCTTTCGTAAAAATCGCAATTAGGTATACAAAAAGAACGCCGAATGAATCTCGGTAGTAGCCGTTGTAGGAAGTAATTTTATAATAAAGTATCATAATTGAACTTTACTCACCTATAGTTTTCAATATTTGAAGGTCTTCCAGTTCGTACTCCTTTTCTTCTTCAGTGTATTCCGACTCCGTAGTCGTAGAGTCCTGTTCCTCCGTAGAGGAGGCCACCGACAGGGACCGCACGTCTGAGCTCAGCTCCGAGCTGCAATCCCTCACCATTTTCGCACTAGCCATCATCATTTTCATAAAGCCAAAGTCACAATTGGGATACCAAAAAAATTTATTAAAGTCTTAAGTAGGGAGGAAATTCAATTCATACTTTTCGCTTTTCTAAGACAATACACATTGCAAACCTTAGTTTATTATTAAAAAAAAAAACAGTTTGTGAAAAGAATATTTAATTAATATTCTCGTAAAGATTTGCGCGGTTGTACTGCACGCTCGAATGACGAAACGTACCGTACGCGCTGCGGCTTGTGTCTCACTGTGGCTGAGCGCGGCCTCGCTTCGTTAGCTTCACCGCGGAGCCAAACGAGACGTGATTCAAGACGGTCACTATAAAATAAACGCTGACAAACTCTTGTTTCTGTTTCTCAATGTTGCCGACAAAGTCAACTATGTCTTTATGTAAAGAATGACCATTTTGACTTATTGAACAGTATTTTGTCCATGAAGAATGAAAGTTTTAAAATATTAATAAGTCCAAATATATTAGTTTCTTGTTCTGCGATTTAAAAAACACAGCATTTCTCTTTTTTTCTTTATAAATAACTAATTCAATTTGCGATCGGCAAATCGAAACAATCGACGTTAAACATACCTAATTAAAACATTTATTTCACACTACCACCCGACACTTTCTGCGAATAATAACGTTAATATGTTTTTCTACAATAAAAATGTAACAAAGTGTTGTTTAGATCGGAAAATATCGATTTCTTCAAACCGACGATACAAGTCAACTGCTAACTGCTAACACAAAATGAAGGGACTCAAACCCAATTTGAGCTCGAGCTGCCAAATTGGTTTGCGAATATTATTTACATCTACGTCTCGACCTGGAACTGAAAATATAATCAAGGTATCTATGGTTCGTTTCCTTGCGCGACGGACATTCAGAACTATAAAGTTTAAGACTACAAAGTCCTTAAAATGTAAACCATTCAATAACTATAATCACAAGTTGGGAACTGCAGTAGTGGTCAACGGTCATACATCAATCATTGGAAGTTGATTTACTCTACAGAAAACTACTGTTTAAGAAACGTATAGGGAATATATAGAATTTCTCTAAAGTAAATAGGCTCTTAAACTTCCAAGGCGAATGAACTAGTTGTTTACCACCTTAGTTGTAAAAAAAAAACTTTCCTGTCAGAACTAAGCCATGTTACATTATTTTCGATTGAACACGCACATGGATATTAGATTAGGTAAACAAATATGTTTCTTTGATTCGACATTATTTTGATAAGGAACAACGACATTTTTCACCCTTAAGTATCTACTTTAATCATACAATGCGACATTTAAACCTTCAAATATCAAAATGATCTGCTTAGATGCTGTTTCATTATAAAATAGTGTACCTATATTTAGTATATTTATATGCTCTCAATTGAAACAGACGACACTGCCGTTAATTCTTAAAATATACAAACAAAGTGCATTCTAACAAAAGCATCACAGTTGGACAAGCGCTTAGAAAAAGAAAGAAAATTATATATAACTGGCTTCGCCCCGGGTGCAATGTAGATATAACTAATATCAGCAATGTGGTGTCGGTGTGGAGTAAATAAGTATACTATTATTATGATGAGACAGGACATTTTTATACGCAATGTTTAAGGGCCCGCTCCTGTCACCCGCTGCCCCCCGGGGCAGACATACCGCCCGACGCGGCGACGGCCGCTTTGTCCCCGCTGTTTAAATCTGAGATATCTTCTAAGATATTCATTTTAATGATATGCTGTGAGAAGCAACTTTGATCTACATTTAATTCACAAATTACCTAACGTATTTATTAGGAAATGGAATAAAACTATTACTCAAAATAGTTTCGTAAATTACCTATTATTTTTATAATAATTATGTAATAATAAGTTACTGTGGGTTATCCTTAGAAGATAAAAATATACCATCGAGGAATGTTTTGTAGATCTTTTTAAGATCTAGAATTCCGTAATACATTTTTTTCTACAAATCTTTGAAATCACCGGGTTTTCTCTAGTATATACATATAAATCCGCTTCTTGAATCACTCTCTGCCTTGCCCATTATGAATTTTGGCACTTGATTATTTGTGTTTTTTTGCCATAAATATATCTATTAAATGAATAGTACGATTAACGCATTAACCAAATACGCTGAAAACAGTAGCTGTAGAAGAAGCAAGCGACCTAATGTCTTAATCTCGAAATTTTATTCAAGAATTGTGTAACCACCTGTACCTACCAATTTAATACCGATATTATACTGTAAATTTTAGAACGTTACTTAAAGGGCAAATGTGCAAGGGCGTTTTTTGTAGCCATCCGAACTCGGTCGGGTTATTTATTTTTTATTTATTTATCACAAACACATCCCACACAATCCTGAGAGGAAACCCAATGCAGTTGTGGAACTACAACTATTATTAAACTAATTCAACACATAATTATATAATTTTAAAATAACAGAATAACAGTTTTAAAATAAAAGTTACGTACGAATTGTATTTTAGTTGTATTTCGTTAATTATTGTGTGTAAAGAAATGAAATTTGACATGTAAATAGTTGAATTAATGCACTAATTATTGGAATAGGTTTTATTACGCATTTTACGAAAACCAGGCAGGCTTTGTTTAGTTTCTCTTCGAGGTAAACGAAGTTCGTTGTTGAATGGTCGGTCCGGTTTCCTAATGTGTTCATTTCTTTATTTTGAATTTGAATAGGAATTTGTTTTGAATCCTCGCCTTTCGCCATGCATCCTTAAGCTCATATGCAATTCGAGGTAATGAACACGCAGGACCGTGGCAGCAGCAAGGTCCCAGGGTCGACTAGGACGTGGATGACGCGGGCTTGCCGGGGTTCTGCTAGGCTAGTGTTCCACTACCTAACACAGCAGATGATTTGCTTTTATTTTTAGGTAATGCTGATCTCATCAATTCTCATCAAGATCGAGCCCTAGTTTTCACCCAAAACAGATATGCTAATCATTGGCAATAACTTTTTTCCACTTTACACTAGTTCCCGTCTAGGGTCACGTAAGAATTTTTTTTTTTATCTTAAATTGCAATACAAAAGAAGTTAGTTGAAATAGCAATCCATATTAACTTGTATTACCATTATTTACTATGACACTGTTTATATAAAAGATAAAGAAGATGGATTCGGGTAATAAAACGTACGATGGATTTAGGTAATAGACTATGAAATAAAATCACAATCACCTGTGATAATAGTGTGGGTATAGTTTATAATCACACCTGTGACTAATTTACAAGACCACTGTGACTTATTAGATATTATTGTTACGTTAGCGCCAAGGTATAAATCTAAAAAAAAGGGCATAATCTTTGATAAAAGAAATTTTGATTGATTTTGATAGCATTTATCTTTGGCGGTGACCAAATCACAAACACAGGTGAAATCGCAGAGCCAATGACATATCTTTTCATCATATAATTATGATTAGTTTCCAGGTCTAATAAAACGTCTGGGTCGGTGTCCTGAATCTCGAGAAATCGAGGATCACAAATCCCAACTCCGCCAGGTCCTCGTGGAGGAGTGGAAGGAACGACTTGGGCAACCCAGTGGCACGCCGTTATCGCGGCGGTAAGACCCGTTACGGAGGATTGGCTCGAGAGGAATCACGGAACCATTTAATACCGGTTGACGCAGGTGATCACCGGGAAAGGATGCTTTGGAGATCACCTGTGTCTGATCCGCAAGGAGCCAACGCCTGAGTACCACCACTGCGATGGCCGGACCGTGGACACAGCGCTGGCAGAATGCCCGGCGTGGGTGGAGCAGAGGCGTTGCCTCGTGGCGGTCATCGGAGTGGGAACTCTCTCGCTCGGTAACATGATTGCCGCCATGGAGCCGAGAGTTCGTGGAACTCCGCCGTCTCCTTCTGCGAGCAAGTTATGCTTGCAAAGGAGATGGCGGAGCGGGACCGGGAGGTTTAGAACTCTCCCGGAGCGCCAGGCTCGGCAACGGGCCAAGTACCGCAGATTACTCCAGCGCCGGAGGTCGCAGAATGACCTCCGTCCTCCATAAGCAGGCCGCAAACAACAATGGTAGGTATGGCCATCTGTCACCCTAGCAGACGCAGGCCAGGGTGGTGGCGAGACGCGCTGCGAAGCGCGTACGACATTTCGGGAGCACAAAGGGGACATAGGGGTTCGGACACAGGAGGGGGTCATTTACACGCCGTAGATGGCCCGAGGTACGTCGGAGTATCAGGAATTTCCTACGTAAGGTACACCTGGTTTCCCGGCAACTGGTACCCAAGACTGCTGTGCTTTTTTAGTCGGTTCGAGTCCGACATAGCCACCGGTGGGTTACCAATCCGAGACCTTTTTTTTCTGTTTAAATCCTAAACAGAAAAAAAAATCTAATAAAACGCATTAAGAGTTAAATTTACAATATTTATTTTAAGCAACATTTCACATTCAGACAAGATATATAGTAGTTAAATAATAATATCACTGTGGAATCCGATATATACGCTTCTGATTTAATCTAGGAATAAATAAGTTACAACTACCCTAATTACAAAAACATTTTACAAGTGTAATTTTATTAACACTTGTGTTGTTAGTATGGCAAAATATACAGAGTAATTTGTGTGAAGGTAATTTTTAAAAAGGTTAAAAAGTCAAAAAAAAGCAAGTAAGTACATAGCACAAGAAGATTATGATATATACTTTTATTTGGAAATAAAATAAAAATTATGTACAATCTCAGTGATGATTTATTTACAAATGCGATGCAAACTTTTAAGATATAGTGAATCAATCGCATCATATCTGTAATTTAAAATGTAAGTACATGTGAACGAACGTTACAGTTTATCAATAATATGTTTTATAAAAAAGAAACGGTTCCATTATTATAAATAAAATCTTGATATATACGAATAGTAGGTAATAATAAACGTCTTACCCTTATTGTTTTCTTAATGTTTTTATGGTTAAGCTATGAAACACGGTGACAACAATTGTGGTTTACAGCCAAAGAGATTTAAATACTACCAGCGCAAGAGGTAACCTTCATTTTGAAGAGTGAAAAATTATTAAAATTGTATGTAGTGAAACAATTCGAAAAGGGTATATTGTTTAGTGATATAAGTCACATAAATATTTAACACAAATTGTATTCTAACCTAATTATACCGCGTAATACAGGAAGGATGTACCATTACGTACGTACGTATACGTAATACAGGAAGCATACCGTGGCAGCCTTTAATTAAGACTACCTTAACACATAAATTAGTGTAAGCCTTCTTGGTTTTCCTTAATAAAATTAATATTTTAGCATCATGGGTAACAAGCAGATAAGAAAACAGAGATGTACAATATTTTTCTTTATTATGCATGTTATCTGCACAGATTATAACAGGTTTTTTTTAATACTCGTGTATCTTTTAATAATTTCTGTGAACAAATATCTAACCGACGATCCCTCTTTATTGTAATTTTTATGCCAGTTCTGTCTTAGGAATTTAAATTTTAAACAGTTTAGAAATAATGTTTTGAAAAGTAAATTATTACCATAAAACCCTATTTGGACAAATATTGGTTTATCCGTCAATTGGATGACCTGTCCACTATACAGCTTAGTCAAATTCCACGCGATCGAAATCGCGGGCAAATGTTAATAAACAAAAAACTTTGATAAAACCGTAAACTCAAAATTCGCAAATTTAATAGATTTTTATCATAACACGATAATCGGTATACTACCTTGTTTTTTTTAAATATAAGATTAATAACAAGTATTAGATTAGCGAAGATTCTTGAATTACACATATATATATATATAAAGTATGAATTAATTAAGTATTCATATTTATTTATCTTAAACCGTCGTTAGAATTATGTTCCTTAAAGTATTAGTTCTAAAACTGAAGTTACGTCATTCTTCGATTACAACATACAGACACAAGGAACACATTTATTTACATCCGTAGCGTATGTTTCGCTTTACTTGCGTGCGATTGTTAATCTCGACCTACGGCCGTCCATCATTACGCTCGCTCGCAATTATGTTTTCTAAATCCAACTGAACTTATTTATTAGTGATAGTATTGGTTGTGAATTTTGTTTGCTAAATATTGATTAATGCTAGGTGATATTGTAAGAGTAGTGTGGTAACAGTCACCCAGAATAAAGATAACAGGCAATTCCAAAAAGCTTTTAAATAAATAGTCAAACTTATTTGGAAGACAATTTATTACCATAACTACCATTTATTTTTCACGACGCTAATACAGTAAGTACGCGTTTAATTTATAGCTAGTTCCCAATAAAGACACAGAGCATTTTTAATAGTAAAACATGTAAGAATTTACAATGTTCAAATATTAAGTATGAATATAATTTAATTTAGGCCAAAACCTCCTTTCTAAGGAGAGGCCTATGTCCAACAGTGGACTAGTAAAGACTATTGATGATGATGATAATTTAATTTCATAACCTTTATACTTTCTTCAGAGAAAAATGTGAAATAACATCATAAATGACTATTAATTTCAAACAACACAGACCCACCGACCCACATACGATGATAAGTTTGATAACCATTAATCATTTGTCATCTATAAATATACAAATGTTAAGTTAGTTTACACAAACCAACTTAATGCTTCAAAAACTCTAAAGTTCTGCACCAATTGAGCTCAAATTTTGGCACGGTATACAAATCGCTTCTAAGATTGTTTTTATCAATTTTTTTTTGTCAGATCATTTCTTTTCAATGCAACCTCTATGTACCATAGCCAAGCGTGGCAGGGTACAGCTAGTTTTACATCATTAATTCTGCTTGACCATCAAACCAAGTGTTGATTGTATGTCATCAGCATTTGATCCAGATGGTCAACTCGTCAACTGCCAATAGATAAAGCCATAATTATTATTTGTAGGATGCCCAGAGTTATTGTAACCTGTGATATACCTTGTGTCTGTATGTTATATGCTTTCTGTCTTTGGCATTTAAACATTACATAAAATGTTCTTCGAGTTATATTCATCTAGCTTCCCAGGCTTACATGCAATTTTTAAGGTGGACTATCGCGTAACTAAATATATTTATATTACATTTAGTCATAGATTACATACCCTTTATATACTGTTTAATTACATATTTGGTACACTATTAGTTTAAACTAGCCCTCTTTAAGAAGAATTTATGAGTAATGCATAGCTATTTCATTAGCTTAACTTTACATCGCAACTAATAGTTATAACTAATGCAAAATCATGAACCTTACAAGTAACATATCAGACATTCATGATAAATATAAGACCAGCGTGTGTTGCTATGGCCAATTTATGGTGGTTCTTGAAAGACGGGCAGAATGTCATTGATACAACATCAGCCAGTGGGAACCGCTCTGGGAATGCCTCTCGTGGTATCCCAGACAGTTTCTGCTGAGTATTCTGTAAGAAATGTTAAATTATATTACCAGTCTTCCACAAGGGTCTTCTTTATTATTATTATTATATAAGTATCATAATTATTGTTTATTGGGGACCACTCGGCTGAGATGTCGTCTTAACCTAGTGTGTTAGCACCTTCTTTCTTTCTTTCTTTCATGATATTTATATTTACTTTATATATATATATATATATATATATATATATATATATATATATATATATATATATATATATAATGAAGAGTTGTTGTTTACATTTACACAAGCCGATTATCAAATAGAAAATTAACATTCGATTAAATAGATAAATTTGCAAGACTAACTCGCGTGTTTTAATAAATGATATTTCTGTACCCAAATACATTATAATTTTGTCAATGTGTATTCAAGATATTTTTTATGAAAAATCTTATATTAATTTATGAGTTTTTGTTATTGTGTTCAAATGGTGTGGTATCCTATGTTCATATAGCTGTTAATAATATTTCGTTATTATTTGCAACATATCTTACCTTATCTTTGGCTGTGATCAGTTTGAATTCTATGCCATACTTTAGAACAGTGTCTTCGTATGTGAGTGGCTCCATTATCATAGATAATTCATCATTCTTTCTCTTCCTTTTATTGCCGAATGGAACCATTTGTAGCATCGCTATGATCTGTACAAATAGAATACAAAGGAATGAAACATGTACATTTATGAAAAAGTATTGCATATATTTTTTATACAAGAAAAACAAATTTTTTATGATCTTTTGTTATTTTTATAATTGTGTAATATACTTTTCTTTTTGGATTTAAGTTATAGTTTTCTAGTAATTTATTCCCATTTTTTAGGCCTAATATGTAAGTGCTTTTTGCTACTTTAGTTCACATGCTGTAGTCTCCTATAATTGAGGGAGTATATAGCGTATTTAATGTTTATTATAGACTCAAATAAATAAATAAAATAATGTCTAACATCTGTTACTGCATAACGCAGTTGCGTATTTTGCGTTACTCTATAATATAGAGTAACGCAAAATAATGGAAATTACTTTGAGCGAGATTCATATAGTCTATATGAATTTCATTTAAAGTAATTTCCATTAATAGTGACCGTTATCGACTAAAACACGCACAGACTATGTTGTTATACTCGCCACGACGGTATAAAATAAGTGAAAGTGCGAAAAGCGCAATAAGATCCGTAGACCGAGTGAGCACATTATGAGCCCTCGGTGGACGCGTGTGAGGCGAGGTCGATGGGTATGCGGGTACCTGTCGGTGCAGGTCGTCGTAGGCGGGGTGCGGGCGCATGAGGCGCACGAGCGGCGCGGAGGAGGCGGCGAGGCGCCCGCACCACGCGCACCCGCCCGCCGCGCGCATGCCGCCCACGCGCCGCCCCAGCCCGTACCACTCCAGCTCGTTCACGGCTTGGCTCACTGCGCACGCACGCATACGTCACGTTGGCATTCGATCATAACCGATTAGACGATTGTAGTTAAACGTTAATAAGTATTATATTAACTTTAGATAACTTATACGATACAAAGAATGTGTGTATGTGAGTGACTTATGACTCACGCATGCTTATGATTTTAAGTGTGTGTGAGTGGAATGATAAATAAAAAGGAAAGTAAAATTAATATAAATTCGATGGAAAAAAGCATCTGAGATTTACGAAAAAATTAGCGTGTTTGTAGTGTGTAGAGATAAGGAAATATAGTTACCGAGGTTGTCGTCGCCGGCGAGGAGCGCGGCGGGCCAGTGAGGGGGAAAGAGCACGCGCGTGGCGGCGGCGTGCGAGTGCAGCGCGCGAGAGCCCGAGCCGCCCACGCTGCCCGACACCACCGTGCCGCAGCCCTGCCGCCCCTCCACCGTAGGGAACACTGCCAGATCTAGATAAACACGGCCACTTTCGTCACTCCTTTGCATAGCTCTTTATAGCTGCCGATTTGTTATTTTAGTTGCTGATTATTTTACAGGAAATTGATAAACTCTTCTAAAATTACCGATAAATAATTTTATAAAAATGTTTAAATTGCACTTTACACAATTTACTTTATAAGTTTTTCACATCACAACATTTCAAATGGATAGCTGATCAACGCGGTGAATAGATGATCTCGATAAATGTCTGGTCGTCGATACACTTGGTATTCTTGGTAACATAAGGGTATCCTAGCAGTTGGTAGCAGAATGATGACATTTCAGTTTTTGTTATAAAGTAATCGTTAGGCAATAAACAATGAGGAAGTTTTTAAAAAAGCTTCAATTTATCTTTGTCACCAGACTAGCTGATAAATGCATTTATATATAAATTAATACATACAATACACAAATTTCACCAAGTCAACAAATTATGAACACGCAACTTTTTGTCCTGGGCGGTAATGAACCTGACCAACACAATAATTGATCGTACATCGCACATTCTACTAAAGTTGTCGTATCGATTTGTATTTATACAATTGCCCAACGTAAAGCGTTGGTCACCTACATTTTTTTTTTTTCCGTGAGGAAATCCCCTCGGATACCACCTGTCGGTGGCATGTCGGACTCGAACCGACTAAAACCGCACGCCGTCTCGGGTACTAATAGCCGGGGAACCAGGTATACCCTAGAAAGAAAGTCCCTGGTACCCCGACATACCTCAGGTCATCTACAGACGAGTAGACGACCCCCCCCCCCCCCCCGTGTGGGAACCCCATGTTCCCTGTGCTCCCTGGAAGCGAGCGGGCCTGCTTCTGCTAGGGTGACAGATGGCCTTACCTGTCACCCCCAGGCCTGCGCTTATGGAGGACGGAGGTCGTTCTGCGACCTCCGGCGCCTGAGTCGCCTGCGGTACCTGGCCCGTTCCCAGGCCTGGTGGGCCGGGAGAGTCCTAAACCTCTCCCGGTCCCGCTCCGCCGTCTCGAGCATGACTTGCTCGCAGAAGGAGACGGCAGAGTTCCACGCACTCTCGCTCCGCACGATAGCCGCAATCAGACTATCGAGCGAGAGAACTCCCACTCCGATGGCCGCCACGAGGTCTCGCCTCTGCTCAACCCACGCCGGGCACTTTGCCAGCGTGTGGAGAGCCGTGTCCACGGTCTGGCCATCGCAGTGGTGGCACTCAGGCGTTGGCTCCTTGCGGATCAGACACAGGTGATCCCCGAAACATCCTTTCCCAGTGATCACCTGCGTCAGTCGGTATGAGAGGGTCCCGTGACGCCTCTCGAGCCAATCCTCCATAGCGGGTCTTACCGCCGCGATGACGGCGTGCCCGGCGCTCGGTTGCCCGAGTCGTTCCTTCCACTCACCTATGATGACCTGGCGGAGTTGGGATTTCCGGTCATCGATTTCTCGAGTCTCGGGACACCGACCCAACTCCCGCGCCTCCTTGCGCCACTTATACAGAGCCGCAAGGGCTCTCGCCTCCAGTTTCCACGGTGGAGTTCCGGCCAGGAGACTCGCCGCCTCAAAGGAGATCGTGCGGTACCCCCTTATGATCCTGATGGCCAGCACTCGCTGCGGTCGTCGCAGTATCGCGACGTTGCTGGCCTTCAGGGCCCCCGCCCATACTGGGCACCCGTAAAGGGCCATGGACCGGGTCGGGTCCCTTCATGTTGGGCAGCAGCCGCGCCAACGCACGCGCTGCCCCAACCAAATTGGTCACCTACCCTGATCGGAGGCTTTGCCCTTTGTGTTGGTCACATAACATTCGTTCCTCTACAGTAACGTAAAGTAGTCGATGTTAAAAGAGTCGATACTATAATTACAATAATTTTAAAGTACGCTTTAAACTGCTTATACAATTTGTGTTATGTTGGTTCAACAGCCTTTACATTGCGTTACACGTAACAAAATATTTATAGACGGCAGCACTCACCTTCGATACACATATTTTGGGCCCGCTCGTCATGGTAAGGGTATATAACGTCAATTTTGTTTTCTGTACACTTCAACAATGGCGATTCATTCTTTAGATCAAAGTATGCCGTAGTGCCATCCGCATATCCAACTACAATATGCTCATGACCTTTTTGCTAAAATTAAAGAAAATTTATCTTTACGAATGTTCAGGGATTTTATCTGGCGTTAGTAAAAGCAATGCGTTAGATAGGTTACTTTAACATTAGAATTTCATTGTAATATCTAAGTGCAGAGTAAAAATATAACAGAATTAATGGAGACAAGCATTAATTGTGAATAATTACGTTTATTTGTTCATATATCGTTTGTAACAAAGGCGTTATAAGTAGTATATTATTCAGGCAAATAATGTTAATTATTAAACAAGCGCAGTAACAGAAGTTCTATGCACACTGTGGGATCTAAGTCAGTGTTGTTACGAAAGGTGTATACTTATCAATTATTGTAAAAACTTATTTTATGTAAATTTTAAATTGTGAGTATTCCACAATATCCTCGAAATAATTTACAATATCAGAACCACGAGTGAACAGTCGATACGATGACAGCCAATGTAGTAACGATATGACGTGTTTTTAGTCCAAATACTGAATATTGTTTTAACTCACCGTTGACCACTTGACAGCAGTTGCCTGATACACCTTCCTAGTTTCGTCCATTACTAAACATAGTTCCGCGACTGGACGCAATTTACAAAACTGTCCTCTGAAAATGTAATAATAGTTTCATAAGTAATGCATAAATAACGTTGTATCCATTGTTTTAGTTTACTAAAACAATGGATACAAGAAACTTGACTCGGGACTAACGTTTGTAGATCACACTAAATTTTGACATGTGAGATAGGTATATCGAGTAACGATTTATGTCAATAGGTAAATTTAGTAAAATAAAACATCAAATAAACCTACTTTGCTTTTGTTGTGGACGGGTGTGGTACTGCGAACACATAAGCGGCGCCGTTGGCAGAAGCCACAGCTAATAATCCCAGTCTACGGGTTACGTTGCATTCTTCTGTGGCATCAAACACATCGCGGGCGCCGGACGGACACCAATCGATCGACCAAATCGGGCCACAGTCCAGTGCCAATCCCATCACTAGTTCTGGTACACCACTGAAACATTATGGACATGAAACATACATAATATATATAACATACACAAAAATAGACATTTAATTCTAAGGAAGCTAACAAAAAAACTCACAAATCGAGTGAGTGCATATTGCTACCATTGTTTACAAAACTGTAAAATAATTACTAATTTATTAACTTTAACTGGGTAGTCCTACAGTAAAAATTAAATGTAAAAAAAGTCAGTCAAGTAAATGAAATAGGTATAACATAAAACTCCGACAACAGTCGTTACTTGTTACAAGTTTTTTGTTAAATTAAATATTATTGTTGATTTGACTTACCGCAGGCCAGTATCGTATTATAGACTCAAAGTTTATATACTAGTTAAGCGAAAATGTTCAACACAGATTGCGACATGTTGCGATTAGGCAAACGTGGTGTAGATGCGATGGGATAGACGGACGTATTTAGAAAGAATGGGTGGCAGTATATAGATGCGGATTGCACAAGACCGGGATGATTAGCGGGCGCTCTTTGGGGAAGGCCTTAGATTAGAATTCCGTAGCAACTGGACTTAACAAACGACATAACTGCCGCATTAGATAGGCGCCACATTACCAGGCTTTCCCATCAGAGGGATCAAATCCCCTACCTCCTACCAAAGGGCACAACGAAGTATGTTGTTTTATATTAAAATAAAAGCATGCACATGTATAATATGGTTATAGTTATGCTTTTAATCACATCACATTGATCCAATCAATGAAATTATATATCATTTTATTCGGAAAATAGAGACAGAGTATCATAATGTTAATCATTATTTTTAAACTCAAAATATACTGCATTGTCAATAGATATTGCAACATATATCTATTAGCAGTTCGGACATGCAGCTAAATATTGCCGTGAAACCAGCCCAAACTGTTATCACTGTGGAGAGTCCAGGCACTCTTCTAACGAATGCAAGAATAAGTCTACAGCACCCAATTTTGCTATGTGCAAAGGGTTTAGACGGAAAAGTGGTCACCAAACTGATGATGCAACTTGCCCGGCACGGAAATATGTTCTAATACTCACGTAAAATTACCACAGTCCCAGATCTGAATAAGTGCAGGTTCATCTTCAGGTGTGTCATACCAGAAATGTCTCGGTGTGTCTGGGGCTAGAGAGGACAGAACCGATAGGTATTCCTGGACGGGAACCGTATCATGTTCTTCAACATAGGTGGGCACCCAACACATGCTCTTTATGCAAGCCCCCGTGAATATCGTAGTTAATTCTGAAAATATTTCTTTTGTGAATGGAGAATCAGAGTTAGAGCATAAGTTTAATTAAGAGACTTATTTTAAGATAGTTTAATGTGAATATTAAAAGTGCCCTTATATTATTGATCATTAAAAAAAAAGAATATCTTAATCATTTAAATAATAAAATGTAAGATAAATCTACTTTTCAGCATTTTATTTTTGTGTGTGTATTCAATGTAAATACCCACTGGTGTTTATGGACACCACACACTTCATGGAAATAACGGAAAATCACTAATAAACGCAACCTATGCAAGTTTACACTTGGTATAGGTTATATATATATATATATATAACATATGTATAGTAGTGACTCTAAAGGCATAGATCAACTCACACAATGGCAACAATCTGTTTTGACAAATATTTAGCAAAATGAAGTAAATCCATTACATGCCTGAACCGATTTACAACCGCCCATTTCCAAGGGTTGAGCCTTATGAGAAGAAAGGACAAACAAACTGAATTACAGCTAGATACAGTCGCATCATTAAATATATCACAACATTGTTTTGATGGGTGCGCCAGTGTGTCAGTTATTAAGGACTAAAAGATGGAATAGAATTAAAAGAAAGTAAAACACAAAATTGAGAAAAATAAAAAAAAAACACACTAGCCCACACACTCAAGAAATAGCCTGTATTAAATTAATCCCAAGCATTCTCGTCTTCTATGTAATCCACAAACGAGTAACAGGCCTTATGACACAGCCTTCGCTTCACTGTGGATTTAAATTTGTTTTTACTTAAGTCTTGTCTTGTCTTATTGATTCTTTACATTCTGTTTTCTCACAGGGGCTCTCCTTTTAAGCATTAAATACTTGTGACAGGAGACAAGATTACATAAGTTAGCATTATTAACACACCTAATAATTCTTATGAATACTTAACAAAACTTTAATTTTAAAGAAATGCCGAACTACCCACCCTTCTCAATCTTTGCTTCGAACCGTTTATAAGTAACCCAATCGGCTTCCTCTCTGTACCTAACTTTACAAGATTCTTCGACAGGCGGCATATATTTAGGCAAGTCGGCTTCGGGAACTATCAAATACCGCAACGATCGATAGTGCTTAAAAATATCCTCATCTGTCAGATGTAAGGCAGCGCTGAAAATAAATTTAAATTGTAAATCTTAACTTTTTTGTGAAATCTCAAGGCATATGATCAATAACATTATATTTAATTGATATTTTTGAGCGATATTTTTTTTTGATTGATTGATGATGATGATTGATTTAATGAACATCGACTTACAATTCCTCTGCGCTCTTTCTCATATAGCTGTTAAGATTTTTAATCTGATAGGGCAGCCGCTGTACTCTGTAAGCTGAACCTGAAAGAATAAGTGATTAATTTATAATTAAATCACTCGATATATATCATTGGGTTTTATCATTTGAGTTCAAAATCCTAGTCATAATTTTATTTAAGGGCGCAGGCGAGGGATTTTTGTCCGCAGAGAAAAAAAAGTTTGTGATATGAAAAAGTAGGTATAAGCTTTTATTTAAGTATGTTTGATGTAATCAATGATAGGAAAATAATGAAATAACACATCTTTACCCCAGTTGTGAACTACTATGTTGGGTGAAACTCAGATTCGTTACGTTAAGAGAATAGATAAAACGAACCCCAACACCAGATATGGGGTTTTGTCAGTAGTTTATTCATTTTATCATGACTGAAGTGGCGAGGCGCATGTATATATAAAATCTTTTCATATATTATAACTTATCTGTTATATATGGTACTCACTTGAATCTCCATGTTTTTTGGATTTCGTTTGTTCCCGATCTCGCGCCTCGCGTTCCTCGTCTGATATATTGGAATCGATATCAGTATCGTCGTCCTCTTCTGAACTATAATCTATGTCCACAGATTCATCAGTTTCACTGCTTTCACATTGTTTTTCTACACATACATGGTTCAACATCTCCGATTCAACGTCAGAGCTAAATCCGCACTTGGAACAATTTGATGCCTGAAAGAAAAATTTATATTATCTCTAATAGTTTCGAAACCCATTATAAATAATCATATTTTCATTTATTCTGCAAAACTTAAGTAGCGAGAGGATTATTTATAGATGTTCGTGGTACTATTCAAAAAATATAATATAATATGTTTGTGTGAGTGGGTAACTGAAAAAGAAAGTAGTTGGCCAATTTGTGCCCCAGAGTGTACAGAGCTCATGTTTTTGTAATTGAAGTAAATAAATTAAATTATGAATTTTGAATTGCTTCATAAAGTCCGTAGCAGATTTCAAGAAAAGTTTATTAAAAAAAGATTCTAAACAAGAAAGCTTTTTGAATTCACTTTGAAAGTATTTTAATTGCCATGACGCGAAATAGGGTATTGAATCAATACGTGCATACCCGAGACGGCGTGCGGTTTTTAGTCGGTTCGAGTCCGACATAGCCACCGGCGGGTGGTATCCGAGGGGATTGCAGCACAGAAAAAAAAGGCATCTCTTTACAAAGGTTTTGGCCTACTATTTTAGTATTGTTGTGGGTTTTGTGAGGAAAATGGATCTTTTATAATCGTACGATGCCTTTTTTTTTTTTTTTTTTTTGTTGACGGAGTGGAAAATCCCTTCGGATCTCCGGCTCCTTGGGGATATAGGAGCCAGGAGTATGTGGTGATTCCACTAAAAACCACTCCGACGGCCAGCCTTAGGCGCCCTGCTCTGGGGAGAACCCGGGCCATGTGATTTCAGGTCCCCCAGATCGACGCCGCACCTAGCTAGGTCCCATCTCAGGGAAAGCCAGTGGCTTCTCCCTGCCTCTCAGCCTATCCAGATGTTGCAGCCCGATCACATTTTCAGTGCGATCAGGCTGCCATCCTTTCCCCTACCGCAGCAATTAATCTGCCACCAGAGGTCCCCACTCTCTGGCGGCCCGCGGTCCCGTCGGCTGCTCATTACGTCGTCGACGTCTTCTTCGCTCGGGATCGGCCCTCTCCCGATCCCGTTCAGCGGTCTCTTTCTGGAGCATTACAGCTTCACAGAAAGAGACCACTGCGCCCCAGCCCTCCTCACCCGCCAGCATGGCAGTAATGATTGCTGGCGGGGACAAGTCTCGTCCGATTTCATCGACCAGGACTTCGCGTTCAGATGCCCACGCGGGGCAGTCTTCCAGCGTGTGCTGGGCGGAGTCCCAAATCGTACGATGCCTACGATGACTTCATAACAAGATGCCTTGAAATCATTTTATAGAAAGCTAACTTCTTTTGTTAATGTTTGCTATAGTTGTAGCAGATAAGTGCTATAGTTGTAGTAGACATATGCAAGAAGACACGCAATTTCAGAATTTAGTCCTATTGCTTTAGTTTTATCCTTAAGGCTGACACGTTGGCAGAGTGCCCGGCGTGGCCATCCACGCCGGGCACTCTGCCAACGTGTGGAGCGCCGTGTCCATGGTTCGGTCACCGCAGTGGTAGCATTCAGGCGTTGGCTCCTTACGGATCAGACACAGGTGATCTCCGAAACATCCTTTCCCGGTGATCACCTGCGTCCTCCATAACGGGTCTTATCTCCGCACCAACAGCGTGCCCGTTATAGAAAACACCTGATATTATAGCTTCATAATAATTTGTGAAATAATGAGTGATAACATGTTTATTTTTTAACCTTCATAAAAGTTAAGAAGGTTTAAAAAAAGGTTTTATGATCTGCTATGCTTCATGAAACCTTTTCATTCTTTTATAAGAAGGTCTCAAAGCTTTCAAATATCACTTATTTGATATCTGTACATTCTGGGGCACATACTCATACAATTTTTGGCCATCTGCTTTGTGTAAGATTCGGGTAAATTTTAAAAATTTATTAATTAATCCATAAATTTAGAAATAAATTAGAAAAAATATAATCGATTTCAACAAAATTATACTTTCTAACAGTGCGACCAAAAAACGCCGCAAGACGTCGTAGGCAAAGGCTACTTTGGTAAATAAAAACAAAATCAGGATACTTACGTCACCCACGTTACTTGTATACTTTTCTATGACAGTCTTAGCCCTGAAAAAAATTTATGTCAATAATATAGACATAACTCTTCATAGAAAGTATAATAATGGATAATAGTATTATTATATTATTACTATAGTATAATAGTATAGTATATTATATAGTATAATATTATATGTGTCAGGCAGAGCCGTAAATTTGTAAATGGATTTTTTTGAGCTTTTGTTACAAAACAACACCAGATTAAATCAGAAATATAGCTCGGATTTTATGGTTGCAACGATGTGCTAAGAATGACTTCATGTGTGCAAGCGGTGACCGGTTTACACTAAATAATGCAGTAATTAAATTCTTCCCGTTTATTTTACATTGTCACATTCAAATTGATTGACCAACGATGTAAAAATCGTAAGAACTAACAAATATTTACAAACAATCTAAGACTGTTGAGACTTCTAACATAAAGCACTATATTTAAAAGACATCGTAAATAACAGTCTGCTTAAAGAAATAGTTACGATATGATTTATATTATGATTTAAGGAATTTTTAAATATTTTTATGCACTTCAAAATTCACTAGTAAATTTTTAAGTGAATTACTTTGTCAGTTTTGACCTTTAAAATTGACAAATTACCTGACCTGTTTATTACATTTGTCATTACATTTGTCATATTTTAAGTGTCATTCACGTCTACTATACAACCCTAAAATATGAGACTACACTTCTGTTACATCCCTTATGTAAATAAAAATATGTACTTACTTCTCCGCGGCTTTTCTACGTCCGCCTACAATCTCAACCGGCTCTTCTTTCTCCTTTTTTAGTTCTTTCTCTTTAGCAATCAACAGTTTCCTTTCCATTGCATATTCTTTTTCCCGGTGCATAGTCATATGCTGACTTTTATATATGCGCAAATACTTGCTGTTGCATATCTCGCACAGGCTTTTATAGATTTCTGTTTCCTGTAATAGAATTTAAACTATTATTGACCTTATCAGGTAATTTTATATAATCTCTACAAGTGCATCTAACTTATATAATAACTTAGATTTTTATAAACTTTTTAGAAGGTATACAGTTTTATTATCTGTACAGGTAGAAAATATGAGAAAGCGTCTTGTTTCTCTATATTTGTGTAAAAAAATTGATTATTACCTGTTCGGTTTTCCCGCAAGTGATTATATGTGCGTAAAATCCAACTGCAGACACTCTGCTGATGCCGCAAGTTTTACAAACTAATTTATTGTTGTGTCTCTGTTGATATTCTTTTATGTAAGGCTCCACTCCATACGGATTATTGATTTCCTGAAAACATTAATTACATACCTTATAAGGGAACGTACCCATACTACGTGTCCCGTTTAGGGCGAGGGGGGGAGGGGGGGGGTCTTATAAATATCACGCTTGGTCACAATATGGGACGAGGGGCTAAGGTTTTTCGTAGGTAGTCAATATCGCGCGTTTTTTTTTGTTACCTGAATAGTTTGTAGTGCAGTGTAGTTGTCAAGCAAGTCGCCGAAAGTCTGTTTCGGTACAATAATGTGGTTGTACGATCGGTTGTACAATGCATTTATTAAATGTCACAAGAATTCCTTGTCAATGTAGGCAAAACAGAAAAACACGAATGAATTTTGGGTGCCTTTGAGAGATGAATACAAAATTATTATTTTTTTAACTTTTTGTTAGCAATAAATGATTCAAAACCATATTTATGAATAACTACGTGAAAACTGTAGGGGGGGGGGGTCTTGGAATATATTACACGTGGTCACCGACGGGGGAGGGGGAGATTAAAAATTGCAAAAAGTGGGTCACGTAGTATGGGTATGTTCCCTAAGTTCATAAATTGTATTCCTAGAAAAGCCTGGAACAACCTTGAGGTACTTATCTGAGCAATATACTGTTAGTATAAAAAAAATCCTAATTACTGCAATACTTTACTTTATAAGAATATGGAGTCTGGTGATACATTTGCTCCATTGCAAGCTTTTACTGTGTCAATATTTTTTATCAATCTTTATCATTGATTTATTTCACCTCTTTCAGAAGGATAATAAAAATCATGTAAAATAAGAAATCTAATAGGTAACCCTAGAAAATACTTACAATAGGAGTTGCACCAACAAGCCAGGCCACATTATAGTGTTTTTTCATAGCATGGTCGCGCCAATCTCTTGGATCCACAGTCGCAGAGCAAACAGCGCAAGTCACTGAATCTGTGGAAAAGAAATAATGTATTTTTATTTTTACATGAAATATACACCTGTGTCTGTTTGCTATGTATAAAAATAATCTTATAGATTATGGATGTTTATTTCAATACTTATATGACCCATTGAATAAAAACATTAGCCCAATTAACTTTTTCAAAAAATATAATCAGTATATACATATTTACAGTTACAAACGACACTGTTATGTCTACTTATAATTTTTGTTTGCTTTTATAGTCTTCGTGAAAATATCTGTGCATTCATGATGTTTTTACAAGATGATTGCTCACATGTCTAAAATAAATGTTTACATTATGTGTACATGTTATTTACAAATATAAATTACATAATAATAATAAATTACTATAAATGAATTAATTCTACAATGTCCAATGATCATGTTGTATAAGTGTTTCTTTAAAGTATAATACTTAAGTATTTGCCTTACCTTTGCCCACCATAATAGAAGCATCTTTAACCTTTTTGCCACCATTGCTGCAATGGTTGATATGCTGCAGATAACTTTTAGCATACTTTCTAATAAGACCACAGTTTTTACATTTCAATCCTCCTGTACATCGTGAAACTTCAATTAAATGTCTTTGTACAGCTGCCGGATCTTTAAGTTCCTGCAATAGTGATGTGCATCACATAAAATAATAATATGTACCTAGTAGTCATTGTATTACATGCAGTGATACTATTTTCTATGTCTTGTCCTTGTCTGAAATACTATCCATCTTTGATGCAACGTTTCGTGATTGACAAGCAAACTTCTCTCTTAACACACTCTACTACTGTTTTTTACCTACTTATAAATTTCCAGTTTTAATTTCAGAAATTATTCAGTCTATATACTTACTAGAGGCGGTCTTCCTTGGAGCCACCCCATATAATCGTGGTCATGCTCCATGTGTTTCATCCACTCAGATGTAATAACCACATTGTTACACACACCACATATGACTGTATCTGTCTTTACATCACTTACATCAAACGAACTAATTTCTGGTTCATTTCTAATTTTAGTATCCTCATGGTTCTGAAAATAAAACAGATCGATTCTATCCTCTCTTCTAATAACCCTAATACACTTTCAGCACAAATGTTAAATTATATTTTTATAAATATGTTTTTAGTAAATGATATCAATCAAAATAACAGCTTTTACCGTCGGTGTGTCATCCGTGTGGTGACGGATTAAGAATACAGAGAGTCATCACCACTATTCATCCCGTGGGTGTCGCAAGAGCCGACTAAGGGAACCAACTCTGCAGGACAACAGCATTGCAAAAAGAAGGAAAACTTGAAATAAACCCTATACAAACCTGCCTGGCCAGCGTCTTATAGTAGGCCAAAACCTCCATTGAGAGGCCTATGTCCAGCAGTGGACTGTCAGAGGTTGTTGATGACTAGCTTTCACACGTGGCTCTGCGCACCTAACAGTTATTTGACATATATCTCGGCAACTGAACATTTTTCGGTATGAAATATACGCCAACTATCATGCACTTTCATGAATGTAAAAAATGTATAAACTGTGTTCCTATCCAAATTTAAGATGGTTTATATTGAAGCATGCTATTCTTCAAATCATCAATGTACGTGTCACTGTACCGACGCGTTGCCACGCCAGCAGCTGGTCTGACCCTTCGCATTAGATGATTCACATCAAAAGATATTATTCACTGTATTTTTATTTGATGATTTTTCGTTCGTACAGAAATAACAGTCGTCTATGTGATTATTGGGTTCACGCCACTGCTTTGGGACACCAGGAACACCACCATGGAATTGGGGCATCTGTTTAATATTGTACCAACCCATGAAATATTTCAAGTATTTCAAACAACACACAAAACACCTCTCCCGGCCACTTGCTAATGCAAAAAATTCAATGAATGATATATAACATATTTATGCAATAAACAATCCTAAATCTTATCTCTCTCTCACTCTCAATCAATCAACTACTCAACTAATTATTCCGTCACTACTAAGTATACCTAATCACCACTTGGGATATTGGTATTTTTTTTGTCTTGCTTAGTGTTATTTTAGGCGGCAATCATGAAATTTCATAATAATCTTTGATAGGTATAGGATTAACGATTTAAAAAAAAAAAGACATCATACTTAATTTTAGATCCACAATGTTCAGAAACGAGTTATCCGACCTCTTTAGAACTAAGAAATAATTACTTGTTATTTGTCATTTAGTTGAGTTACCTAGTTGCACAGTATTTAATACCTGTAGAAGAAAGTACCTAAAGAAAAGCCTTTAAAGAACCCTATACCATTTTTATTTGTTTAAAAAACCAAGTTGTTTTAGAATTATAATGATTTGTTATTATTACGATAATAAAAAGCTAACCACAACTCCATTGCAATCTTTCACATGTTGCAGAAAAGATTTAGGATATTTCTTGATAACATGACACAGGTTACATATGAGTCCATTGTTCTCTCTTGAAATGTTATTTAAGTGTGCTTTAACTGTCTCTTCATTTTCTAAATCCTGAAACATTTAATAAAGTAGGTATATTAGTGTTTTCACATTTTAAAGTTTGAAAAACAAAACGGCATTTTAATTCATATAATTTTGTTATGGGGTTCATGGCTAAGTGGTGACCGACTAAGTTAGCACCGAGTAAATTAAGATGCCGTATCATAGCCAGGTCAGTCTATGGATGGATGACCATTCTTAATACATTGAGACCCCTTTGTGCCTCAGAGAGCATTTTAAGCCTTATGTCCCAGTTGCCATATGATTTGTGGCAATGGTTAAGGGTAGTTGGAATTGCTTAAATGCTGCAGGAGGATAATATGGAATTTCAATCAAGTGAGCCTTATAGATGGCCGAAGTGAGAATAAAGTACCCGAAATTGCAAATCTACAGAGTATTTTTAATTCATTAAAATATATGTTATAGATTTTAATAAGAAAATACCTAACATATTATTCACAGTTTAATGTTATAACTCCCAATTTCTACGTCAATTTAATGGTTCATTAATTAAAGCTTACCAAAGGCTCTTGTCCTTGTTGCCATGCAAGATATTTGTGTTCCCTCCCAATATGTTTAATCCACATTACTATCGAAACATCCTGATCACAGACTCCGCACTTAACAATTCTTTCATTGCCATCTATAGATATTTCTATCTGAGTAGAATTCACTGTGGGATTTAAATCAGTAGTAGTTGATTCATCCCACTGAACCTGAAAGTATTAGAAGGGTTGTGGTTACATTCTTGCAATCAATTTATCCAGTATGTCATAAAAACTAGTTATGGTGTGAAAGGTTAACATTATTTCTGTCAAGTTGCCCTACATTAAGCAAATAGTATCACATTGGTTAAACTGAATAGTCATTTTTAGTAGATAGATAGAGGTCAGTCAATCCTAAGCAGCAATTTTCAGCGCGATATTACTAAAACTAAAGGATCAAATCTGCAAACAATCAAAACCATAACACACTATTAAACGTCGTATTTGAATTTTTTATATCTCGAAAACGATTTTTAAGTTTTTGGGGGTCACACTTTAAAGCTATAGTTGAGCCAAATTTGAATGAGAATAAAGAAGTAAATAAACAGTTGCCTAAGGTTGTCAAACAACCGATGACAGACAGATGTTCACAACCATTTACGGTCTAATAGTCTTTACTTTTTATATTAAAATGCGAAAGAGCATGATTCGATCTGTCACCTAAGAGTAAATCACGATTTTTCTTAAATTTGACATGAAGGTAGGAGGAATCTTGTACATATAATAAAAAACTAAACACATGGGTATAACAACAAAAGAACGCAAAGCAAACAACAATAACAATACAATACCCGTAACAAGCCGGTAAGGTTACGTAAGAGAAAACATTTGACGTATGACCTGACTAAATTAAGTTGCTGCGTTCCGTTCCTTTTATTTTGTTCAGATATTTTTTTTAGGTAAATGAATAATCAAACAACAGTACACAACTTTGTGCAAAAAGTATTGTATAATATCATAGCATACAAAGCTTACATGAAATTGTATAGATGGTATTACTTATAAAAAGTTTAAGAAATATATTTTCTAGCTTTACATAATGAAACGAAACGTAAATCTTTTAAGCATAGTAGAGTTATGATGCGCTTCACCGAACCGCCGCAAACCCCGGTGGGGTGACAGCGCGGTTACCACACTCAAAGAAAAGAAAGATGCATTTATTGTGACGATGTGTGTGATGGTTATAATCGGAGACACTTTTGGTGCATATGTGTCAATTTTGACAATGATTTAGGTACTAAAAAATGTTTTTCAATCATGCCAGTAGTTTTATCACGTATTAGGGGTATCACGTAGAAAAATTAAGCTGTTAACTTCTATCTATCGGGTAAAAAGCTATAATTGTTTAATAAATATAATATTTGTGCTGCAAATGTTGTGAAAAAAATCAATTTGTAGATTGCCATTGAGAGATTTGCCAGTTTAGCTACGTATAGATAAGGCGATGATATAGATTTCCGTAAAAACGTCCCCAGGAATCATAACTTACCTCGCTACTATCGCAAATTTTAATATGTGAGAGGTACAATTTGACTCTTCTATGATTTAGGCCACATTTGTAGCAATGCAATCCATCAAATTTTCTTACTATATCGAGTAAGTGTTCCTTGACGGCATCCTCATCATTCACATCCTAAATAAACAATAAGGCATGAATTATAAATAGGCAGATGTCCTTTATTAATTTTATATACTATACAATTTATAGACCTATTTCTTAACCTTCCATGGATTCACCGTGCGGGTGCCGGGTCCATCGCGTGATAGATGGTGGCAAACATACGACTGCGACAGCTCCCGGGAATTGTGATCCAGGAGTAGGTTTAGGGAGTACTCCATCTCCTATACCTCCATCTGCTGTGTTACCCCCTATTATACTTAACCATATTTGATACGAGACTATTGGTTGTGGACTCTGATTTCGCATTTAGACTCGAGAGTGGTCTTTTGATGCCTCTAGGAGGTTAGCTAGGTAAGCCAACCAAGATCCTTCCAGAAGGGAAGAAACCTCCTGGAACGTTCACAGGCTTCTAGGAGCTATTTTATACTAAGTACGTTCAGGAGCTGGATGCGAGAAGTCCAAAATCGATCTAAGTGGCATGCAATGGGAGAGGCTTATGTCCAGCAGTGGTCTGCGATAGGCTGATGATGATGATGACGTTCAAGAAAAGAGCTTATTGAAGGATCGGGCAATCCAAGGTCTTTAAGTAGGTTTTACTAGTTACTTCGTTTATTAAGTCAAAGTACTTATTTATTTTTAAACTCTTTCTAAATACACTTTACATACAATAACCGGAACAATGAGTGTGAGTGAGTTGTGTCTAAAACAGAGGATGATCATCCCATCAAACACGATGATCGTCATAATGTCCCAATGCTTGATGTTTAAAGCTACATATACATATCAGAACTCTCATTAGCACATTTACAAGATTACTGACATTTTCAAGATCTTGCATAAAACTAATTATATTTAGAAATAATTACCAAAGGAGTGTCTCCAACTTTCCACGCTAAATAATTGTGTTCTCTGCCACTATGCTCATTCCAATCTAACAATGACACCTTAGCTTGGCATACTCCACACTCAAAAATTTTTACGTCAGATGTGCCCTGGTCCATAGAGATATCTTCATGAGCAGATTCATCAAAGTTGACCTAAAATAAGATACGTACATAGTGTTTTTAACGGGACATGACGTGCACTCATTTTTTTTAATTAGCTTTAAAAATGAGTGCACATCCGTTTCTGAGTGCAAAAATCCGTTTCTGAGTGAACAGCATAAAGAACTTTTTTCCTATTTATTTAAACAATTACTGCCCTACTTTAATAGTAAGACAAGGCAATTTATATTACTAATGATACTATTCATTATCATAGTACATTTAGGGAGACAAAGGAAAAAAGATTTGATTTCTATTTATACACGGTGATTTTGAAAGCGTTTTGGAAAAGAAAATTTTGAATTATTTATCAGTAACTTATCAGAAGCTATATATAACGTTAATTTAATAAAATATATATTTTTTTTTATCATCAAAGTCGACATTCATATTGTTTACAGAGAAAACGTGAGAACCAGTAGTAGAAGGCTATTCAATCACACGTAGGTAAATACTACGAATAGAAATACTATGCGTTTTAATATCGAGTCACATAAAGGTCGCGCGCTCACGCGCAAGGTCAAGGACGTTTAAATTATTATTCGCCGGAGTGTAGTGCGTGCATACCTGGACAATGAATTTAGTGATCGGTGGATAGGTCGAGGAGGGCCAGTGCCTTGGCCACCTAGAAGCCCGGACTTAACGCCCCTGGATTTTTTCTTATGGTCGGAAATAAAAAGACTTGTTTATACACGGGAATATGAAAGCCGTGATAATTTACGCATTGCGATAGTGGACGCTTTTGATAAAGTGAAAAGTGATAGAGACACATTAAGAAAATTAAAAAACAATTGCATTAAACGTGGACGTTTGTGTATTGAATGCAGCGGACTCCATTTTGAGCAGTTAATTCGATACAGAGAAGTGTAAATAGTGTAAATAGGTATGTAAGTTAATTATTCTGTAGATAGCTCCGATTTTTTAAATACGCCTGAACTATTTATACCTACAGTCCGTTGATAAATTGATTTGTTGTGAAAAGAACAATCGTGGTTAATAATCGAAAAGAAGTTTAAATAAAATAGGTATTTCCGACGGTCCTAAGCCCGTGTAAAGTATGAAGGACAAATGGGAGTCTATCTACGTAAGTACTCGCTAGCTCGCGCCTATAGGTATACTTTTATCAGCTGCTGTTAGCGTCGGCGGTGCGCAGCGGCCGCCGAAACACCCACGGACGTGTTTCATTCATATAAGATAATGAATGAATGATCAGTCCATTACTACTTTCCAAGTCGATCGAGTAAAAATGAATATTAAAACAGAAACTTTTTTTTAGACAACATTACAATTGATTCAATCATTTTTATTGGTACTATAGATGATTCCAAATTAAAATATTTCGTTTCCAAAACGCCTATAAAATCACCGTGTATAGATAGGTTTGGAACCAATTAAATATAAAGAAAACAACTTTCGATAAAACTGACATTAACATACTATTAAAAATAACATAGAAAAAATAATACTCACCCCTTCACCATCACAAGTTTTAATATGAGACAAATAGAGTTTGACACGTTTGCGATTAAGGCCACATTTATAACAACGCAATCCACCACTATTTCTTATAAATTCCTGCAAATGGTTTCTTACCATTTCCTCATCGTCCAAATTCTAAAATTTCAACAGTCATGCACAAAAATAATAATTTAAACTAGTTAAAAAGGACTTATAAGGGTAAATATGATAAAAAAATGAAGTGGGTTGATCCGGCTTTATTTGAAAAAAGCTTGTGCAAAATAGTAGATTTTGTCAATTAATTCCCTATCCCTTAGGAAAAATACTTTTTCTGAATAAAAGGAAAGCCCTACCTCGGTTAATAACAGAGTATACTGTAAATACTTAGTCTTAATAGTTAACTTATATTGAAAAACTATAATAGCTATGACCAATTTAGGTGGCTTGCCAATTTGCTTGGTCATGCAACAAGCTATCCTCTTTCTGTCAGATTTTCTGTTCTATCTGGAATGTCATTAAACGTAGAAACTATAAATATATTAACTTTTAAAAGGGAACAGTAATCGTAACTGAAAAATATTTTCGAAGGAAATAAGACAGGGTTTTTAAGCAATATTTTTTTTTTTTTTTATATTTACCAAGGGAGTCAATCCATCTTCCCACGCAAGATAATTATGCTCCTTTGCTATATGCTCCGTCCAATGCAAAATTTGTATTTCCTGTTTGCAAACACCGCATTTAATAGTCTTCACATCTAATACAGAAGGCGTAGTATCTTCCTCGATAGTAGTATCAATGTCGATGCTTGTTGAGGAACCATCCATACGAACATCCCCACTACCATTGCAAGTTTCAATGTGACTCAAGTAAATTTTGACGCGTTTTCGATTCAAACCACATTTGTAACAAACTAGACTACCACTACTTTTTATAATATTCTGCAAATGCTTCGCTACCGCAGCTTCATCTTCAATGTTCTGAAAAACCAAACGTAACATTCAGATAATTAATACTGTGCAAATCGATTGGAAGGAGATTATACAATTTAAAAAGGGCTAAATATCATCGAACTAACAAATCACTGCTGTAAAAAAAAAAGTATACAAATGGCTAGTCGAGCTTGACTATGCCACATAACACCAGCACACACGCTTAGTACGGGTGTAGCACTTTCTTATTTGTATGTTTTAATTTTATAGTTTTTCTCGTTACTTAATCTTTACTTAATTATCATTTTATATTTATTAATGTAAGGCAAGTGGACTGAAAGAAACTAGATACAGACTCCCACGATACAGAGATATGGTGTGGGGTCTAGCGATCAAAACCTGTACCTGTATATATTTTTAAAAATAAATTTATGTAAAGTACGTGTTGGTAATAAATTTTAAAAGGCATGTTACAAGTAAGTTTTCGAACGGGTACAGTTGTCGGTACGGAATAACATAGTGTTAAATACACATGGGGTGTGACTCACACTGGTGAAACTGGTATTCCATTGTTACATTTTTTGAACAAACAAACAATTATGCTACAAACAATTTACAACAATTAGCCTCTCCTCAAGATAAGCAACTTACCAAGGTATCTTGCCCATCTATCCAAGCCAGATAATTATGTTCTTTCCCTATATGTTCGTTCCAAGACAGATATTGAACTTGTTTCTGACAGACGCCACACACGACCAACTCCTTTGTGGAATTTACCCTCCTAGAACTGCTTTCCTAAAAAATATTAATTATTATTCTCGTCATTTATTGCTCTCACTATGGTAAACATTTTTATAATGATAAGATGAATCAATATGATATGTGTTTACAATATATTTTACAAATAACAATTAACTACAAACCTTCTGTTTTATACAGGTTTTTATATGTCCTGTAAATTTGTCAAACTTTCGTGTTTGAGTGTGACAGTTGGGGCACTTTAGTGAGCCAACAGTTTCAAGTTTCTCTCGGAATTTCTGTAACAAAGCTGGATCGTCGAAATTCTGCAACAGTGAGTTGTACTAATTAAATTGAACAGTCCTTGAATATAACAAAAAAAATAAAGACAATGTGTAAAGTGGTTTTGTTACATAATTGTGCATTGTCTGTTTCAAAGCTAGAAGGAAATATCACGTACTACTTACAAAAGTTTGGCCGGTCTTCCAAGCAATGTAATTATGTTTATTTGCAACATGTTTCTTCCATTCAGCTTCAATTAACAATTTGTTGCAAACACCACACTTCACAGTTTTTTTGGGACATGGCTCCTCACTTGTATCATCAGCTGATAAACTACGTTTCTGGAGAAAACAAATAAGTGTAAGATTTTTTAAATTAATTGCTGCTTGTGTTTGGGAACAACTGTGCACATCCAAAATATAATTTTGTTTGAAAAAATGTTTTAATTTTCGTTGGATGTGTATTTAAACAAGCAGATTCACGTGTTGGTAAATCGTTACCTAATTTTTCAATTATGTTTAAGCTTTCTTGTTTAATTGTCAACTCTTTATAATGTTTTTGAATGTGGCATAGAAGAAGACGAATAAATTGTGTAAACAATGTTTGTGTGTATTAATTAACTTAATTTACAAAAAGCCTTTATTTTTATATATTGAAACCCCTCGGGCCGTCACCCCACGGGAGTTTGCGGCGGGGCGGTGTCCGGGAATCGAATCGACTTAAACCACACGGTGTGTTACTCCGGGGCTAAAATAGGAGGGGTCCCGGGAAAAGGTGATATTAAGACATCCGAGATTTACTACAATCTTAATATAGCCTCCCTATCAGAATTTACAAAAGAAAACAAAATACAACCTTCTTTATGAAGTACCTAGGTTAGAAATACTTTAATTTTTGTAAGAAAGCATATTTTAATTGAATTTGGACCGATTTTATTATTTAAACGATTGGGATTACTTAAACCAAGTAGGTTAGCACATCGCAAAGTTAAGCAATCGTAGCCAGGTCAGTCAATGGATGAGTGACCATTTCTTACTTAACACATCTCTGCGTGTCGTAGTGACGTTAAACCGTCGCACAGTGATTCGGCTAGAACATGCCAGCGGGACAATATTCATGACGTAATTTTCAGGAACCACTGATAAGTACTTGATACTACATAAAGGTATCTTATCAGGGGGTTAAAGTAACCCTTGTAAGAGGGGTCATTTTCATTTGCAAATCAGTTGCATTTTATGCACACTTGTGATAACATATTTAAAAATTGGTAGCAAAATGAAATGAGTTTTTTGTGATGGAATATTCTGTAGGTATGTACTCTATTATAATTTTATATTTTTTATAAAAAATGTGTATATTTTTTGTGTAATATCAATTTGTAAATGTATAGATAAATCCAGCAAAATTTACATTAATTGTAAACTTTAAGGAGTAGCAACTTTTTTTATCCACATATATCCACCTAGATTTTTCTATAGGTAACCTACAACATTCAGGCACAGATTCATATTTAGTGTATATAGACCCCGAGGCCGACTCCTGCAATTTTTTTTTTTTTCAGTACGAGTCGTGACTATGACGAAAATGGAGTTTTTTGAAGAATGGCTAAAACATGACAAAACTGAACGAAACAGTGGCATTTTGCGGTGGCGGTGGCGGTGCGGTGCGGTGCAGTGGCGGAAGAATACTGCTGTAGGATGGGACGCGATTCCTGCTCATTTATTGCAAAAGTGCTCAAACACCTTGGTACCAATAATAACCCACATTTGCAATATTTCTATGGCTGAGAGGATTTTCCCCAAATCCTTTAAAAAAGGCTGCTGTGCATCCCATCTTTAAGGGTGGAGACAGAGACAGTGTCAATAATTACAGGCCCATATCTGTCCTGCCTGCACTGTCCAAAATCCTGGAGAAGGTGCTAAACATCCGCTTAACTAACTTCTTACAGAAAAACAGTATTTCAGCGTAGAATTATTTTGGTTTTAGGGTAGGATTGTCGACTGAAGATGCGGTGGCTTCTCTGGTTGATGGAATAGTTAACAGCCTTGATAATGGACAAAAATTCCTGTTGATTTTTCTCGATCTTACGAAAGCATTTGACACTGTCTCTGTTCCACATCTCTTACTAGATATGGAGAGAATGGGCATTCGCGGATATGCGCTCGAAATTTTTAAAGATTATCTTTCTGATAGGACACAATGAAGATAGACGACATTGTTAGTAGCAGCGCTCCCCTTCTTTTCGACATCCCACAAGGATCGATCCTTGGTCCAACCCTTTTCCTCCTCTATATAAAATCCCTGTGCAACCTATCCCTTTCCTATTATTCTATCATTACCTACGCAGATGATACTGCAATACTTGTCTGTGGCTCAAATTGGCCAGAATTGTGCAGAATGCGCTCTTGGTCATGTAATGCATTGGTTATCAAACAATCTTCTAACACTTAACCTCAAGAAAACTACTTACATTACGTTCTCAAAGACAGCTGTAACTCAACCATCTTTGGAAATATTCAACTTAAGAGCTCATACTTGTTCGACATGCACATCCACTAATACCTGCTACTGCCCAACTATACTGAGATCTATCCACACAAAGTATCTGGAAGTACTTATTGATAACCATAATTCATGGAAATAGCAACTGACTAACATTACTACCCGCGTCCACAAGATGATATTCATATTCAAAAACTTACGTCACGCAGCTGATTTTGACACCCTAAAATCAGTTTATTATGCACTGTGTCAATCTGTGTCTGGGGTGGAGCTGTAAAATCTTATCTTCTGCCCCTGGAGCGACTACAATGAGCAGTCCTTAAGGTAATGACTTTTAAGTCTATCAGATATTCGACTGCACAAATATATCACGAATGTAAACTGCTTACTGTCAGACAGCTCTTTGTGCTCGAAACAATTTGCAGAAAGCATGCTAGTCTGGAATATGACATTCAAGTCACAAGAAAGCGCCGTGCACACAAGATCTGCCAAGCTCAAAGTTTTAGAAGCGCACAAGACTACAGTGTCGTAAGCTGTCACTTATATAATGTTGCAAATGAATATTGCGACATCTATCCATTAACTAGATTGCAATGCAAGAGGAAAGTTACCTTATGGCTCTTGTCCAGATCTTATGAAGATACAGAAAATTTGATTAATCTAAGTATACTATAATGCATCCCTCACGCACACACTAACACACACTAATATAATACTTGTAACATAATAAATATAAACATATAATAATACGATATATATATAATTATAATATTAATATGTATTTTTATAACTTACACTTAATTATTATATTATTTTGTATACATATTATTTACATTTAAAACATACACTTTATAATTATTATTTTTTAAATACATAATATAATATAAAAAATAGTAGACCACCGACATCGAGTACAGGGACCAAGACACCGGTGGTTAGGACTCCAAAGATAGGAACCTCCTCACTATACGAGCCGTGTCAAGGAGGACTGCCTTCTGCATCAGACCCTTGATCCAGCCGTCCAACGTGAGCCTCTTAAGGTGTTGGTCTACCTATCGGAACAATGATCTATCTCTAAAAGTTGAAAACTGGCGTATGTATATATTAACGTATGTATGTATAGTAATGTATAAATATAGATTAGTAGGATTTATGTATAATAAATATTTCGTAGGTTAAGATCTTATTTATTTCTCTAATTTCTGTATACCTATCACCAGTTCAAAATGAATCCATCTAAAGGTTGTCTGGAAGAAATTGCACTAAGCGATAAGGCCGCCCTTTGTACATTACATCTGCTGTTAATTACTTTATTATGTGTAAAACCCTGGTGTACAAATAAAGTATTTATCTATCTATCTATGATCACTGAATCAACATTCCACATATCGACAATCTCGTGAGATAAATCCAAATATTTGATTTGGTTTTCTTTTTCAACTTTCACGAGATGGCGAGAGCCATGAGGAACAACGTGGCCCGACTATTCTCGAGAACTGGGTCGGGCACATACCTGTAGTATGGCAGAAATAATATGACTGATTGATTCGCCAGGACGGTGGCATGCCGTACCATCTTTCAGGATATATTTCCGATAGTTATTCGTCATGATAACTTCGCCCATAATCGCACAAACAAAACCTTCAGTTTCTCCGAAGACACCATACCGTAGCTAAGTCGTAGATGCTTTTAAATCTATATCGGACCCGTTTAGGGCCCGATAAAACCGACCATGGAGCTCTTTGCCCCTCCATACTTCTGTGCGATCATTAACACTAAGTACTAAAGTTTTGTGCCAATTCTCTTTAGCCAGTGCGAGCGGGGTGAATCCTCCTTCATTGCCATCCTAAACACCATCAGTAAGTCATAATCACGAATTAAATGAGGAGGGTTTTTACTCTCTGAAAATTCTACTGAATGGGAGAGCTGACGACCACTCATCTGATGGTGATTTGTAGGTTTAAGTATTTTTTTATTGTAATTATTAGTAATTTATTTTAAAAGAAATAATATTTTGTAAATTAATAAATGTGGGTCCTACCATTATGATTTTTTTATTCCTAGAAATTTCTTTAAACAAACATGATTCTGCTTTACACACATAATGAGTAGGTAGACGTAGCTAATTAAAGATCAATTAGTGACAATAGTGAGAAAATGAGACACGTTAGCAAAACCACTTCCGTTTTGCAGCTACATATTTCGATTAATACACATACAGTACACAGTTTCAACTTTTTTTTCTTAAAATAGTTTAAGATACGTGCGTGATAACTGAGGGACCATACTGGTATTTCGTTAAATAAAAGTTATATGATTTAGTTTCAAATCTGGGAATTTGTAAAAAAATATTTAAAAAACTACGGTTCTTAAAGTGCGGTGTCCCTCAGTTCTCACAGATCATCAGCCAGATCTCGGAAAATATAGGAAAAATTAAGATATTGTGACTACAGACATTTAGTAAAGAATTTGTAGAGATATTTACTAAATAACAGACCACAAACCATCAGAGATAAAAAAAAATATAACGACTAAACTGTGGTCCCTCATTCCGCACAAGAAATATTAATATTTTAGTAAATATTACCAAATCAAATCAATAAATTCTTTCTATTTCTACATGAAGATTTAGTAAGAGTCTTAAAACAATTTGTAAAAAAGAAATGGAATAAAAATACTGACGAAATTCGAGGAGAGCGACTATTAAAACTGGTCCCTCAATCCTCACCTCTGCTGACACATGTACATATAGGTACTAGCTTCTTTACAAGAGAAATATCCAAAGTCTAGTTTATTTAACTTTAGTAAAATGTTTCTACTAAATAATAGGGATTTAAAGGTATATATTTCTTACCTCTTAGTTGAGATACTACTATCTTTATATTCCTATGAAAGTAAACAGAGTAGTGTGACCACACAATGACACAAAGAAATACTCGTTCATAAAACAGTGATATCGGTAGACATAGAAAGATATTGTAGTTCTAGTTTCATAGCATTTAAATTAATATTTTATTTTAGGTTTTAAACTAACTTTCTATACCTGACCATGATGGTGCTCTATTTCCTGATTCCTCTGCTTCTCATGAATGGTATTCGATCGTTACTTTCAAGTAGAACTCTTATAAATCCTTACTCTAAAATCTATAGGTACATGTTTTATTACAGTGCTATAATGACCAGAGAACATCTCTTCTATCTACAGAACTTCGATATCGCTTAGTACTGGGATTGTTGAGGTCTAATCTCAGTCTTTAAATGTAAAAAATGGAAGTTCATACGTTGAAGATAAACATGATATGAATTACAACGTAAACGCACGATCTTCTTTGAGGCGGCGACATGGGATCTGGAGGCGAGAGCCCTTGCGGCTCTGTATCGGTGGCGCAAAGAGGCGCGGGAGCTAGGACGGAGTCCTGAGTCTCGAGAAATCGAAGATCGGAAATCCTCAGTCCTCGTGGAGGAGTGGAAGAAACGACTTGGGCAACCGAGCGCTGGGCACCCCGTTATCGCGGCGGTAATACCCGTTATGGAGAATTGGCTCGAGAGGCATCACAGTACCCGTTCATACCGGTTGACACAGGTGATCACTGGAAAAGGGTGCTTCGGGGATCACCTGTGTCTGATCCGTAAGGAGCCAACGCCTGAGTACCGCCACTGCGATGGCCGGACTGTGGACACGGCGCTCGTGGGTGGAGCAGAGGCGTGACCTCGTGGCGGCCAACGGGGTGGGAGTTCTCTCGCTCGGTAACATGATTGCGGCCATGGTGCGGAGCGAGAGTGCGTGGAACTCCGCCGTCCCCTTTTGCGAGCAGGTTATGCTTGCGAAGGAGATGGCGGATCGAGACCGGGAGAGGTTCAGAACCCTCCCGGCTCGCCAGGCCCGAGAACGGGCCAGGTATCGCAGACGGCTCGGACCCCCCAGGTCGCAGAGCGACCTCCGTCCTCCATAAGCGCAGGCGTGATGGTGACAGGTGAGACCATCTGTCACACTCTAGCAAAAGTAGGTGGCAAGCAGGGCGGGTGGTGGCGCGACGCGCTACGGAGCGCGCACGCCCTTCGGGGCAGGAAGGGAACATCCGGGTTCCCACACAGGAGGGGTCATCTATAAGCCGTAGATGGCCCAAGGTACGTCGGGGTACCAGGGCTTTCCTTTCTAGGGTATAACTGGTTCCCCAGCTACTGGTACCTAAAGACGGCATGCGGTTTTTGGTCGGTTCGAGTCCGAAATAATCACAAACTGGTGGGTGGTATCCGAGGAGTTCCGCACAAAAAAAAAGGCGCTTACAACGTCATAAGTGTCAAATCTATAAAAACCTATGTATGGATTATTTTAAGAGTGTTTAAAATAGGACATACAGAAATATACCTAACCTCAAAGGCTATAATCTATCTGTGTTCAAAATTCCACTCAAGTCTGTTCTGCCGACTTCTGATTAAGAAACATGGGAAGTTTTGAAATTTGGATCAAAAGGTTAAAATCTCACATTTCAACATCAACATCTCACACAAAAAAAAACACCCACCACACGGCCGTGATTACTTGACTCGGGCTCAAATAGGGATGTTTCTTTCCTCGGTATTTCCATTATACTGCTTTTATATGTCCCTTGGTTATCGTTACTAGTCTTGTTAGTCGTATTAGGAATATCTTCCGGATTTTTATCTGTAGAATCAGCTGCAACCTAAAATAAGAATACATGCCAACTTCTTTATGCTTTTCAGATCTACATGTAACACCTGCCCTTTTGTCAGTCAAAATGTGAAAGGATTCATCGGTCAAAGTGCTATCAGAAACTGATAACGAATTCATAACGAAACGTCACGACGCGATGTTCCATTTTTTCTGGGGACCACATCAACAAACAACAAAACATATGAAAGCGCCATTTAGTGTAGACTCGAATCTAGAACTTACCCGATGCTGTATCGCAATTGAAAGTTCTAGACAATTTAGTTTTTTTTTTTATATGACATAGAAGGCAAATGAGCAGGGCGTCACCTGACGGTAAGTGACTACCGCCACACATGGTATTTGCAACTGACGAGTCACGAATAGATTGATCACCTTTAAGGCGATGTCTGTATGCTCTGCTCTTTTCTTAAAAGCTTGAAAAGATCGATTCGGTCCGAAAATGCCACAGGCGGCAGTTTGTTATACAGATTGATTGGTTGGCACAATTTTCAATTTCAACCGTGGAAATACAGATCAAAACGGAAATCGATCGAATCGAAATCCACGACTTCTGACTTTACAGATGAATATAATAATATACAAATAATTAAATTGAACTTTTACAAACCTGTTTAATAGCTTCAAGTAATTGCGGTGAATTTGACTTTAGGTTTTCCTTTATGGAATGTGAAGTTTCAGTTCTACAGAACACTTTTTTTTGTGGATCTGTAGTCATCTGAAAATATAGAAACATTATTTATCTTATGTTTTATGTTATGTTAAAATCAAAACTTAAGAGCTTTAAGAAGCAACACAATACATTTACAAATAGTTTACTATTTCTGTATTTTTTCTAATAAATTTAAATTTTTTCTTAACAGCATTAAATAGGGATTTCAAATTTGTACTTACTATAGAATCAGTTTTGGCACTTTCCAAAGTTACTATTTCATTATCTACCACTTCTACAATTGTAATTACTTCGTAACTCCTATTATTATCATTTAAAGACGTTTCTACTAATGACTTTGTATTAGAATCAATTTGTTTTATGCCATCACTAATATTAAGACCAGTATTAGATTTATTGTCAGTATTTAATTCATCTATTGGATTATTAACTGAATGCATTTCATTAGAGGTTTCTACATCCATATGAAAATAATTCCAACAAATATTACTGGTTTTTGTATTCATTTCTATTACTTCACACAGTTTTACTTCATCCAACTTAGTTCTATCATTGATAATAACTTCTTCATCATTATATATACTAAGTATTGAGTCTAAATCCACAGTATCATCATGAAGCCAAAAATGTATATGCTCATAAGACGTATCAAAAGTAGAAGCATCTAAGCGGCCAAAGTCATAGCATAAACAAAAATCTTGTGATTTCAAAGAGGTAGAAATATTTATAGTATTCAGTTCAGTTGCAGAGATATCACCTATATTGCATAAGATAGGTTTACTTTTATCTAGAAGATTTTTAGAGGCACATGGTTCACTATGTTTCTTTTGTCTAGTATAAGTTTTTAAAACTTTAAGCTTATTAGAAATGTCTTTGCCTCCTTTATTTCCACCAGGTTTTTCTACTCCTTGAATACACAATTTAGATTTGATCATGTTTGATTTGGAATTTATTGTACTTTTCTTCTTTTCAACTTTATTTATTATTGGCTTATTATCCTTGTAAATATGTGCATACTTCTTTATGTATTCAGCAATTTCTTTGACCTTTTCAATGTTTCTATTTTCTTTACTAGATTTAACAATATCATTTATTTGATTGTTGCAAAATTCTTTATCTTCTATGCATTTATTCATAACTTTATTTTCATTTATTTTATTTTTCTTCTTTTTTTTATTATCTAATGGATCTTTAGAATCCCTCTTGTCTTCAACAAACTCCAGATCATCTTTAAAATAGCTTGGATATAATTTTTGTTCAGAACTACTCTTTCTGTCTGTATCTCCATTATCACTGTTTATTTTTAAAATTTGTTCTTTCTCAATGTGGTCTTGTATAGTGCTAACATTTTGTATGTTCATATGTTTGCAATTAATGTCGTTCAGTTGTGATTTAGATAGATCAGGCATAATACTATCATTAATCTGCATTTCCAAAACTTCATTAAGTTTTGGATGTTCATAAGGCTTAACAATTGAGGCCCCAGTCACAAAGCTATTTAAAATATCATTATTATTCTTTGAGTCTTCTTTTTTTATTGGCAAATATTCCAAAGTCTCCTCTTGAGCAATGTCATGATTAGTTTTGGTTACAACATTTTCTTCACTGTAAATTTTAGTTAAATCCATATTACATAAATAATCAAATTGAGCTGAAGAGGGTAAAATAATAGAACTAAGTGACTGTGAAGCCAGGACTTCAGTTTGTTTTAGGATTAATGTAGAACCTTTATCTACAGCTTTCATTTCAGAAATATATTCATTATTTCTCTTGGGTGCAATAATAGAATTTAAGGGCACTGGAGTTAAAGATTTTATCGCTGGAGAATGTGCTTTTCTTAATTCTTTAAAATCTAAAGGTGGAATAATTTCTTCCGATATAATATTTATTTTGTGAACTATTTTATGGACTGGTACACCTACATCGGCAATGGTGTCTGTAGATTTGACATCAAAACCATTTTCTATTGTATCTTTAAGATTGCCATTGCACAAGTTTTGAGCCATCTCACATTCTTGATTTTGACCAATTTTTTCTGGCTTCAAAGTTTTCTGTCCATGTGAAATATTCTCACCAACATTTGTGGCAGAAGTAACATTATCGTCTACAGACAGGTTTAATGGAGGAGCAGCCTGTACTGATCTTGTACAGGTTATATGTTTGCATGTATTTTGTGGCAAATTAAGCTGCTCATCTAGAGATCTCTTATCATTTTTCATGCAATTTAAACAGTTAGCATTTTTATCTTTCTCACCATTTTTAATATGCATTGAAGCATGTTTCAAAGAAATGGGTTTTTTGTCAAACAAGTTTTCTTTTTCATGAATCACAAAACTTTCTACAGACATTGTCTTCTTTTCTATTTTGTTGTCTTCTACAAAAATTATATTAGAGTTATTTACAGGAAATGTATTCTCATTTCTTATATATTTTAAAGAAATTGTATTGTCTTCCAATTGAAGGTAAGTATTATTCCCTCCTAAAGAAATGTCAGTCCCAATCTCATCATGTTTATTTAGGCTTTTGCTTCCTTGAATTTCTTCTAAAGAAAACATATTATTTTGGGCATGTTCAATGCAAGTGGATTGAGAATTAGAATTTTGTTTGATTTGCATTGCCTTTCCCTCTGGAGAAATAATGTCAATGTTGTTAACCTCAGTGCACTTGTTTGAATAATGACAACTTTTCAGAGAAATAGTAGTTGACAAATTTTCTTGTGCAGTTTGTTCTGTTTCAATCTCAGTTTTTTTTAATAAACTGAAATTTTTATCAATATTATCTTGTTCCATTATATTCTCTTTGACGTTACTTGCTGTAACTTCATCCAGTGCATATTCAGATTTTGTAAAAGATTTTAAATTATTGTCTTCACCTCCTTCATTCTGATTTGCTTTTTTCTCTACAGAGATGTTTTTTACAATTTCCTTATCATTTAAAGATTTCAAATTATCATCAGCAGATCTTTCTGCAACCTGAACTGCATTGTTTTCTAAAGAGATGTTTTTCACTGCTTGTGTACCAGAGTCTATTAAGAAATCTCTATTACTCTTTGTCTTAGAAGTCTCAATGAAATCTGTATCATATTTAAAGTTTGAAGAACCACTCATAATACCTGAGGATCTAATGGCATTTAATTCGACGCTCTGCATCAAATCAGAATAATGTCTATTAACTTCAGATTTGCTACTTTGATTTCCGTGTTTTGAAAATCCATTAAATTCATAATCATCTGTTATATTAGAATTATCTAGAACAATTTCATTTCTACCTAGTTGTTTATAAATTTCACTTTCTGTTGAAATGTTTTTAATAACATTACTTGTGATACTCTGGACCCCATTAATTACAAAGTTCGATTCTAGGTTGCCATTGTTTTGATACTTTTTTTGATTGTCTTTATTTGTAGAAGTTGATTCACAGTGAACACTTCTGTCTTGAATGGTTTCCAAAACACAACTATCCAAACATATTTTAGAAGCATTATTGTTTTTTACATTGGAAATTTCAACTTCACCTGATATCATATTGGCAATGGTGGGGACAAAGGTTGGACTCAAGAAGACTGATTCTTTCATCAGACTTGCAGTTTTTAAAATAGATGACTCACTTGATTTTTGATTGACCTTTGTCGTTGGAAGCCCATTAACAAAATCATTTTTAAAAGTATCTATAAAACAAACATAGCGTTAGATACTTAGTTAATTCCTACAACTGTTTTAAAAACAAAATTTGATATTTTACTTACTTTGTGGATTATTAACTTTATTAGGAATTTGATGATGAGTATTAGTGCTACCAATACTAATGCCAAGTTTTTTTAAAATATCAGGAGGAACAACAAGCACATCAGCTTTCCCTTTGTCAGTTCCAGATATATTTTTTTTCTGTCTTTTGCGATGTTTTAAATTTTTTGTCTCCATTGTATATTTTTAGAATTGAAGTCATTGAAATTTAATGTACACAATTATGTAGGGAATCATCAATCCTTAAAACTATAAGAAAAACAAATAAAAAAAACACTTAAAACAATAAAAAATTTGAATTACTTAGAATTTTTCTGCTGGATCTCCTTGTATTATACAATATTATAAAATATTACACTATTATTTTATTACAATAGCTCTACTATGGTCATTTAATTTGAAATTATAAAATATGTACTTAAGTTATTTAACAAAGTTATTGTAAAATAAATAACATTTTACAAAAACAAAACTACACAAATCACTCTACCAAGGATCGAACCATGATCATCAAAATGATAATCACACGTGTTTGCAACAAAGCTAGAAGCACCGTTTCGCCCAATGGTATAATTTCCATTTCCTATTTATAATGACAATCAAAATTAGAAAAAAAAAGTAATTTGCAAATAAGAAACTATAAACAGGTACATCAGAAAGAATCGAATTTTATAAAAACTCACTCTTTATCTGACACTCCCACTGCGCACTAGAACTACAACAAAATTCTTAATACGGGACAGCAACTTGTACACCTTTACAGATTTTCACATCTAAAATGTATCTTGAATTCGTAAACTACCACCAAAAGTTACAATTTCAGTATATCTTATGTTTGAATAATATAAATTCGAAAGAAAACTGCAGGTATAGGTTATAGTCATTCACGACTCTCAACTACTGTGGAGATTTTTTGCATCAAAATTGTAAATTGCAAACTAGGCCGTAAATTCATTACTAAAAGTTTATATTCCTATGTGCAACATTTAAGTTATCAATTTGAAAAAAAAATACTTTGCATCGCGGTCTACAGATGTCGCTGGAATAAAACCTTCAATGTCTTGCCTATAGATGTGACCAATAAAAAATGGAAATGAGGTAATTTAAATATACTATTATGTGTCAATGACTTTCTTTTTTAAAGTTAGTCAAACAAATATTTCTACAATTTGAGTCCAAGGAAGTTTCAAAAACAGTTTCAGAAAGTTTATTACTTTGCTACTGGTAAACTTTATCTTCAAACTCCAGCTAAAAACTATTTTTTGCTCCAGGACCATATTAGGGATTTATAAGGACTTTCGCAACTTTATGTGAAAGTTCTTGCTTTTTGCTAGAATTAACCTGGGAGATAATTAATAAATAAGAGAATTTAACATACATCACAGCTAAAAATGGATTATGAAATATGGCTAGATTAAGAGCCATGTTTACAACAATTAAAATAATCAGAAATTATTTTTATCTATGCATGCGACAAAATCACAGTGAACTGTGAAAGACCGATGATTTAATATTCGATTTCAGCGGATGTAGGTTAGGGTTACTACTTACTCACGCGTTGTTGCCTGTAAGTTGTTTTCAGACGATGCATAAAGACCCTATTTCGCCTATTTAAGAGTAAATCTAGTAATTATTTTATTATATATAGCCACCATTCCCTACATAATAATTTAAAAATTACTAGATTTATTGTTAAATAGCCTCTAACCTACCTACAGGTGGGCGGTGGCCTTTTTCCATAAAAGTTAAAAATATTTAAAAGTAGTCACCAGAATGTTTCTCTTAGGTTAAATACCTGAATTATATATAGCTCCAAAACAATTGACAATTCAGTACATATGTCTATCCATTACAGCAAATGGACTAGATCGCATGGATTGTTCGCATTAATTTTGTTTCCGGATATTGATGTGAAATATGTTATGCCCTCTGTTCAGGCCGTCTTGTGGCATCGGCATGGTGGTGTGGCATGCGTCGCCACGCCCAATATATAAAATTTTAATTAAATTTTTTATTGTGCTAAATATTTGATATAAATTAAGAAAGTTTTGGACAATAGAGAACCTTATGAAAATAATAGAATATTGTAAAGAACATTATATTTTTTGGGACATATGGTTACACAGTGATAGGTGGATGATGTTAAACGGTGGATGGTGGATGGCAAATTTAAAGTAATTTAAACCTTTATGTGTTATAAACCAAACAGATCAGAGTTGACATCAAAAGAGTATGTATACTCTGAGATTACCAATCTACAGATGATTTAGATGATTAGCTAACGATGCATTTTTATAAACTTTTCAACTTTTAACATTGAATTTTTGACTGATAAACTCTTTTTCACTTTTTTCGATTTTCAGAGAGAGTTTTCAATACTAGACCTGTGGAATTAGCTTTTTGGTGAGAAAAACTCCTATTGAATTCAACTGTAGTTACAAGACAATGACAATATATCTAAATTTCAGCTCTCTACCACTTCCCGAACGCGAGTTATAAATATTTCAAGTTTTGCAAAAAAAAAGTGTTTTTTTTGTAAATTTCGAGTGATTTGATCATTCGATTTTGCTCTCCGGTAGGTCATTCGATTTGTGTTTTCATTACACACATTTCTTACATTAATTTTTTTTCGTAGGAGCTATAGTTTTCGCTCTGGTTTTTACCATTTTTGTAATTTTTTATTGCAGAAATTACTGATAGTTGAATCTTAAATAAAAAAATTTTTTGCTCCAATAGGAATTTACCGGCTTTTACAGGTTTTTTTTCGCTAATTCTATTCTATCGATAAATAAATTTAGATTATTATGTAGGGAATGGTAGCTATATATTATAAAATAATTACTAGATTTACTGTTAAGTAGGCGAAATAGGGTCTTAATGCAAGTCTGAAAACAGCTTATTGGCAACAACGCCTGAGTAAGTAGTAACCCTAACCTACGTACGAAAAAAAACGGTCTTTCACAATTCACTGTGATTTTGTCCCATGCCTAGTAATAAGAGTAAAATGACATTGTCAATTTCATGATTCATCGATTGACCGCCGGCTTGCAGTTGATGCGTTAATGAAAAACAGTTAAATAATTGCCAATTTCAGTTATTATTTAATTGTAAATTAAGAAAATAAAAATCTTGCTAGTAAATATGAATGTCACACCTAAGGCTCTACTATTTCATTTGAATGCAGAATGTAATACAACAAGAGCTCGCGCAGGTATCATGAAATTACCTCACTATGATGTGAAGACCCCAGTGTTCATGCCTGTTGGGACACAGGTTCGTACCAATTAATTGTTCTTGCCAAGAGTTTAATCTCGACAGTTACAAACATTTACACACATTACAGGAAATTTGTCTACTAACATTCTCTCAACAATTTATGTGAACTCTGGTCCACGCCCTGCCTATAAAATTCATTTAAATATAAATTAGCGTTTTTGCAAATTAAGTAATAAATAAAGGTAACCTATACTTCAGCCAAATTCGATTAACAATTATCATGGACTGCAGTCGCACACCATACTACATCACTAAGGCACCACTTTATTATATTAATAATAATAAAGCCGTTTTATTTCCCGTCACCTGAGTATTACATGTAAGTATCTATTCACTTATGACCATTCACTTAACGATTGTTTCGTATCATTTACTGCATTTGCACTTAGATAGGAATCCCTGTTTGGGTATAGGCCTCCTCCAGTTTAAACCAGTTTTCGATGTCTTTCGTTTGCTTAATCCAGTCCTTACCGGCTGTAGCTATGATAACTATTGGCCAATCAGCCTTCTTCCTAGCACTTATAAACTGTTTACCTCCATTCTGCTAAGCAGAATCAGTACCAAGATCGAAAATCTTCAACCTATAGAACAAGCAGGGTTCCAGTCAGGTTTCTCAACTCAAATTATCGATAGAATAGAATTAGCGAAAAAAAACCTGTAAAAGCCGGTAAATTCCTATTGGAGCAAAAAAATTTTTTATTTAAGATTCAACTATCAGTAATTTCTGCAATAAAAAATTACAAAAATGATAAAAACCAGAGCGAAAACTATAGCTCCTACGAAAAAAAATTAATGTAAGAAATGTGTGTAATGAAAACAAATCGAATGACCTACCGGAGAGCAAAATCGAATGATCAAATCACTCGAAATTTACAAAAAAAAACACTTTTTTTTTGCAAAACTTGAAATATTTATAACTCGCGTTCGGGAAGTGGTAGAGAGCTGAAATTTAGATATATTGTCATTGTCTTGTAACTACAGTTGAATTCAATAGGAGTTTTTCTCACCAAAAAGCTAATTCCACAGGTCTAGTATTGAAAACTCTCTCTGAAAATCGAAAAAAAGTGAAAAAGAGTTTATCAGTCAAAAATTCAATGTTAAAAGTTGAAAAGTTTATAAAAATGCATCGTTAGCTAATCATCTAAATCATCTGTAGATTGGTAATCTCAGAGTATACATACTCTTTTGATGTCAACTCTGATCTGTTTGGTTTATAACACATAAAGGTTTAAATTACTTTAAATTTGCCATCCACCATCCACCGTTTAACATCATCCACCTATCACTGTGTAACCATATGTCCCAAAAAATATAATGTTCTTTACAATATTCTATTATTTTCATAAGGTTCTCTATTGTCCAAAACTTTCTCAATTTATATCAAATATTTAGCACAATAAAAAATTTAATTAAAATTTTATATATTGGGCGTGGCGACGCATGCCACACCACCATGCCGATGCCACAAGACGGCCTGAACAGAGGGCATAACATATTTCACATCAATATCCGGAAACAAAATTAATGCGAACAATCCATGCGATCTAGTCCATTTGCTGTAATGGATAGACATATGTACTGAATTGTCAATTGTTTTGGAGCTATATATAATTCAGGTATTTAACCTAAGAGAAACATTCTGGTGACTACTTTTAAATATTTTTAACTTTTATGGAAAAAGGCCACCGCCCACCTGTAGGTAGGTTAGAGGCTATTTAACAATAAATCTAGTAATTTTTAAATTATTATGTAGGGAATGGTGGCTATATATAATAAAATAATTACTAGATTTACTCTTAAATAGGCGAAATAGGGTCTTTATGCATCGTCTGAAAACAACTTACAGGCAACAACGCGTGAGTAAGTAGTAACCCTAACCTACATCCGCTGAAATCGAATATTAAATCATCGGTCTTTCACAGTTCACTGTGATTTTGTCGCATGCATAGATAAAAATAATTTCTGATTATTTTAATTGTTGTAAACATGGCTCTTAATCTAGCCATATTTCATAATCCATTTTTAGCTGTGATGTATGTTAAATTCTCTTATTTATTAATTATCTCCCAGGTTAATTCTAGCAAAAAGCAAGAACTTTCACATAAAGTTGCGAAAGTCCTTATAAATCCCTAATATGGTCCTGGAGCAAAAAATAGTTTTTAGCTGGAGTTTGAAGATAAAGTTTACCAGTAGCAGAGTAATAAACTTTCTGAAACTGTTTTTGAAACTTCCTTAGACTCAAATTGTAGAAATATTTGTTTGACTAACTTTAAAAAAGGATGGAGCGATGATATCATAGCTTTATTATATTATATGCAAATAATTCAACTTGAACGAAGTTGCGAGTACCAGGTCGTTATAAATAAACATTGTAATTTTTGGGGTTATCAAAATAATCAATGTTAAAATATTTTAATTTACCTAACCTCTGACATGCTCGGCATGTGAAGAGTTAATAGCTATTTCCTAGTTGCATATAAAAATTTTGTAGCCTTTAGAACTAATCTATCCATTAAACAATACTTAAAAGAAAATTATACCTTACAACAAAAGGTTGACAAATATAAATCTACAAGGACTCAACTAAAAACTATAGTTATATAAACAATAGTTCAGTTATAAAAATACAATTGTGATGGTAACAGTTATTTTATTCTTTGTTACAGATATTACATACTCTAACAACTCTAACAATCATTTTATAATTTCGACTGTAAACTGAAATCTAGTGTATTTTTTTAACCATTAATCTGCTGAGAATGCAGAGTGAAGTTACATCTCTACGTAACGCCAAGGGATCGTGCCGGTCGGAGATCTTCTGGCTATCGACAATTAGGTTCCCTCTTCGTTGGATACGGTCCAAAGGAAGAAGCTGGTACTGGGGTGCCCCTGCATAGAGATGAGAACTGTATTTCATATGCGACCGGACTTGCGCCTTATAGAGCTGAAGGCCGGCGTGAAGTACTGCCTCGATCTGTTCAGCACACCAAGCTTCTTAAAGGCCAATTTGACCTTACCCTCAGTGACCCCAAAACTCGACTTCGCTCGATATGTCGATACTGGCTGAGGCAGTTAGGGAGGTGTTCTCAAACCGAGGTGATACGACAAACGGTATCTTTTTTGCGGTGAACGCGCAAACCTACGTCTTTTAGGGGTTAAAATGGACTAGATTCAGTCGACCCCAATCTAAAACCTCCGATAAGAAAGTTTCAATTTCAGACATCAGTTTGTTTCGACTCTCGATGACGTTTTACCGAGAATATTGGGGCAGCAAGTATAAAAGGCATCTTGCGCGCTATCACCTGCATAGCAATGGATGCTACTAGTTTGCAAAATATCATTGATATGCAGAAGAAACAGCGTGGGTGATTTACGAATTTCATGTCGGAGCATGCACCGATAACGACCTTAATGCTTCTGTCCTCAAGGAAACTGGTGAACCAGTTAGAAAAATGAACACTTCTTAGGACTTAACTTTATTAACAACGATTTTCGTTAACAAGCTTTCCAGGTTTCGAATATGTTCTTGAAACATACCGCCTATGACCAAGCTTACCGTACAAGTCTCTTCCTTGGTCTCGATCGTCTGTGCCACCGGTATGTTAAATAGACGAGAAGATCATCAGCTGAGCGACCCGGCGAAAATCATATTGGCGTTCATTGAGTAGCTGGTGATTTTATAAGTACCGGAGGAGCTGGCAGTTGATTACGGATGCCATAATCTTAGAGAACAAGGGGGTTATGGTTATAGGCCTAATTTTTTTTTCCGAGGAGAGTCGAAAAGGCGCGTTAAAACCGGTGCGAACTTCGAAGCGCACGTCTTTAGCACAATAGGGGAGATTCCAGCGGGCCCACTCGACTTATGGATATCGACGGAAAAGAGCAGAGCCGGTGGTTGATGTGGGTTGAGTGGGTACTTCTACCCATTCGGCAAACTCCGATTGAATAAAATACTCACTCGAACTGTGACACTCGACACTCGAACTCACATGACCGTTAGGTATATATCCTATCCTATCCGCTTGACCGTCTTTGTAGACATAGCCACTCATTAATTTACCTACCTAATCCGTCTTTGTAGCTTTGGCTTCGTCTATGGGTTGAACGATTTCTATTAAAATAAGTGTGTTAAGCTTTATAAATAATACACCAGGTGGCTCTCTAAGAACGAAGTGGCCTCTGATTGGGCAAAAGTCTCTGCCGGGCGACCATATTGAGAAGGCCGATACGACAAAGATTCCGCGAAATTTGCTCGAGGATTTGAAAATTGGACTCGAGGATTCATTCCAGACTTTGTGCGATTTATTCGCTTACTAATTACAATACCTGAATCTTCATTTTCTAATGAGAGTCAATTCAATAGCCCTAAAATTCGTTCCACCTCTGCAGATGGGCGATAATTCTATTTTTTAAAGTTGGCCGAGAAAGCCGATCTCCTAGGCGAACTATTTGCATCCAACTCGATTTTGGATGACGCCGGTGCCAGAGTATGCCGGAAATCCGGTTCACCCAAAAAACAGTTCGTAAAGCACTCTTTTGCAGGATCTGTCCAACTAAGACTCTAAAGCTCTATATTATATAAATAAAACTCAACAAAACGAAGCTCTATACCTAATATAATATATATATACGAGTATATAAATACATATATATAACAATAATATTTTTTATATTTTTAATAATCGCCTTTGAGATAAAACAATAATAGTTACAAGTAAAAAAAAAAAAAAAAAAAAAAAAAATATTTATGCGGATTATTTATTATATACACAGCTAACAAGATGAGTTAGTCGTGGGAGAGCCAGGCCTCTGCACTTATAGATCGGACTCGACCGGAGTGATTCCACTGCCTCAAAGAAAACCTGTGTTAAGCAGTTCTTTCGTTGCTTTTCACCGAGTGAGAGAGGTTATTGGAATCTAAACCCTCCCCTTTCCCCTGGTTCTGGGGGGAGGGACTGAAAGGGCACCAATGTACTGGTGATTCTTAAGTTGCAGGTGTCCATGGGCGGTGGTAGTCACTTACCATCATTGGGCCTGTCTGCTCGCTTGCCCCTAACACCATAAAAAAAAGATGGACCGGATGGCGGCCAGCTGAGCCAGAGCTAATGTCCACTAATTAGCCGCGAATTCAACCGAATGACGCACAACAGTTTTTGAACACTATGTTTCGTCACCGAAACTCGAGCTAAAACTAGAATTTTTGGCCGAATCCGAAACTTCGATCTACTAATTTTAATCCTAAACATCAGTCTGTATTTATGACTGTAAGTCTCTATCTGTTTTGATCGTTCAGCAATGTTTGTTAGTAAACATTTCTATGTCAAATGTGACCATAGTACAGTTACTTTGTTTAGAAAAACATGCCCACTTAAAAATGTTGTTACTGACTTCCTCAACATTACAACTAATACTAAAAACAGCTGCGATACATATATAATAGTATTTAAATTATAGTATCAACAAGGTTGCAGCTTAAAAACATAACTTTATGATTCTTTTTATTTTTCAGGGTACTATGAAAGGCCTGTTACCAGATCAGCTTGAGAGTTTGGACTGTGAAATTATTTTAGGTAACACCTATCACTTAGGAAATCGTCCTGGAACAGAGGTATTAAGAAAAGCGGGTGGTCTACATAATTTCATGGGATGGAATAGAGCACTTCTCACTGATTCAGGAGGTTTTCAAATGGTATCTTTATTAAAGCTAGCCGAAATAACAGAAGAAGGTGTAAAATTTAGATCACCTTATGATGACTCAGAAATTATGCTCACACCAGAAAAGTCTATAGAAATACAAAATTGTATAGGTAAAGCAATTTTTATGTCAGTTCTTCACAAAATAATGAATGAATAAAATAAATGATTTTATATTTAAGGTGCTGATATTATTATGCAACTTGATGATGTTGTTCAAACTACATTCCAAGACTATGATCGTATTAAGGAAGCGACTGAAAGGACAAGCAGGTGGCTAGACAGATGTCTCAGTGCACACAATAGGCCTTTGGAACAAAGCATCTTTCCTATTGTGCAAGGATTGCTCGATAAAGAATTAAGAGAAAAGAGTGCGAGAGATCATTTAACCAAGGATGTTAATGGATTTGCTATTGGGGGACTAAGGTGTAATAAATAAGACTTGAATACTAACATTGCTTAGAAATAGGGAAATTTAATATTAATTGTTAAACACCCCTTCAATTCAAATGGTAAGAGATTTTGGGTGCTCCATCCATCAATCAATCAAACAAGTTAAGGATGTTGTCAAATTTGTGTTCTCAATTGCCATTTCAATTACAAAAAAGAAATTGAATAGTACAACTTATTAGGTTTTGACAGTTATTATTGTTTCAGTGGAGGGGAAGCAAAAGATGATTTCTGGCCTATGGTTCGTTTAGGAACAGGAATACTTGATAAAAATAAACCAAGATATTTGATGGGTGTGGGTCTAGCCATAGATCTAGTTGTTTGTGTGGCTCTAGGGATTGATATGTTTGACTGTGTATTTCCAACTCGCACTGCAGTAAGTAGTACATTCTTAAGTTATTATGTCTTGAAACACCAGTAACCTGACAATTCTTATTGTTAATAATAATTTTTCTTTTGCAGAGGTTTGGTTGTGCCCTGGTACCAAAAGGTCAATTGAATTTGAAACAGAAGCAATATCAAACTGACTTAAATCCTATAGATGAGAATTGTCCCTGTTCTACTTGTAAAACCTACACAAGGGCATATTTACATAGCATTGTAACTGTGGAGACAGTTGCATGTCATTTAATTTCAATTCATAATATTGCATATCAGGTAACTTTTAATGTACCTACAATAAGACTTACTTATTACATGATAACATGTCACTACACCTAAGGATTACCTGATTAGACTTTACACTATACATAAACTATGTATATACAATATACGATGAGCAACTGCTCATCGTATATTGATGAGCCACCTTTCAACTTAGTCATTGCTGTGCAATAGTCCTTTTTCAACTACCTACCTATAAAAATAAATCTGGGCAAAAATTATAGAAAACAGAAATGCTGAAGTTGAAGAGGTAGTATTAATAAAAGGCATGACCTATTTCTTAGCGTTCCTTGGATTTACAGTGCGGGTGCCGGGTCCATCGCGTGGTAGATGGGGTCAACACATGCCATTAACAGCACCTGGGAATTGCAACCCAGGAATAGGTTTAGGCAGTACTCCTTGCGACGCGTCAGCGCTCACCTCCACTGTCTGCTATGTAACCCCTTCTACCTAACCATATTTGATACGAGCCTAGCAATGCCGCTTTGAATATTCGTTCAAGAAAAGAGCTTACTGAAGCTCTTGGCAATCCAAGGTCTTTAAGCAGATTATAGAGGGATTTAGCTGGTATATTACTGAAGCTCTTGGCAATTCAAGGTCTTTACGCAGGTTGTAGAGGGATTAAGCTGGTAAACCCTGCTCACCCACTTCCACGGCATACAACGCAACGAAATTCGCTCGATATGTCGATACTGGCTGAGGCAGTTAGGGAGGTACTCTCGAACCGAAGCGATAGGACAAACGGTATTTTTTTGCGGTGAACGCGCAAACCTGTGTCTTGTTTGGGTTAAAATGGACCAGATGCAGTCGACCCTAAGCTGAAACCTCCGCTAAGGAAATTTCAACTTCAAACACAAGTTCGTTTTGACTCTTGATGACGTTTTCCCGAGAAATATTGGGACGGCCGGTATAAAAGGCATCACCCGTGCTATCTGCATAGCAATGGATGCCACTAGTTCGTAACATAGCATTGATATGCAGAAGAAACAGTGTGGGATATTGTGTTATGTGATATTATTTACTGCCTTCAAGTCGGAGCATGCACCGTCAATAACAACCTTAATGCTTCAACCTGCAAGGAAACTGGTTACATTTCTCATGAAGTCCATATTGGATGATGGATTGAGTTACATAATTTCTCATGAAGTCCATAGGAAGCTAGCTTCGAGAGAAGCGCCCTATGCCACACCCGATCAAAGGCCTTTCCTATGTCCAATCTCACCGCACAAGCCTCTCCCTTGGTCTCGATCGCCTGTACCCACCAGTGTGTTGGAAAAACGACAAGATCACCAGCTGAGCGACCTCGGCGAAAACCATATTGTCGTTCATAGAGTAGCTGGTGATTTTCTAAGTAAAGGAGAAGCTGCCAGTTGATTACGGATTCCATAATCTTAGAGAACAAGGGAATTATGGCTATAGGCTTGTAGTTGGACGGGTCAGAGCGGTCACCTTTTTAGGGATCGGGTGAACAAACGCTACTTTCCAGGAGTTCGGAACGACGCCTAGGGAGTAGGAGAGTCCAAAAAGGAGAGATAAAACCGGTGCCAGCTCCGGAGCACACGTCTTCAGCACGATAGGAGAGATTCCATCGGGCCCACTCGACTTATGAATATCGAGGGAAAAGAGTGCTTGACGCATCGATTTCTGTGTGAACCGTATTGCCGGAATACAGCTCTGGCACTGCGGTATGGTCAGCGTTACGTTTCCCCCGTCATCCAAAGTCGAATTGGACGCAAAGAGTTCGGCGGCTAGGAGGTTGGCTTTCTCCTTGGCATCATCGCCCATCTGCAGAGGTGGAAGGGATTGGCTACAGAAATTCCTCTGGACTGCCTTGGCAAGAGACCAGAATGCACGAATTCCAAGGAAGTCTGTCACCAATCCGGCTGATGTGCTCCGATTTCGCCCTGGCAATGGCTCTATTGAGGGATCTGGAGGCAAAGTTCCCGCCTTAGACGACACCCCCGGCCGCACCGGACTGTCACCTGTCTCGGGTCGTAAGCCAAAGCGTCGCATGGTCCCAAGATGTGGCCGCAGCGAATTTTAGGCTGCGATTGGGAAGCTAGCGTCGCGTCCCGTTCGCCGCCTTCGAGTGGGATCGGCCCCCTCCCGATCCCGCTCTGCGGCCTCCTTCTGGAGCATAACGACCTCGCAGAAGGAGACCGCGGCTGCCCATCCCTCGCCACATTGCCGCGATATGCTGGCGGTGACAGGTTTCGTCCGATCTGTCCGACCAAGACTCGACGTTCGACTCCCACGCAGGGCAGTCCTTCAGCGTGTGCTGGGCGGAGTCCCGGTCGGACCCGCGATGGTGGCATTGTGCCATAATTTCCCGTCCAATTCATTCGATTCAGATAGTGACCGAAACAACCGTGCTCGGTAAGCATCTGAGTCAATCGGTAGGTGACACAGTCGTTCCACCCTACCCACGCTTCGAAGCGCGGCTCCGACGGCGTGTTGGCTAGCACAACCCTGCCCGCAGAGCCTGCATTTGCGCGTTCCGCCGTAGCATTCCGGGCTCATGATCCGGCGCGGCCTCCTCACCGTTCCGACCGACAGAGCGAACTTGTTCATAGACCATGACGTTCATATCGGTTAGAATGTCGAAGGGTGGATATCGCTTCAGGACCGTTACCCCCTAAACGAGATCGTACGATAGCTCCGTACGACCCGTATGGTCATCAACCGCTGCAGGCCCAGTAGAGCCTTGCAGCGGGAGGCACCTGCCAAGTCATTGGACCAGACGGGTGCCCCATAGAGTACCATGGATCGCACGACGCCCATGTAGAGACGGCGAACTTCTTCCCGTGGTCCCCCGAGACTGTACAGCAGGCGATGCAGTGCACCCGCAACCTGCGCACTCGGGGGACCAATCGCTCGAAATGCTTTTAGAAGCTCCACCGACTGTCCAGGATGAGGCCTAAGTACTTAATGTACCGACCCACCTGGACTTTAGTGTCACCCATCCGGAGGCATGAGCTGGGTGGTTCCTGGCGCTTACGTAGGCCATGGAACCATATCGCATCAGTTTTCTGAGACGCCACCCTCAGACCCAGCTCATGAATCTTTCCCACGACACAAGCCACCCCATGCTTAGACTCTCTAGCCAGTATTAAAGTGTCGTCAGCATAGCAGACGACACTGAGGCCAGAGGTCAGACTGGTGCGAAGGATATGGGAATATATATATATATATATATATCATATGGGAAACCCCGCAACAACTCACCGATTTTCCACCCCGTTCCGACCTATAAACTTCACCTACCTAAGAGTACTACTAAGTAAGTGCCTGGCTGTACCTATTTCTGAACTACACATCGTACAAGCCTTTTCTGTAGCTTTTCCCGACCTTACTAGGTTGCTTTGATCGGGGGGAGTTAATTGAAAGGCGTTGAGGCGTTTCAATAGGGCAGGTGACCAATCGCATAAAAGTGTGCGCCATTTCAAAGCCAGTGGGATACATAATTATCCTAGAAATGCAGAATTAATGGTTAACACCATTTATTCTGCATTTCTAGGTTCATTGCGTGCACATTGTAGGTTTCGTTCCCAGCTTGTTGGTGGAGTTAGAATTCCGAAGGTCGTTTTTAATTTCATTCCAAAGTATCGAGCCCCTGTACAACGTTGTGGGGTGCTAGCCCGAGCCACGACTTTAATGTCTTAGTGACTTTCGCGAAAATTATTGTGGTGTGTGACGGATTAAGAATACGGATTGTTACCACCCCTATTCATCCTGTGGGTGTCGTAAGAGTCAACCAGGGGACCAAACTACGCAAGATAACAGCACTGCCAAGAAAAAGAAAACTTGGTTTATTCCCAGTTGTTCTATATAGAGTTCCACGTGGAACATTTGCAACCCACTAATTCCATGGGAAGTTGTAAGAATGGGAGTTATATAAAGTTTCAGTTACGTAGCTTGTATTATTATAAGACTTTCCTTGTTTTCTTGTGCTACAAAAAATACAGTTTCAGAAGAATATTTTAATTTGATTCATAGCAGAAAGAATACCGACTTTTCGTAAAAACTCCTAATACCCCTAATTTTTTATGTCAAATCAGTACCATGTGGAACTGGCTTCATGGAACTACTAAGAATATACCAAAAACTTGATACAACCCCTATACTAACCCGTCTGGCCCGCATGCCATAGTAGGCCAAAACCTTCTTTCTAAGGAGGTGCCTATGTCCAGCAGTGGCTTATTAAAGGCTGTTGCTAGCTAGCTAGCTATAGCTACGCGCATGGATAGAATACAGAGAGTGACAGAACTTGTTGATGTACTTGATATAATAAATTTATTTCTTATTTGTTTCTTTTTACAGATGCAGCTTATGAGAAGTATGAGGGAAAACATTGAAAACCAAACCTTCCCACAATTTGTACAAGAATTTGTTAACGCTTACTATCCAGATGCCAACTATCCAGATTGGGTTATTAATTCTTTAAGTTCAGTGGGAATAAATATTGTAAAACCATAGTAATGTAGTATAATTCTATTTCCTCGTTTATATTTAGAAACCTCTTATAGATGAAATAATATAAGGGATAAACGTTACATGGCACAAATCATTGCAATTAAGGACGGAAGCAGTGGCCGACGTCGTAACGTCGCGGTTTCGCATAATCATATTAGGTGCAAATAAGGCAGTTGGTTTTGATGTGGAGAAAACCATACCATCTTTATTTATTTATTCATGAATATCTATTTGTCCCCTTTCAAGTAATCCCCCTCGAATACAATACATTTATGCGAAGATTTTTTCTTGAAGTACTTCAGCTCCTCTTTCGGTGCTCCTTAATCGTGGCGTTGCGTCGTCCTCTTCAGTTTTGAGAACAGGAAAAAGTCACAGGGGACCAGGTATCGGGAATACGGTGGCTGCGACACCATTGCTGTGAAGTTTGGGCAAAATATTCGCGCACAAGTAACCATGTGTGAGCAGAGGCGTTATCATGGTGAAAAAGCCAGTTCTTGTTCTTTCAAAAATCCGGGCGAATTGCGCAGAACTTGTAGGTAATATTCTTTATAACCAGTACTACCCTGTACCAAGTATACTATACTGTACTCATGATGTACCACGCCCCTGCAATCGAAGAAAACTGTGAGCAAAATTCGACTAAACTTGGCGCGGTTTATCGTGCGGCAGTTTCCATTGGATTGATAGAACTTTGGTTTCCACGTCATAACCATCAACCCATGATTTATCACCAATTATGACCTCTGGAGCAAATTTGCGAGTTCAACATGTCCTGAGCAACGTTAACGCGATGCTGGTTTTGGTCGAAATCGGCAATTGAAAATGGCGAATGGTACGATCCAATCGATATGTTTAGGTCTTCAGGTCTTCAGTACAGTCCGCGAGGCATAAGCTGAGCTTTGCATTAGTGTGAATAATCACCAAAAGTAGTCACGCATGTTTCTTTTATATTTTTTTTACATAAGTGGGTGAGGTATTCTAGTTTAAAATAAATAAAAGTAAATAAGTAAAAACATTTAAAATAAAAGCCAGCTATGATAATTACGAATGACTGATGAGTATGTGTATATGTACACATACTCATCAACATCACATACAATCGTAAGTGTGCTTTTACATATGTAAGTATGCGTTTCGATTGCTCCCTTCCTAGCTATATCCTCGCACACAATCAATCCACCTTTTCTTTGATGTTCCTCTTCTCTTGAAACTTTCCTTATCTCTCTTAACCAATAGTCAATTCTACAACTTAATTCTTCCTAATAGATAGATTTTCGTCTAGTAGAGCAAAATGTATTCCCAAATTAAATCGAAATTATGGTTACCCTACTCGAACATCGTATGAGATAACATTATTTTTCAGATTGCACGCGTTGAAAACTGAGGGTTTAATGACATGTCATTCTAATAAGGTTAATATGTAGGATAAATTGATGTTCACACCAAAATCCTGGCACTTATAGATAATGAGATATAAGGCACAAAGTAACGTTTAGATTGCGCGGCCACGTACCTACTTACTGATTTTGTCTGTTTAACTAAACTTTGGTAGTATTTATTGGTTTTATTAGTTTTGACAAATTAAGACCTTTCTTCTTGTAACAGTTTTACTGTATAAGTCTACCGTTTTAAAGAAATAATCAAGAATAAAGAAACAACAAGTGTACGATTGCGCCGCCACAACTTCCAAGGTGAATATTTCGTAAAATATTAATCCGTTATTTCTATATAACCTATCTACCTGTATAACATAGCCATAGCATAGTATAATATAGTTCTTTTTTCGACAAATTTTGACTAATTTAGTCTTCAATTAACAAAAAGAATTAGATCTCTAACTTAAGTAGTTGCCGAGATCTTCGTGGCTGCACAATCCTTCACATTTCGTTCGTGCGGCCAACTTAAAACACTTATAACTTTTTTATTTCTACTTTGGTTTGTTCCCTTAGAATTTGACAAATTTCGACAAATTTTTGGCGTTTGTTTCGATAACGTGGCGGAACAATCGAAACAAACACCATATTTACCTACATATTAATATTCATATTCTAACTCAATATCAACTTCATATTTTATGTAGGGGAGAAGTGGGTAATGGGAGTCAGTGGGCAGTCGTGGTCACTACAATAACTCGAGAAACAAAATGCGCTCAGTTGCAAACGCCGCGTATCCAAGGTCATTTCACCTCATACAGGCCCCGCACCAACGCGTGCTTAGTTCGCGCCGAGCGCTCGGAAGATACGGCCATGTGAGTGTTTTGTGCCATTTTCTTATAATTTTTCGTGTGCACAAAATAAACGGTAAGTCAATTTCTGTTATACATTTCAACTATTTATTCATTTCACACTGTAGTTAGGTCATTTGAGACTGGTTTTGCGATACATACGAAGTGATAAATTTTTAAACTATTGTTTTATAACCTATTTTTTTCAAGTTGTCAGATTAGGGTAATGAGAGTCGCGGTGACTCTCATTTCCCGCAGTGATTCTCATTACCCGCAATAATTATGGCGTTCACATGATTCGATTTTTTATAGTATATTTATATCATATTGTCTGTTTTGCAGATGCCAAAATCACGTCCTAGGAGTACCAATAAAGCCCAGTGGTCTTCAGACACACTATCCAAAGCGGAAGATCTCATAAATGGAGGTTCATCTATAAGACAAGCTGCCAAATGTATGGATATACCCTTTTCCAGCCTTCAGAAGCGCTTAAAAAAAAAAGATTCCTCGGAACCACGTCTTGGGCGTCAAACCGTATTTAGCAAACAAGTGGAAGAGGACCTGGCAAACCGAGTTAAATTAATGGCAAAAGCTTTTTACGGATGCACTGCTACGCAAGTCAGAAAGATTGCCTTCCAATACGCAGAAGACCATGGAATTAAAAACAATTTTGACAAAAATGCAAAAATGGCAGGTCGTGACTGGCTGGAAGGATTTCTGAAAAGAAACAATATCTCTATTCGCAAGCCTGAGGCTACCAGCATCAACCGAATCACTGCTTTTAATAGGCGGGAAGTTGAATTGTTTTATGGCTTTCTGGAAGAATTGATGGACAAACACAAGTTTATACCACAAAACATATACAACTGTCCAGGATCCTGGAAAAATCTTAGCCCCTAAAGGTGTGAAAAGAGTTGGATCTATCACTAGTTGGGAACGAGGCAAAAACATAACAATGTTGTGTGCAATGAGTGCTGCCGGTGGATTCGTTCCACCAATGTATATTTTTCCAAGGAAGAGAATGTCTGCACAGATGGAGAAAGATGGTCCAGCCGGTGCAATCTACAAATGTTCTGACAATGGATGGATAAACGAGAATTTGTTTTTTGAATGGCTACAACATTTCACTGCGCATACTAAGCCGTCACCTGAACAACCCATTCTACTGATACTGGATAATCATGCCAGCCACATGTCACTACAAATCTTTGAGCACTGCAAACAAAATAACATACATATGCTTTCACTACCTCCGCACACATCACACCGCATGCAGCCGCTTGATGTCACATTTTTTGGGCCTTTTAAAGTTGCTTACAAGAGAGAGTGTGATTTATTTTTAAAATCTCGGCTTGCAGAAAAAATAACACCTTATGATGTGGCAGCGCTATCAAACAAAGCATATGAAGCTGTGGCATCTATTAACAAAGGAGTGTCTGGATTTCGATCAACAGGTATATTTCCAGTCAATCCTGGCGTTTTTTGCGACGAAGACTTTTTACCTGCTGAAATACTTACAAACACTACAGACTCCATTGCAACTGCACCCATGCTTGCATCTCCAAGCTTTTTGGCTATGCCAAGTACACCACAGATGGACCCTGCGGTATCGGTCCCCACGCTTGCTTCTGCCAGTTTGAGGGCTTTGAACACTGCTCAAGCATATGCTCCAGCTTCGCCATTTGCCACTCCACCTAGCCAAGTCGTTGAACAAACTTCACCATCCCTAATTGCAAATTACAGTTCCTTCTTTGCATCATCCACTCCAGTATCTCAAACCATTCCACAATTGTTAACACCTCCAATCGCATCCACTAGCTCTGTTTTGCTATCGCCGATCCTTGCACAAAAAAATATTGTATCCTCACACACAGCCTTTGAAAGATTGCTTCCAATTCCTGAACAAACAGCATGTGTCAAAACGAGAAAAGGTGCAATCAAGCAACATGCAAAAGTGTTAACGTATACACCATTAAAAGATAGTCTTTTAGAAAAGGAAAATAAGAAAAAAGAGAAAGCAGAGAAAGGAAAATACAAAACTAAAGGTAAGAAGACAAAAGAATGCAAGAGAAAAATAGAAGACAAACAAACTACTGCGAAAGCAAAGAAACGCATAACACAATGCAAGATCGTGAAAAACAAGGCTAAAAGACGTGTTTTACAAGACATCCAATCGACCTCCGAGTCAGATTCAAGTTGCCATAACATTTGTGACGACGATGAAGATGATGACATGAAAAATATAGATGGGATTGGTACTAATACCTGCCTTATTTGTACCGAGTTCGGGCGCAACAACGAGATCTGGTACAGATGCACGGTGTGTGGGCTATGGGCACACGCAGACTGCACCGGATGGGATTCAGCAGAAGGATATATGTGCGACAACTGTTAGGATCTGTTGACTCCCATTACCCAATGCGTGACCACAATTACCCGCACGTGTGGGCAATAGTGATCAAAGTGATTTTTTTCTTTAAGTCTTATAATTACGAAAGTTCGTAACCAAAGTAAATGAAACTCGTCAGACTGATAGTTGATTAAGTAAAGTATGTTAAAAACTTATATTAATAAATATTACTACAAAGACTTGTGTTTTGGATACATTATTGCTTAAGTGACTCCCATTACCCACTTCTCCCCTATACATTTATATCTTCATATATCTTCATTTATATCACATATAGTGGGTAGTTGAAAGCTCAACATATAACTTTAAAAGCTCTTCTAAATAATTTGAAATAAAAATAGAATAGACATATTTTATATAAATTTAATGAATACAATAAAACCTCAATAATAAATACCTGCTAGTCAGTGTTATATCCACAGAAAAACTAAAGTATTCAATTTTCAAAAATAAAAACTACATACAGCATCACTATGAGCACTATAGAAGAACTACAGGATTGTTTTGAGAAGAGGATGGCAAACTTCGAAGCAGAGCTCCTGAAGAAGGCTTCAAATGCTGCTAGCTTGGCTGGTCTCGCAGAAGAGTTTACTATATTCAAGACTCTCATCTTGGAAACCTTGAAGTCCTTCCAAAGCCAGATGAAGGTGCTTGCGAATGAGGTGGACAACATGGAAACCCGCAGCCGTCGCAAGATACTCCTGGCCGCTGTCACAGGATGGGCCGACAGACTACGGTTGAAAAACCAAGACCCATCCTAGTTAAATTTAGGGCAGTGGCAGTGCGGGACCGAGTCTGGGCGTCTAAGACCAAACTTAGGGGCACTGGTGTGACACTCTCCGAGTTCCTGACCCGATCACGACACTCTGCTTTCATGGCAGCACGTGAGGAATTCGGGATCACTAAGTGTTGGACCAAGGAAGGTACTGTTTACGTTATGGGTCCCGACGGTTCACGCCATCGTATCACTTGTGTGGCAGATCTCGACCAGATAAGGCCAGTGGCTGCAGAAAAGCCAACTGTGACTAAAACTCAAGCTGCGAGACCGAAGAGAGCTGCTGTCGGTTCAAAAAAGTAAATGGTTGCTATGTGGTTCTCTCTTAGATACATTGAATGTAATGTTACACTGTCTGGGTGAATTTCACGCGAGAATCAGTCCATATTTATTTTCTTTACTAACATTTTATGGTTTCGATTATGGTAATCATCAAATAATTCTGTTCAACATCATTAAACCAGCCGAACACATTTATTTTGTTGATCTACCTTTATTTAAAAAAATCTCAAAACAAAAATGGCTGTCAAGTGTCAAAGAAAGTCAAATTGCGTTTCCAGGCCGCATATTTTTCTGCAACACTATTGCACGGTACAATTATAATACAGTACTCCAACTTCATACAAACGGACGAAACGCGAGCTATACCTACGCGCCTCGATCTCGGGGTGCGCTCGGGGTAGAGATGGACATTTAAAATATACATCGATGTTTTTTTCGATGTAAATCATCGATCGGTCATATCGATGGTAATACGATGTATTGAGAAATACATCGATGTTTCTTTAACATCGATTATTTTCGCCATGACGTGTTTTAGGTTAGGTTAGGCCAAAAAAAAAAAAAAAAAATAAAAAAAAAAAAAAAAAAAAAAAACGAATAATACGAGTCGAACGACCTACAGCGTTCCAACGGGCGAATTAAAAGAACCCTGTTCAATAAACTATAGCTATTTGGCGGCTATACAACACTATACTCATTCATAATTTGCTTGGTCGATGCATCGAATAAAAAACATCGATATATATTCGATGTTGAAGTATTAACAATACATCGGTTTAATACGATGCATCGTTACTATACATCGAGTGTTTTAAATAAATCGATGTATATCGTCCATCTCTAGCTCGGGGCGCAGACAGTCACGGCTGTACCGCAGTGTCGAACGGACGGTGTGTTGTTTTTTTAACAATAACCGCCCGATTTTTTCTCTAAAAATCAGTTAATATGACGAGTAGAAAATATTGTGCTGTTTTTGGATGTATGAATTCGTCAATAACGCATCCAGACATAAGTTTTTTTTAATTACCTGGAAACTGAAAGGTAAGACTATAAAATAATTTTACTTACTAGTAGGTACGTACATGTGTGTCTTTTTAATGGATAAGTATTTCCTTTTATCTCACGAAAAAAAGGTGTTTGGATTAATAAATAAAGCGAATAGAGTAACGGAAAGTTATTGAGACGAGTGAAATAGGTAGTTATATGCGGTTCTGAATGAATCATGATGCGGTAGGTACCTACCTACTTACGCTTGTGTTTAAACTTCGGTGCATGTGTGTTTGCATAATTCAAAGTAAAGACGTGGTATTTTATTATTAATAATATTTGTTTATTATCTGTGTGTATGAATAATACTAGAATTTTTTTTTTACCGTCTGTGTGTCATTAGATAGTTTTCGAAATTTTCACAAAGTGTTTCTGCTGCTACTATAACAACATATACCACTAAAAACTGGTTTTATTTTCTCGGTATTAACAACAACAGCTAAACTCATATAAAATATTTAGATGTTTGAGGGTTGTGATTTTAAAACATTCGTAGTCACCTGTTCAGCTTTTTAATAATTAATTAATTTTTTGACCAAAGAATTTTTGTTTTGAGTTGTTGCGAGTTGTAGGTAGGTACCTAATTTATAGAGACGTTAATAAGCTGAGATAAAAAGTTACTGACTCGTCAGCTGTTTCTTGCATTCTAGTTGAGTAGGTAGGTGTTGGAGTTTCTAAGGATTGGAGTTTTGTAACGCGTAAGGAGAAAGCACATTTTTTTTATTCTAAAGAAGGATTTTTAAGCTATTGCATAGCTTTTATCGCGGGCTCTGAGCGCGGCGCGGCGCGGTGACCGAATCAAGAAATTCTCAAAACCTAACGAAAAATACCTGACACCACGCAGATTTCTTTCTTTTAAAAAAAATAAATGTTATGCAATAGCTTTACCGCGGCAGTCTCCGAGAGTGCCACATGTATTATTTTTTTTCAGACGTCTTCAATGGTTGCAACTGATCCGGCGAGATGATTTGGAAAACAAACCTAACTTTAGTTCCAACCAAGTTTGTGAAAAACATTTTAATTTGGAGGATGTATTACATTCATCAAATAGAAAACTTTAAAAAAGAATGCCCTACCATTGTTGATGCTGCCAAGTTTAGCTAGTACTGATCCAGGAGTCTCTCTAAAAGAAGATAAACAAACCCAAACTGCTCCGTTGGTAGGAAATGAAAATAGTACACAGACTGAAAATGCAACAAATGAAATCTTTGCTCAAACCTCAACGAGTCTCTCTAGCAACACTCCAAGAAAAAGAAAATTAAAACTTAAACTCCTCCAATGCAGAAAGAAAATAAAATAATTAAATCTACCAATCAAAAAACAACACGCATTTTTATTGAACACTTCCTATTCAATATACAAAGAATTTCATTTATTTATATAAAAAGGATATTTACAATCACAAATCTAAATAGAAACAGAAAGTAGGCAAATATAATTAAAATACTGGAAACGGGCAGCCCTAACGCATGTTTACGTACCGCGCGGCTGTAGGCATTTATTTCTATCATGCGGCCTAGTTACACTACTGTATTATAATTATACCGTGACTATTGTTTGTCATTGATTAGTTGTAAGTTTGAAACAAAGTCTTTTGAACGGGAAGTTCGCCCAGAAAATTGTGACACAATTTTGCTTCTTTTTGTTTTTGTTTTCTTTTCTTTTTATGATTACTTTTATTTAGTTAATATCTTTCAGTAATTTCTAAATGTAAAACACACGACTGGCGGGTGGATCATGAAATTAAATTTTAATTTTTGTATTACTACTATTCATATAGTATTATTATTTATTAAACGTTATTGCTCTATTAGTTTACTTATATATTCTTGAGTCAACTTTATGTTTGACTTGGACAATAATGATGATGACAGTTTTTACTCGATAAACAGTCTTGATTCTAGCTATGCTAGCATACCCTCACTCCATGAGAATCTTCAGTACCAATTTTCTAATGCTCCGCGGAATTTTAATGTAGTATATATCAATGCCCAGAGTATTCCAGCTCATTTCCCTGATATGCTGGCGACCTTTGATTGCAAAAACATTCACGACATTTTAGTTTCAGAGACATGGTTAAAACCGTGCCTACCTTCTACACCATATACTCTTCCTGGTTTCAATCTCATAAGGAATGACCGCGTGATCGGTGGTGGGGGAGGTGTTGGCATATACCTGCGACAGCACATTCCCTTTACCATTGTAAACATGTCGTCACAGCCTCCATCACCGGACGCTGGCGAGCATCTCTTTATAGAACTAGTAGTTAGCCATGCGAAGATTTTACTTGGTGTTTACTATTCTCCCTCGTTACGCACTAATTACTTTTCCTCTTTTGAAAAATTACTAGAAAACTTTTCTCCCTCTTATAGCCACACATTAATAATGGGCGATTTCAATACCTGCTTGATGAAAAAAGACCATCGCTCTTCTTCACTACGCAGAATTGTGGACTGTAATAACTTATCACTCTTAACACTTGATGCTACACATCACTTCCCTAACTGCACTCCCTCTCTTCTTGATCTTATCCCAGTCTCTTCTACTGATCATGTCATCAGCCATGGTCAGTATTCCGCTGATGCTTTTTCCTATCATGACTTGATATTTCTCTCTTATGCTATCCGACCACCCAAGGCAAAGCCGAGAATTCTTGTGCAGCGTAATTTTGGCGCGATGAATCTTGTAAGACTTAAGGAAGATGCGCGAAACATCAACTGGAACAATTTGTTAAATTCGCAGTGTGTTAATGATAAAGTCCAAATATTCACAGATAACTTGATACAGCTCTATAACGTTCACGCGCCCTTAAGATCAATAAAACTTAAGCATTTACCGGCTCCATGGCTTACTGAGGAGATACGCAGCATTATGTCCAGGAAATGTATAGCGAAAAGCAAATACAAGCGTCGACCAACCGAAGCGAACCTGGAAAAATATGTGTACCTGAGAAATCTCTGCAATAAGATGTGTAGAAACGCACAACGCCAACTTATCCACTCTTCCGTAGAAAACAGAGATCCAGCAAAAGTCTGGAAATTTCTAAGAACATTGGGAGTCGGGAGGTCTCGCCAAGAGCCTATTCCCAAAAATGTCAACATTGACTTACTCAATAAACATTTCTCTGCCTCGTCTGACATTAGTGACAGTACAAAAGCTAATACTCTTAGATATATTTCTACTACCCCTACTCCCAACTATCCACCTCTCGTCTTTGATCAGTTGTCTGCTTGTGATGTTAGGAGGACCATTCTGGCGATCTCATCCAGCGCAGTGGGAAGTGACTGCATCAGCCGAAATATGATTATTCCTATCCTTGACGAAATTCTACTTATCCTATGCAATATCCTTAATCACTCCGTCACAAGCGGTGTTTTTCCATCTGCATGGAAAGATGCCCAAGTAATCCCTCTTCCAAAATAAGCTAAACCCTCTTCATTTTCTGACTATCGGCCCATATCTATTTTACCTTTCCTATCCAAAGTACTTGAACGCCTCATCCACTCTCAACTGACTAACTTCCTCTCCAAAAATTCTCTACTGAACCCCTTCCAATCCGGATTTCGCCCTGGCCTGGCCATAGCACTACTTCTGCGCTGGTACACATTACAGACAGCATCAGACTAGGCATGGATAGTGGAAAGATCACAGTTCTCACCTTACTTGATTTTAGCAATGCCTTCAATACTGTGGATTTTCACATTCTGCTTGGCGTACTACGGTCTCTTAACATATCTTCAAGGACAATTGATTGGTTTCATAGTTACCTGTCTGGTCGCCGGCAACGGATTTGCATTGATGACTCCATGTCCTCTTGGTGCAGTATTTCTGCTGGTGTACCGCAGGGTGGTGTTCTATCTCCTTTACTCTTCGCTGTTTTTATAAACTCAATCTCTAATCAACTACGTTCCTTCTACCACCTTTATGCAGATGATTTATAAATATATACACAAGCTCCGATTAACATGTTATCGGATGAATTCAACATAATTAATGCTGACCTTCAACGCATTGGCGAGTGGAGTTATACCTATGGACTTATGATTAATCCTATGAAGACACAGGTGTGTGTTATTGGCAGCCCCAGGCTGATCTAAAAAGTTAACTGGACTCTACTGCCCCAAATTCAGTTCGGTGGCACAACTCTTGAGATAAGCACTGCTGTAAAAAATTTAGGGATCTACATGGACAACACTTTATCATGGGGTTCACAGATGCAAGAGGTCAGTCGTAGGATATTTGCTTCAGCCGGTTCTCTTCGAAGACTACGCAAATTCCTTCCAACTGCAACTAGGGTTGCGCTTGCACAAGCACTTCTCCTCCCAATTCTCGACTATGCCGATGTCAGCTATCTGAATCTCACTGAAGCACAAGTCGATAAGCTTGAGCGACTACAAAATATGTGTATACGATTCGTATTTGGTTTACGAAAATACGATCACGTCTCTGAATTCCGTCAAATGCTCAAGTGGCTTCCAATTCGCTCTCGCCGGAATACTCATATCCTTATTTTCCTTTACAACATTTTGTTTAATCCCAAAACCCCTTTCTACCTCAAAGAACGATTCAAGTTCCTTAACGACACACACGAAAAATATCTGCGGTCATCCGTAAGTTTACAACTGGAGATGCCACTACATTCCACCAAATTTTATGATCAATCCTTCACTGTTGAAGCCGTGCGCTTGTGGAATGCACTGCCGCTTAACATCAGGCAGGCGCAAACATTAAATAGATTCAAGAAAATGGTACAGGAATTTTATTCACCTTAATTGACTCCATCTCGCTTGAGGGTGTAACGAAACTGTTTCTCTTTTCTATATGTTTATTCATTTAAGAATGCGTATATATATATGTATGTGTATATGTATATTTGCTGGTATAGTATGTAGGTACTTATATATATGTAGGTTTATTTATTGTGATATGCATTGTAGATGTAAGTATAAAAATTGAAAATGTTTGTAGATAATATAATGTGTAGTATATGTAATATGTATAGTAGATAATAATAAACTAATAGTAGGTTCACAAATGGAGATATTCAACTACTACTGTCTCTCTGCAACTTTTGATCCATCCTAAGGTTGCCTGGAAGAAATTGCATTTAGCAATAAGGCCGCCCTTTGTACACTCGATATTTGATCGCTGTGTTCCTTTTTTGTAACTCTGTAATTTAGTGTGCAAATAAAGAGTTATCTATCTATCTTCTGAATGGTATGCTTTATTAAATCCGTTTTAACAAACATTATAAACTAATTGAAAAGAACGTATGGAAACGTCTACAGCTCTCTAGAAAAGCGTTTTATGTGAAATATAGCAGATGGCCATACGTTGTGGCAGCGGCAACTTAAATATCTTCGCAGTTTAATGACACGAATTTCATTTAGACATACCTACACAACTACTTCACGTCATAAGCCTAATTTTTGAAACTATTTTATGTGAAAACAGCACATCAATTTTGACGTGTCTTGCTCAGAAATTTTATCAGTTTTGTAAAGCTCTGACGGAGAAAAACTAATAAAAATGACAAAATCCCGTGATAAATATTTAAAAAAATAACCTGTTAGCAGTATTATTTATTTTTGTTAAAAAAAATTAGATACCATCTATTTACCCTGGACTACGAACAAACGGAAAACTTGCTAAAAATAGTAATACACATCTACACATACCTCATACTTTAACACACACTTATGGCGCGCAAACACACGCACGCTCACACAAACATACACATACAACCACACACACATTTAAAAATAAATACTAGCACATTTTAAATTCCGTTACCCGTTGTCTCTTTTCTATTTTTTCTTTGTAATATTCTCTTAAATTTTAAGTGTCAACTTTGTACAGTTTATACATATTTTTTCGCGGATGGAAGCCCGGTTATCCATAACACAAGTATTTTACTTAGTTTGGAAACCAGTCTCCCACTATTATGTTATGACAACATTGTACATCTGTTTATGTTGTAATGAGAGAGAATTAAACATTTATTATTATTATATTACTGTTAAAAGATAACTTGTATTGATTATTTATTTTCGAATTTAGATAGAATAAGAAGGTGCTCAATTTGGTTTATTATGCCCCACCAAAACTAAATTTATAAGAGAAAGATATTGTTAATTTTTTTCAGTTTATTAAGATTTAATTTATAACATAGTTTTCATTTTCTACCAAAATTTAAATTTATTGATAAGCTAAGTGTTAAATTTTATTCATATTTAACGTGTTGATTTATTACCGAAGTTTTAAGTCTAAACTGCCTCTTAAAATTATAACTGGCCTTAAATACCTACTAAGTACGTAGATACCAATCTAATAAAAGTATGTATTTGAGAATAAATGGCATCTTCCTTTTCAAATAGAAATTTAAATCCTTTGAAAATAAAAAACAAGATACTTTTTACTATGGCCACGACCCGACACCGTTGTCCTAGAATTGTCCCGGATTTGATAAGCTTATATCTGGCAACCCTATCCCCGAGTGAGGCCTTTAAATGATAACAGAAACTTCTGTATTTATGTATGTAGAGAAAATAAATTTTATTCAAAGACTGTGGCGACTCGACACATAAAAACATACTACAGCGCCATCTAATGAAGACACACCGAACTACGGAGTAACTACTAAGATAAGAATTGCTAATCCTGTATCGCGATATAAAGATTTCTCTCGCCGGTTAGCATATATACAACTTCCCAACATCAACCGTTGGGCCGCGGCCCGCCAGGCATGATCACCTCGCCTGGTCGGAGGATCCTCCCTTTGTGTTGGAGGGACATGACACCCGTTCCTCCACAACAGCATCCCATTAGGTACTATAGATTCTATCAGGACTAGGAATCTTTATGGTGGTATCTCTTTCAAAGAGTGGATGTCTTTTCCTAGACCAGTGATGGAGTAACAGTTATACAGTATAAACAATCTATGTGGATATAAATATTTATTGTATTCTACATAAAATCATCAGAATCATTGCCATCATAGTTGCTTGTCATGTGTTCTGTTTTCATCAATGTAGAGTAACTTCTTAATTCTGCTTCTTCTTTTTTTCTTTTTTCCTCCTCCTTCTCCTTATCTTTCTTTTCTCTCAAAATTTTCTTCTTATCTTCTCTTTCTAATCTGTCTCTAGTCTCTCTTTCGAGCCTGAGGTCAGGAAAAGCTTCTTTTTTAGTTTTATTTAGTCTATTTACAACCTCATTGCATCTTTTAGCTACTCGAACTTTTCTGACATCTTTGTCTTTATGGAATGCCACTTGTCCAGCCTGCAAAAAAATAGATTTTCTCTTACTAGCCTATTTAAGGATGTCTGGAGTTGGTAATGGAGGGAGGGAGGGCGCCACAGTGCCACTGTTAACATCGAGTCCGTGTTTAAATTCAAATTAAAAATTCACTTTCAACTAAAAACAATAAAAAGTGCAAAAAAGTGTGTAATTAAACTAAGTGCCATATGGAACATATCGAGGTTCCAGCGAAAATTGAGTGAACTAAGAGATATTAACAAATATAGAATATCAATCACCTGTACCTGTGTGTCAAGTCAAAGCAAATTAACTGTCGTCGTGATTAATGAATATTTCAACTTTATGGTGTGGTAATAATTAAATAAAATAAAAGCTTTGTACAAACAGGGAGGAAAAAACAGAAAACAGCGTGTGATACCACCTAATAAACGTTTTCAATGCTACCCTCTGAAGTGCAATTGTTCGAGTACTGTATTGCCGCGTTAGGTATGTGTTAATTATCTGTGGTTCTTCTCTTGGACTCCTGCTGGGATCTCGGGGGGCATTTCTCCAGGCCTATGTCCTGTTTAGTGTTGATTTTAGTGTTAATTATACAAACAAATCTGGGACCATTAGCGCCATCTATTGACAATTTAAAGCAACACAACCAGGTATTCGGAGTAAAACTGATCACAGTATTGATTCCTAGTTGAATCGTTGCTCCGGAAGAAAACCAAAAAAGGCACTGTCAACAATTTTTGCATTAAAAAGAGCAAAACAAAGTACTATCATGGAAGAAATAAAATTAATGTTAGAAAACATTAAAAAAGAAATGATACAACAAAAACAGGACATGCTTGAAATGAAAGAAGAAATAAAAACTACAATTAACAACAATATAAATGAAAAATTTAGGAGCCTGGAAATTAAGAATGAACATGTAGAAAAGAAACTGATCATTTAGAAAGATATATTAGACGTAAAAATCTGGTTATTTTCGGGGTGGAAGAAAACGAAAACTCGTATCACGACCTAGAAAGAAAAATATTAGATATAATACAGAAATACTTTCACTTGAATTATGGAAATCGGATTGAAGCTGTCAGAAGATTTGGAAAAAAAGGTGAAAATATAAGACCTGTATCAATTACGTTTGCGACAATGGGACTTAAAACAAAAATAGAACAAAGTTTTTACTGTTTGAAAAATTCACCTTACTACATAAAACAAGATTACCCTAAAGAAGTGCTGAACAAACGTAGAGAATTACAAATACAATTGAAAAAAGAAATAGAATCTCCGGCAAAAAGGCTTTCATAAGATACAATAAGCTCATTGTACTTCCAACCAATAAAGAAACTTGTTTTTCAAAAAACAGGAGAACTATGTCTGAGTCACCTGAAACAAAAGAAAACTATATAAAAAAACACAAAGACAACATAAAACAACCTGTAAAGAAAAGTAAGACAACCACAATGAAAAACTACGTTCAACACAAAAAGAAACTGATTTTCAACAATGAACGTTCTTCCGATGAACAACCAGAACTCAAAAAAAATGAATAGCAATCAAATACGGCCCTCTCGATCGTGTGCGTTACCCCAGCAAAATAATGTCGAAAATGGTCATTTAAACGTTATAGATAATTAGTTGCTCCCCTTCTGTAATTGTTAAGCACATTTTTAAATTTGTTTCACTTAAACTTTTTTAGTTATTTCAAAAAAACATTTCCTGCTGGGGTAACGTTTGAAACGTTACCGCAGCCAGACATTTTCTTTTTTAATTGTAATATTGAAATAAATTTTAGCTAAATAATTAGTTATCTGGACTAGGTAAATGTTACAACTTATTTGGTATTTGTATTTTCTTCGGTTGCGAAGTTATTCGAAATCCTGCTGGAGTAACGTTTGTGGGTTTGCTGGATCTCTGAAACGGGTAAGCGGATTGTAACCATCTTTTGTACATAACTTCTTAAGGATTAGTTTTAATTTGTTCGATAATAAAATAACAAAAATAATGGACCGTTTAAAAATTATTTAGGTAAGTATGAAAACACTTCAATACGTCCTAACACTTTAAATAAGACCTCTAAAGACTTACTTGAAACGTTATTCTATTGCTTGTAACTACCTTCAAATGTATACGAATTTTCGTAGGAATACTGTAAGTGACTAAAAAGTTATGATGAAATGTAGCTCTCCACGTTCACGATCAAAATGTATGCGGCCTTTTTTGGCCACCGATAAACCTGTGTGTGTGGATATATAAACTGAATGTTATGCCAATAATTAGTTGTTTAGTTCAGTTGTCTACCTGTAGAATTTCAGCGTCGTACATATAATAATTTACGAAATAATTAAATAAAAGTCATTAGAAGGTGCAAGTCCGTGGTAATCCGACCATGTTTAGGTGGTTACAATAAAGCGATCACCCAGTACATTGCGCTGTCTTTTAAAATGTTTAGTGTAATACACCTTACGATTTCGGTACAGTTGCGTACAGTGTTAAATACATTCAATATTTATTCATTATTATTACCTATTATTTATTTTGTTTTTTCCCTAATTGATCTTACGCACTAGTTTCTTTACTTAAAATTTATTTAGTCTTTTTTACTACCGGAGCTACAATCAACAGAAAATCTGCACTGGTCCGCTAAAATTATAAATATGTAGATACATGTATAAACGATTCACCTGACTGCAATAAAACTAAAATTTAAACCAATAAGAAATCGTTTCATTTCTTTGATTTTTTTTTTGTAAAGAAATAACACTAAAGTAATTGTATTTTATTTTGGGGTGTATAGAGCTTAGACTTGAATGCATCAAAATATTTAAAGCAACAAGTTATCTACAATAAGTTAAAATAGACCGAATAGTAGAAGAATACAGTTGTAAATTAGAATGCATCAACATTGCATCGCCCAACAGACGTATACCTCGTAAGAGTAGGTAATATTGTTCTGTGGTCTATACCTAGAACCGAGAATTATCTATACCTATGTACCTACCGTTAAGCGTTGAGCCCATTACTGTTGATTTCTGTTAAAAACGAACAGTTGTTGAATGATATTTTGATATAATAACGGTAATTTAATTTATCGAGTGAAAGTGATACATTTTTATAGATAAAATTATTGGTCAGATAATATTTGTCAATCAAGAATCGCTGATAATACATCCTTCGCTAGAACGCGGGAGGGGAGGGGCGAAGGGATACTTCATTGTTTGCAATTTGCATCTAGTGCACTAAACTTGACCCTTAGGCAGATAATATACGTGTTGTAAAGTACGTGTGCGCTTCCGCTTTCTATTTTTGCAAATATTTATCGTATTCTTGAGAGTTCTTCAATATGTGTGTACCTAATTACTAATAATAGGCATTAATGCTAATTCGATTCAATTTAAGTAATTGTCAATTCTTGTCTTAGGATATTAATTACTAATGCTAATATTGAAATTTCGTTCAGGGTGAACAAATTAAAAACGATCATAGGTACGACCATCTTTTAGGTAGACAACGATCATCTTTTAGGTAGGTATATCACTTATTACTAATTTTACATAAATAATTTATTTTATTATAATTTAACTCACCGCGATTTTGTGATCACATATTTTATTTTCTCCAACATTATTACAGAAATAATGCAATACAGAGTTTGTTCGCGATATGCTAGCCTAAGTCGATTCATCACTTAAAAAAATCCCCATCTATTCACAAAATACCTATTTACAACGCATACGTTACACTCTTCAAAACTTATCATTTCATTTCATATTTCTTAAATTACCTATACCTACCCTAAAATTAAACTTCAATTAACAAATACTACGCAGGTACCAATTCTATGAACAACTATAAACAATTCACCTAAACATTACGAGAAAACAAAAGCATTCAAAATAATACCTAATCTCCCGGCTGATTACTAATTATTAGACTTGCAACGAATAGTATATTCGGCAGTATACCGAATACCGAATATTCGGCGAGGCCCCTGACCGAATAGCCGAATATTAGGCAAAAGTATTCGGCTGGATTTTAGCGCCAAAAACTTGTACAGACGTGAATTAAATTATGTACCTGTTTTATGTACCAATGACTACTTAATAAATGATTATAAAAGAAATAAGAACCTTACCCTTCTAAATTTTGATTACCACAATAATTCAAATACATAAAATCCTCTATTTTTCCAATTCAGAAGATGATTATGTACCTGTGTTATGCACCAATGACTACCTAAATGATTATAACAGAAATGAAAATATGAATATATACGTAATCAATCGATTTTAATTTTTCATTTTACCAATTATTTCTCAATGACAAAATATATTATTTAAGTATTCGGTATTCGGCCGAATAATATGTAGATATTCGGTATTCGGCCGAATATAATAAAAGCAGCCGAATAGGCCGAATACCGAATAGTAACCGAATATTCGTTGCAAGTCTACTAATTATGCAATAAACAATCCTAAATAAAAAAATATTTAAAAAACATGTAGTTTTTTGTAACACTTATGTACATATCCGTAGTAAACTTGCAAATAATATCCTACATATTTTAAAAGCCAGCACAATGTACTGGGTGATCGCTTTTTTGTAACCACCTAAACATGGTCGGGTTACCACGGTCTTGCACCTTCTAATGACTTTTATTTAATTATCTCGTAAATTATTATATGTACTACGCTGAAATTTTACAGGTAGACAACTGAACTAAACAACTAATTATTGGCATAACATTCAGTTTATATATCCACACACAGGTTTATCGGTGGCCAAAAAAGGCCGCACACATTGTGATCGTGAACGTGGAGAGCTACATTTCATCATAACTTTTTAGTCACTTACAGTATTCTTACGAAAATTCGTATACATTTGAAGGTAGTTACAAGCAATAGAATAACGTTTCAAGTAAGTCTTAAGAGGTCTTATTTAAAGTGTTAGGACGTATTTAAGTGTTTTCATACTTATCTAAATAATTTTTAAACGGTCCATTATTTTTGTTATTTTATTGTCGAACAAATTAAAACTAATCCTTAAGAAGTTATGTACAAAAGATGGTTACAATCCGCTTACCCGTTTCAGAGATCCAGCAAACCCACAAACGTTACTCCAGCAGGATTTCGAATAACTTCGCAACCGAAGAAAATACAAATACCAAATAAGTTGTAACATTTACCTAGTCCAGATAACTAATTATTTAGCTAAAATTTATTTCAATATTACAATTAAAAAAGAAAATGTCTGGCTGCGGTAACGTTTCAAACGTTACTCCAGCAGGAAATGTTTTTTTGAAATAACTAAAAAAGTTTAAGTGAAACAAATTTAAAATTGTGCTTAACAATTACAGAAGGGGAGCAACTAATTATCTATAAAGTTTAAATGACCATTTTCGACATTATTTTGCTGGGGTAACGCACACCTCTCGATCTCCCAATACGGCTAGTCACCGCGGGGGATAAAGACTGCAACCCTCCATATTTTAATATTTGTATGCTTAATGTTAGGTCCATAGTTTGTGATATATGGAGGAGGCCTTTGCTCAAATTTGGGTACCCAAAATAGAAACAAGTCAGTAATCACATTATTTTAATTGAAAATTATTATGTGTATACGAAATCCAATTTTTTAATTAACTCATTAACGAACTTTGTTGATTTGATTGTTTATGGTGAATAATTTGATTGTTTATAATATTAAATTATATTGTTTAAAATTTAATCTAGATAAATTTATATTACATACACAAATAAATGACCATAAATTAGTACTGATATCATACTAATTATTATATATTTTATATAATAAATTAATACTAATATGATATCATACTGAATGTCGATTTGTAAGCACATATTAATAGTTATGAATAGACAAATCAATATACATGTAAATAAATAAATAATGATACTCAATATTAATTAATAGTGAATAAATGTTGATATTAATCGTTGTTGCTAAAATTATGCATGTAAAGTTAAATAATGATTGTATGTATTTTAAGTTTTATTTTGCAATGTTATTTTGCGAATAAATGGCTTTATTATTATTATTATTATAATGGACTGGAAAACTGTAAAATAGTGTTTTCTACTCCATTAAGAATGACAATAAGTTTTAAATATACTTCTTATCCTTTTTATTTTATTTGTTTGGCTTTTCTTTATTGTCACAATGCATTGTGGCCTTATAACATGCTAGCCACAACATGAAATTTGGTAATTAGTCTTTGTGATTGGTATCTACCAACCATAGTTTGGTATTATCGTATTATATTTTGTCACATCTTCTCAATTTATCTGAATTTATTTGTTAAATAAATAAATTAACCAGAAACTGCAAACAATAAAAATCTAATTTTTTAACATGTATAAGCATTCTTCTAGGAAATATTTAAAATAGTTACCTCCATACCTGCAGTTTTCTTTAAATTAGACCACATGGTATAAACAATATCAATATCATTCATTTTGTTGCCCATTATAGAATTAGCTTTGACCAACTGACAGGCATCATCCAGGACTGAATTAGGAATGTCATCGATGGTTTGACCCTAGAAATAATAGTTCAAATGACTGAAACATTAAAAATATAATTTACATCATAAAACAGTAATAATTTAAAGATATTTTCTGCCCTTACAAATAACAAAAAATTGAAAGAGCCTTCACCAGAAACCTTGCCTACTCTTGCAGTGGTTTTTCTCGTAGGAGCCCGTATGACAAACGGCTATCCAGGTTTAACATGACCACTCTTTCTAATCGTAGATTCATTTTTGACCTTTGTTTTCTTCATAAATTCATTAATAATAATATACAGTACAATTATTTATTAGAAGAAATATCTGTGAATGTTCCTCACTCTTATCCCAGACATAGAATAGCTAAAATATTCCACTCACAATTTTCAAGAACTAAATTAGGCCAACATTCACCCATAAATAGAGTCCTTAACCAATATAATAGTATCCAAACTAATGATCCAGACATTGACATCTTTCACCAATCGATTAATGAATTTAAAACTAAAATATCAAATGTTTTGTGTCCATCAACCTTAACCCCAAAACAAATGTAAATAAGATATAAAATTGATTTAGAGTAGTATTCATTCAAATAGTTTATTATTATTTAGTATACTTTTCATTACTTTTTTTTTCTTTCCTTATTTGATTGTTATTTTTGATTATTAGTTTACTACTTTTTATACTACTACATTACAGTAAATGCTATGTACACCGTAACGGTCATACATATCAGGTATCATGCCACATATTGTCAAAACTAGTTATAAGTATAATATGTATGATGTGGTAGTACTTATTAATAAATAAATTAGAGGTACCTAGTCCATGGTTAACTTAAAAAAAAACGTAAAAAAAAAACTATACTGAACAATATAACAATTATTTAAAAAGTTAACTACACTACAAAAAGCTTAATAAAAACTCACATCATGTTCAGGAAAAAAAAAGCATAACTATATAAATTAAAGACTTCACATTTATATATATACACATGTTTAGTTCAAATCAATTTTTTCTTATATCCCAAGAAGTTTTGTTAAAAATACACCTTACAGTAATTATAACATTAGCATGAATTGAAATTTTAATTATTTTTTATTATTACTTTGTTCCATCCAATTTGTTTCTCGGATGCTGGTTATTTTTAAGGTTTACATTCAAAGATGAGTGAAATAATTTGTTGCCTCTTATTTTTTCACAATTTTACGTTTTCATAAAAGTTGCTACAAAAGCTAACCTGGGCCAAGCGGAGATATACATGTGCCGAAGACACTTTATCAACGTGAAACCACACATCTTCTGGCCAGCCCCACTTAATTAAGTCTTCATCTATGAACAAAGTTGAAATAATTTCAATAATCGCTCAGTGGTATACAAAATATTGTAGTTTAAGCTAGGTTGGAGAAATGTCAATTTTTTTACATGACAATATTAAAAGGATTTAGAAAGATTATCAAACATTTTTTTATTATTTTCTTACTTTCATGTTTATCCGCACCCATGAAGAGTGTAACAGGTGGAGCAACTACATTACTTGTAAAATAAAATACCATTGTATCTATAATTCTTATGCACTAGAAACCGTATATATTAAAAGTATCTACTAGTGCTATGTGAAAGCGTTTAAAATGAGAAACTAATCGCGACCGCGTCAACTTGACATAGGACTTGTCAAAAAAAGTACTGACAGGTCTCAAGTGTCTCTATCCTAAACATAGACATAAAGAGATATCCTGACAAAAGTGACCACTCTCTAGAAAGAGACAAAGCTTCTTGCGGGCAATACCTAACCCTATTCTGCAATTTTTTATTTATTACGGTAGCATAATATTGAAACAGAAAAATACTTTAAAGTTTTAATTAACTGTGATCAGTTAATTAAAAAAATAATTCAAGTATTTTTCTATTAAGAAATTAGCCAAACTTGTTAGTTTGGGCACTTTTTTAACTTTAAAAAGATAATCTGCAATAATTTCCATAAAATATATACGCTTGATATTTATAACTTTACTTTTTTGTAAACTTACCCAGTGACGTGTACCAATCGGAAAACTAGAAAGAGACAACTACTGGCCTCACATTCGCTTTGCCTCTTTCGTACCTTTCGGTATGTATTCACTCATAGAGCAACACGGTAGGTAGTAACCATACACAGGCTTTCCCCTCTGCAAAAGTATAAGTCCACACGGTCATATGCATACAATAAAACTAGTGGCGCTTGACCGCTCACTAGACTAAATCTAGTTGTGCTGCTGAGTAGACAACAGTAGCCTATCAACAAAAATCTCGAAATGTTCAGATTTTTGCTTTAAAAAGAGGTCTGCCACGTCAAGTTTATAAAAAGATGGCGGTTCTTTTTATATGTAAGTAATGTTTGATCAAATTATTACTATTATCTGATTTTTAAACTTAAAATTTATAAAAATAACAGTGCATTGTTTTGGATTTGTTTACCAACACAGGACCCGCGCTCGCTCTAAAACAACATCCGGCACAGTCAAGCAACTGAACCGAGTTTTGTGTTGCTAATCGCTATCACCGAGTAATAGTGTTGTTACCGGTTTGTACCCTGATATAATTTGTAGGAACATTTTCAGAATATAAACTTAACTACGCATGACGCGTACGTATTTCAATATCTTATATCCAAACAAAACTGAACTATTATTTTAATTGGTAAACCATTACCAGAGACCACAAATTCACTTAACTAGCATGTTAGTTCATTGAATTTTATTTTAACGCGAGTTTAACATTTTTTACGCCGCTAAAGAAGTTTTCACTTCAAAAAGAAAATGAATTTGTGTCAAGTTTTTTTTCTCTTTGCAGTGCTGTTGTCCTGCGTAATTTTCTCCCTTCGTCGGATCTTTCGACACTCACAGTCAGTTATGTTATCTATCCATATTGCGACTCGACCCTGTCCTTGCAATAATTACCTACAGTCGCGCAATACGTAAACACGCGACTGGGCTGCTCGCTTACAATACTCTAATTTTATCTACCTACCTGAGTTTCTTTCTAGTTTAGTGATTGTTAATATTACATTTTTATTAATAAAAAATTCGTTGGGGATGAAAAAGGAAGGGTTCAATAAAAATCATCATCAAAAATCATCCTTACAAATTTCCATACTTACCTTCTCAACCAAAACGCAGGAAACAGCTGACGAGTAATTTTTATATCGTTTTTCATTCCAGCTTATCAACGTCCCCATTACAGCACGGAGCAACTCGACATAACAATTTTTTTGGGAACCCATCCGATATCGAGACGCGGACAACGTTACCCTCTCATCGCGAGTGACAAAACCTACAGCATTCAAAACCTCTAACTATCTACTACAAAATCTTACTTCAAAAGTTAATTATCATGTAAATTTTATTAGGTAGGTTACCAACCATTTATTACTCTCATAATCATTTTATAACGTTATTTCGACTAATTCAATAATATATGTAAGTAGCTAAGTAAATTATGTTCCTTTGTACTTGTACTTTTTTTAATCAAATATTCACATTGCACGCTTACTGTGTACAAAACCATCACACCGTCTGTTCGTTACTGTGTTGGTCGTGGTGGTCGGATCGGATGAAGATAAGGCACAGACTAAAATAGTGTTTGAATACTCCTTTCATTTTGTATTCTTAATCTGTGACAGAGATAGAATATGCCTAAAAAGAGGTGAAAATGAAGACAAGAATGACAGAATATTATAAAAACACTAAAACACTAATTTAAGTAATAACTACCTACTGAAGTAAAGTACCACAGTGAAAATACCTACTGCCATAAAGTGAAATAAAGTTTATTGATTTAGTATTGAAGAAACCAAGCCTAGATTTATAATGGGAAGTCCTGAAAGAGAATTGTGTCCACCGCCGTCCGAGGAAGATGAGTTAACTCTTCCAAGAGCTAGTATTAACAAAATGATAAAGGAATTAGTTCCTTCTGTCCGTGTAGCCTTTGAGTCCCGAGAATTAATTCTAAATTGCTGCACAGAGTTTATTCATCTTTTAAGTTCAGAAGCCAACGAAGTTTGCAATCAAAGCAATAAGAAAACAATTAACGCAGAACATGTACTTACAGGTAAATCTTCAAACAGTAACATCTGTTGCCCTTTCCTGTTAGATCGCAACACAGTAAAAACGCGCAAAAGGTTTTGCATTTGCAGAATATTGCCGAACCCTTTTTTGTTAAGTTAATAAAGTATAATAATAATGTAAACAATATTTTCAGCTTTAGACAGATTAGGATTTAGTGATTATACATTAGAAGCAGAAGCTGTTTTAAAGGACTGTAAGGCTGTTGCTGCAAAAAGGAGAAGGCAGAGCACTAGACTTGAAAATCTTGGTATACCTGAAGAAGAACTATTAAGGCAGCAGCAAGAATTATTTGCTAAGGTATGTATAGAATTAAATTAATACTACCTAGTTGCTTAGCGTTAGTTTTATTATTAATTTGTGATTGAGTTTTAACCATGTTTTACTGTTTCAATAATTGTCACACTTTTTCAAAAGCTTTTTACAAAGTTACTGAAATAACAGCAATTTAAACTATTGTTTTGCTCAGAGCATTCTTCATTATAAATCTCAGCAATCTCATAATAAACTTCTGTGGTGCAACTTCTGGCTTCAATCGCAATTGAGCACTACTGGAAGTTCAATTACAGAAAATGCATTGGTCTAAATTTATTAACAATAATGAACAAGACAAATTGACAGATTATGAATTATGTTCACTAATTTTAGGTTTGTATTTGGAGACTGAATTTGAAAACATACCCGTACAAGTCAATTCAATAGTATTATTTATTTTTTATAAATCGAAATTAAAAAACAGGTGGAATTTATTAGTTTCTTTTTATGATATACTGATTGTTATTATGATACTAGATGGCTCTAAAGTTAACAACAATGTTACAAGTCACCGCACCATGAGGTAGACCTCTGTTACTTTGACATTGAATCTTGATCATATAGAGTTTTTTTGTCTAGGGTCCGTATGTATGTCCAAAATGCTTATGTTAGAATCATAACCTAAATGATAAAAAAATATGTTATATTAAACCTATCCACTTTTATGGTTCATAGATAGGAAATCTTGTAAATTGCTTTATTAGATACTAGCTGACCCACACAACTTCGTCTGCGTCTCACAATAGTAATAAATTTTCTCCATTTTTGAAACATTCTTCATTGGTGCTCCGCTCCTATTGGTCTTAGCGTGATGATATAAAGCCTATAGCCTTCCTCGATAAATGGGCTATCTAGCACTGAAAGAATTTTTCAAATCGGACCAGTAGTTCCTGAGATTAGAGCGTTCAAACAAGCAAACAAACTCTTCAGCTTTATAATATTAGTATAGATTTTGACATGTGGATAAATTAGTCAAAGAAGTTAAATTGATCAGCTAATATATAAATTAATGAACTATTGTAGCACAATATTGGTTTAATTAATTTAATATTGGTTTAATAAACTTAATTTAAAAAAGGAGGAAGTTCTTTTTTAAACATACAGTTTTTTAGTATGTACTGTAATGTTACACAGTAGTTAGTACAGCATATTATAACACAAAACCTTACGAGATCTAAACCTTCCTTATGAATCATGTAAACCACATTAAAATCTGTTCAGTAGTTTTTGAGTTTATCTTGAACAGACAGAACTGTGTCTATTCCCTGCTTGCCAGCCTGCCTACCTACCTACTGATACGGCAGTTGCAATGGCACAACAGTCATGGCAGATGCCTATTACCAAGGATTGCAAACAATGATGGAGAAGCTCGCAATTCAACAACCACGACTGGTCAATCGCTCTTCCTTATTGGTTCTCCAAGACAATGTGCGAGTTCACAATTCACGACAGACTACTCGTATCGTAAAGCTACAAGAGTTAAAACTGGAAGCTCCCCGTCACCCACCATACTCACCGGTCTCTGCCCCAATCAATTTCTACATAAGTCCTAAACTAGCAAGGGTTATAAAAAAAACTCGTTTTACAGGCACGTGAAGAACAAGCGAAACAAGAACAACAGCAGTGGCTATTGTTACAGCAACAAGGTCTAGTGGGTGCTGAAGGTGCTCCACAACCATATGTGCCTCCACCTCCTGGTCCCAGGATGGATGATGAGGAAGATGATGATTACTCATAGATATAAATTAGGTTCAAGTAATTATTTCTACTAAGTTTCCTTTACAACATGAAAGCACCTTATTTGTAAGGTTTACAGATGTTTTATTAAATTTGTTCCTAATCAATATTTTGTACTTTATATCTTCTTGAAATCTTTATTCTATTAAAGTTGTATTCAAAGTCTTAACTAGAAATAGGTAAATTTTAGCTACAGAGTTTAGTTCGCTTTAAACTATCACAAGAGTTGAAGAGGTTTAATTTACAAAACAAAGCAACAACATCGTCAGACTAATAATAGTCTACATCTATAACAGCAGAGCAGGGTGAAAAATTAAAAATGGATACCCATTCAAGTTCCAAAATATTTACTTCATACACAGCCGCTATGAATAAGTGTATAAAATATGGTAACATTTCCAAACAATTGAAAAATATTAAACGATTTTAATGTAAAAGTACATATTGATAAATAAATTAACAACACTGTTTAATGGTATATAGAATAAATAATTATGAAATGACTCATTTCCGAAATGATAATAAAGAAGTTATCCAAAAATGGTTTATTTATTCTAGTAAAATTCCTCATAGTATAGACAGTTACAAGTCTTTCCTGCCTATAAACTAGGTAGCGAGAGCAAGATTGATTTTACATTGACTTCGTTTCTTGTCAAAATACTGGTCACGGAATCTTGCCTTGTCTTGCTTGGAAACTCAAAATGTCTTTATTTCATACAAAATCGTGAAATAGTCTTTTATGTAGACACCAAAGTCATAGATCAACTGTTTTTGTCAAATACTCAGTAAAATGAAAAAAATAAAATTTTACCTATCGAATATACCTATACCTATCGAATATGTATAATATGCCTGTGCCAATAGATGTAAGGCCGGTTTAAAACCAATTTGTTTAAAACGAAAAAACCGTTACGCTTAAAGCTCAAGGTTCAAAGTGCTAAAGTTCTCGGTTAGCTACTACCAATCATAGTGATAGATGATGCTTTGGGGTATAGATGTAAGGCCGGCTTAAAACCAATTAAACCAATCGGTTTAAAACCGATATAAAAAAAATTTTTTAATTAATACGGTTGGTGTGGATGGTTATGTTTTTTTAATTATAATTACATTTTCTTGATTTTACCGAGGTAGGGATATGACTGAGTACCTATAAACTGTGTAAAGATTTTTTATATGTGTGATATACTAATATTGATTTACTTGACGGGTTAAGTTCTAGTTGGTCCGTCCGACCAAGCGTAAGTATTATAGTTAAACCGCCGTAAGCTTGGCCCTCCTGATGGTTTGCGGGACGCGGGGCGGGTGATGCGCTCGGCTATACATGACACGATGTACTAACTCGATATCTTCAGATTTATTTCTTTGAGATTTAATCTACACACGATGTAATAAAAATCGAATTTATTTCCATGTATTATAATGTCAGTGTATTGTAAGTTTTTATGATTAATTGTAAAATTTAATACTGTAAAATAATTTTAATAAAATCACCTTATCTTCATCATGTTAATTATATTCAGATACAATTTAAAAATTAAGTAAAATAATAAATATTCTTTATTAGAACTTTAACAGTAGAACCTCTGTAAGCCGAACTTCAAGTTTTTAAATTTTTTTGTGACGCAGAGTCGGCAGATTATCCATACTGCTAAATAATACCGTGTGTAGCAGTCTTAAGAAAAATAACACGTACAGCCATGCTTTCACATCAGTCACTGCCGGCGGACAGCGACGCTCTAGCTAATTGGTTGAATGCACCACCGCCCCGCGTCCCCCAAACCATCAGGAGGGCCAAGCTTACGGCGGCTTAACTATACCTACCTAAATTATAAAAACCATTGAAAAGTTTTCAATTGTTTTCAACCGATATAAATAATCAATTTGATTCGGTTTAAAACTAAACCCACACTCGCGCACTCTTGCTTGCGTCGTCACTTTTCTATAAACTAATTAAAACGAAACATGACGACAGGTGACCAAAAATTGCCCAAAATGAAGTGTAAAACACAGTTCTTTTATTTTTGTAAGCGAGTTTTCAACCGTTTAAAACGATTTATTTGGGGTTTAAAATGGCAATATTTTATTTAAAACGTTTGAAATCAGTTGTTTTACATCTATACCTGACGTTGTCGGCGCACGAGCACCGAGCAGCGGCGGGGGAGAAGAGGACAGCGGCGCGAGGAAGCGATCCTCGCGGTGCGCTAGAACACTCCGCGCAATACCTTGGACAGCGACGCTCGCCTTACATATGTATTTTGTTGTACATAATACAAGTACTTAGTTTATACAGTCCACTTTATTTCATTTATATACCTAAGTCAAAGAACCTCACGAACATTGGTCCTTCAGTTTTTTAATAAAACCGATTCGGAGAAAACCAGCGATTCACCTACACAGCGGCGTTGGCGACCTTTGAACCCGAGACGGACGTCGAATCGCCTACTTCCACGTTGCTGCTACACTGCGGAGCTGAAGACATCTGACTTGGTGGGACGCTTTGGACAAATAAGTGAGTTCGTTCCAATCAGATTTCCTTTTTTCTTCGTCTAGGCTTCCAATTTACGAATTTTTCGTCATTTTTTTTCTTCACCCCTTTTCACCTCAATTTGGGTTAAATATTTAATTTAACGCTCGGTCTTGCTTGCCATCACGTCTTATTGCGCTTATTTGCATTTGTGTAGGCTTACGCGCTGAGATTAAATTATTATTTTTAGTGATAGGTACCTACCTACACAATGCTAAGATTAAAGTTGATAATTTTAATTTTACATTTTTTAACTTCGTAACATTTCATTGAACGCTCGGTCTTGCTTGCTATCGCATCTTATTGCGCTTATTTGCATTTGCGTAGGCTTAAGCGCTGAGAATAAATTATTATTTCTTGTCTGCATATATGTACTACATAGGCATTACTAGGTACTTACACATTGCTAATATTTAAGCTTCTTATTTTCATTTCTGCATTTTTTTATTATAGTTAAAGCGCATTCTTAATCGTTACTTATTACGATTTGCTTAAAAGGTGTGCATCTTTTTATTTTAACAGTAACTAATGCGTCATATCTAACCGAGCCGTTTCAAGGTCAAGGCCCGCATACCATTGCTTACAAAACCGGTTTTGATTCATTTTATAAACTTTAACTAGCTGTTGCTTTATTATATTCACAATGAGTGAGACTATTGAAACATTAAAAAAACGGCGCGGTGCACTTAAAGCCAAGTTAACCATTTTCAAAAACTATATTTATCCGCTCAGTAGTGCTTCTGGCATGTCCGATTTGCAGCGTCTTGAGCTCGAAGGACGTTATGAACGACTCCAAATCTTATATAGTGACTTTGACGCGTTACAGACGGAGATTGAGGTGCTGTTAGACACGCCCGAGGAGGAATTTAAAAGCCGGTGTGATTTCGAAGAACAGTACCACGCCGCCACAGCCCTAGCCCGGAGCTTACTTTCTACCCATCCTAGTTCTGATGGGTCAGGTAAGGCACACAAAAATGTACGTCTACCAAAAATTGACTTGCCACATTTTGACAGCAGCGTTCAGAGTTGGCTCGAGTTCAAGGACACGTATATTTCCCTAATTCATAACAATAGTTGCAATGATAACATCATGAAATTTCATTATTTGCGATCATGCTTACGCGGTAGTGCAGCTTTAATTATAAAAAATTTAGATTTTACGAGCGAAAACTATATAAATGCTTGGGATGTGCTGTGTCAGCGATATGATAATAATCACCTTCTTATACATAATCATGTACAAGCGTTGTTCAATGTTCAGCCATGTTTAAAAGAGTCTAGTAAAAGCTTACGCTACTTGATAGATGTCACTAATAAAAACATTCGAGCATTAAAAACGTTAAAACAACCGACGGAACATTGGGACACGCTCATTATCTTCATGATGTCGCAAAAACTAGATACCAGCACAAGCCGTTACTGGGAAGAGCATCGTAATACATTATTAAAACCTCCAACTTTAGATCAATTTATTAAATTTATAGAGAATCAGATTAATTTATTAGAAAAATTAGAAGAGAATAGTAAAATCAACCTTAAATCTAAATTAACAGAAAACAGCAGTAATTTACACAAACCTAAAAGTTTTGTAATAGCATCTAATGACAATAAAAATAAATCTGCAAATAAATGTCCATTATGTACTGAAAATCATTTACTTTACAGTTGTGAAACATTCAGGAGCTTGCCAGTCGAAGCACGCATTGAAAAGGCAAAACAGTTCAAAGTTTGCATGAATTGCCTGCGTTTGGGCCACACAGGCAAAATGTGCAGGTTGTCACATTGCAAATATTGCAAAACACGGCACAACACTCTTTTGCACGTAGAACCTGAACGTGGCGCTCATAATCCAATGCCAAACAATGATAATGTTGCCTTTTCAACTAATTTTGAGCATGAAGATTCATCTTCTTTTGTATTCCTTTCCACAGCCTTGGCGAGGGTGCGTGGTGTCAATGGCACAAAGCACACCGCCCGACTCTTACTGGACAACGGAAGTACTGCCAATTTTATTTCACAAGATTTATATAGCAAGCTGGGTTTGTCACAACACGGCACTAGCTCAACAGTTACAGGTATTAACAATCAGACCTCTTATAGTACACAGTCTTGTAATCTCACGCTTGAGTCTTATTACGGTGACTATTCGGTCGACTTAGATTGTCTTATTTTACCCGAGATAACAAAATTGCTGCCATCGCGTTTCATTAACGTCAATAAGGTCCCTCTTCCTTCAGGGGTGCGTCTAGCGGATCCTTCATTCAATATCCCTTCGGCAATAGACATCCTGGTCGGGGCTGAAATATTTTGGAACGTCTTAGGGCGCAATTCTATTAATTTAGGCAAACATCAACCTAAGCTTCATGAAACGAAGTTAGGTTGGATCATTTCTGGGCACATATCATTTTCAAATAACCATTGCCCTACGTCACAAGCTTCGTCTCATTTTTGTAATTCTATAAAAGACGAAGTCGTCACACGAACGTCACATACTGTCTATAATAAGTCAGATTTTCGACCCACTGGGCCTAGTAGGCCCGTGCGTTGTCGAAGCTAAGATCATTATGCAACGGCTTTGGATCGAAAAATATGACTGGGACGATACAATTTCCACAGATATCCATAATCTCTGGTCTTCATTTGCATGTACTTTATCGTGTCTTAATCATCTAAAAATACCTAGATTTGTATCGTGCAGTAACTCAATAAGAAACGAAATTCACATCTTTGCCGATGCTTCGGAGAAAGCATACGGAGCGTGCCTTTATATTCGTTCTATTAATAGCTCAGGTTCCGGTAGCGTACAGTTGTTAGTGTCTAAAAATCGAGTAGCTCCTATTAATCCTACTACAATACCAAGGCTCGAACTATGCGGTGCTTTGGTAGCCACAAGACTGTGTACAAAGGTGCGTGACTCTCTTACGATGCAAATCGACAAAATTTATCTTTGGTCCGATTCCACAATTGTACTTGCGTGGCTATGTACGTCACCCAATCACCTAAAACCATTTGTACGTAATAGAGTCAACGAAATCCAAGAAGGTACTGTTGGTTGCACCTGGGGCTATGTTCCGTCGAAGGACAACCCAGCAGATCTTGTTTCCCGAGGGCTGAGGGCTGATGCTATCAGCAACAGTTCTCTGTGGTGGTCTGGTCCAACATTTTTATTAAAATCGGAAAATGATTGGCCACAAAAGCCCAACAGTCATGTAGAACAAGATCTACCAGACGTAGTTTGTAATGTAGTTAGTAGCGTTAATAATCAGCTTATTACTAATAAAACGCCACCTAGTTCTATAATTAATGAGTTAATTCTTAGATATTCTTATTTTAACCGTTTACAAAGAGTAGTTGCTTATGTACTTAGAGCTATTTACAATTTTAAAAATTCACGTCACAAAAGTACAAGTTTTCTGTCAACACAAGAACTGCAAATATCATTTAATTCTATTATATATAATGCTCAACTTCAAATGTTTCCCGAAGAGTATACCATTTTGCATTTAGGGAAGTCCCTACCGCGTAATAATCGTCTCATTTCCTTATCTCCGTTTATAGACTCTAATAGCACTCTACGTGTTAGCGGTAGGCTTGACAATTCTCCCTATGATTTTAATATAAAGCATCCTATTTTAATTTGTTGTAAGCAACCTATAACAAAATTAATATTCCAATGCGAACATTTGAAGCTTTTTCATGCTGGACCACAGCTTTTATTGACAAATATACGCCAGCGATACTGGCCTATAGGAGGTAGAAATTTATCTAAAGCAATTGTTAGAAATTGCATAAAATGTTTTAGATATAGGGCACAAAATGTACAACCTATTATGGGTCAATTACCTCCGTCTCGCACTGACCTTCAATATCCCTTTCTTAATTGTAGTGTGGACTATGCAGGGCCAATTTTAATCGCTAATCGGAAAGGGCGAGGCTGTAGACTGATTAAGTCATATTTATGCATTTTCGTGTGCCTTGCAGTAAAAGCAGTTCATCTCGAGCTTGTCACAGCATTGACAAAAGAAGCATACATGGCTGCTCTTAGACGGTTTATGTCGCGTCGAGGCAAACCCCGCAGCATCTTGTCCGACAATGGGACAAACTTCGTTGGAGTTTGTAATGAGTTGTGTAGCTTCCTTTCAGGTCCGGACGTTGCTTCGGACATAGCCCAAGAAGGTATAGAATTTAATTTTGCTCCTCCATATTCACCTCACTTTAATGGCATCGCCAAAGCAGCCGTCAAGTCCGCCAAAAGCCACCTCAAAAGAGTTTTAGGTTCTACTCACCTTACGTATGAGGAAATGGCTACTTGTTTGGTCCAAATTGAGGCCATTCTTAATTCTCGTCCTCTCACCGTTGCTTCCTCTGATCCTTTAGATTTTTCCGCTTTGTCACCTGCTCATTTTCTGATTGGCCGTCCACTTACGTCTGTTCCGCACCCACAGGTCACTCCAAATGAGACCATCACGCATCTAGAGCGCTTCCAACGAGTGGAAAACATTAGACATCACTTTTGGCAACGTTTTGCTAATGAATATATTTCTACACTGCAGCAAAGGTCGAAATGGAGCGCTTCTACGGGTACTCTGAAGCCGGGGATGTTGGTGCTGATCAGAGACAAGACGCAGCCACCTCTATTGTGGTCACTTGGTCGGGTCACTAAGGTCTTTCCTGGCAGCGACCGAGTGACAAGGGTGGCCGAGATCCAAACGAAAACGGGCAGCATCACACGAGGGTTCAACTCCATCTGCCCGTTGCCTTTTAATTGAAGTATATTCATATACTTCAACCCGGGCAGTATGTCGGCGCACGAGCACCGAGCAGCGGCGGGGGAGAAGAGGACAGCGGCGCGAGGAAGCGATCCTCGCGGTGCGCTAGAACACTCCGCGCAATACCTTGGACAGCGACGCTCGCCTTACATATGTATTTTGTTGTACATAATACAAGTACTTATTTTATACAGTCCACTTTATTTCATTTATATACCTGAGTCACAGAACCTCACGAACTTAAGGGGTTGAGCCTTATGAGAAGAAAAGGCAAAAAACTCCCGGCCACTCTTTTTCAATTTTCAGATAGATACAATGACGTCATTAAATATACCACAACATTGATTTGATATTTGCCAGTATTCCCTTATTAAGGACTAAACAGTAAAAAGGCAATGAAGAGAAAACAAGATAAAGAAAAAAGATGGAACAGAAATTAAAGTAAATTAAAACATAAAAAATATTAAAAAAAACACTAGCCTACACTACATTTTAAATTTAGAAATTGCCTGTGCTAAAAAAATCCAAGCATTCTTGTCTTCTATGTAATTCTCGATCAAAATAATCGATTGTGTAAGTTTAATGTAATTTGAGTCAATTACATACACACTAATGACGATTGGGGCATGACATAAAGCAGTGGGAGGCTCACAAAGTTCCAAAAAAACTTATTATTATAATATTTTGTGCCTTTAATTGTCACATTTTATAAAAAATAAAATATTTCTAATCGTCGCGTCTGCGTTATTCTTGCAATGGAGATGGTGGCGCGGGACCGGGAGAGGTTTAGACCTCTCCCGCCCGGCCAGGCTCGGGAACGGGCGGTCGCAGATTTAAAATATTCTTTAAAATTTATAGTCAGATTTTTGACTAGTATGAGAGGATCATCAAGCTGAATCGTCTGTATAAAATCTAACACGCTCAAGTACCTATTTCGAAATGGCGATTTTTCGAATTTGCAGATTGCAATTTGAATAAGTAATTTGCTACGAGCTTTTGTCACTTTAAAATCATCAGACCTTTCAATGGGAGCATTTTTGGCGTCCAAATAACGTATCCCCAAAATATTTGATGATTACGTTTTTGAAAACCTGAAGTAGCTTTTCCCACCGCTGAAAGTGGAAACAATATATAACTTATTGTTAACGTACCAGTAGCTGGGGAACCAGGTATACCCTAGAAAAGAAAGCCCTGGTACCCCGACGTACCTCGGGCCATCTACGGCTTATAGATTACCTACCTTCCTATGTGGGAACCCGGATGTTCCCTTCCTGCCCCTGAAGGGCGTGCGCGCTCCGTAGCGTGCCGCGCCGCCATCCACCCCGGCCTGCTTCTGCTAGAGTGACAGATGGCCTCACCTGTCACGCTTAGACCTGCGTTTATGGAGGACGCAGGTCATTCTGCGATCTCCGGCGCCTGAGGCGTCTGCGGTACCTGGCCTGGTTTCGGGCCAGGAGGCCAGGAGAGTCCTGAACCTCTCCCGGTCCCGCTTCGCCATCTCCTTCGCTAGCATAACTTGCCCGCAGAAGGAGACGGCGGCGTTCATGGGCTCCCCTACTATAGTATAGTTTTGTATAGTGATTTTTACATACCTAATATTAACCTTTACACCACATAGATACCTATGACATCATTAATATATAAATTAGTTGCGAGTCATCTGCAAATGTGTTTTGCTTTCGCCACGCCTGCTCGACACCAAGTAGGCATGAAGAATATCAGCATGACGGCAATCCAAATGGGTGAAATCCATGTGAGCTTTCATTACTAACTGCCCAAAAAAAGCGTCATTCTGTAATTAATGGCCATCTAGTAAAAGGCAGGCCTCGATAATGGCCAACTTTGGCCAACAGGAGGACCCACTTTCAAAGAACACGTCCTTAGGAACCGCATTAAATTAATCACGCTGCCAATTTAACCTTTAATTATAGCAATTTTTCATAAGTTTATCATTTCCAGTACCATCACCTATTTATACCCTATTTGTTTTACTCTGACCGCCTAAAATAGGTAACGCATCTGGAACTCAGAGGGTGACATCGGATAGTGTCTTATACTGGTTACCGTTGACGGAGGTGGCATGCGTGTTAGTCGAGACTTACCCGTGGGATCTAAGGATCGACGAAGTAATATCGGAAGACACAATTTTGAGTCGGCCGCTTGCCGAGCCACATTGTAACTTTAGTGAGTCTAAATTGCCATCAGCGCCTATCACTATCACTAAAGAAACTAAGAAAAGTGTACCCCTTTTATTCCGACTGATGTAGGTTTTTTCCGGGCACTGCTGCTGCGGTGGGTACCTTTCTGCTTGTTCGCGTGTTCAAACATCAAGATGTTTGAGTTATCAAGGATGACCACAACATCTATAATGGAAGATATTCAAACTTTTATCTCAGTGATGATCCACGTCCTAAAAATTACTAATAGTAAGTAGATAAAACCTATTTTAGTCTATGCAAATTACTCACCAATCAGTCAAAACAATGATGATGTTTGGTTTGTTTATAAACATAATGTTGTACCTTTTTACAACATTATGTTAACTTCAAAATGAGTAGTGCTTATAACAGTAAATATAAAAGACCTAAACAGAAGACTACAAAGACTACAAATCCAGGATCATCAGTATGCTTATTAATATAGTGACTATAGAGTAACCATTCGGTATCTGTGAGCGAAAGTAGCATAGTACTTTGATATTCATTTTATGTTTATCAAAAGAATGCCATCACCTCATACCTAGAGCGCCATAGTAGGACGTCTGTGCTATGCCTTCTAAGACCAAACCACAGCCCATTCGACGACCATCAATTAAAAGTTTAATGGCGCGGGTTATGTGATTCCTGGCACGGGGAGCGTGGCCTAACGGCTACGAGCGGTGCGACGGGATTGCCGTCGGAGTTTTCGCGCTGAACAGAGCGACCGACGGTGGTCAATGCCGCACACCGGTAAGCGGACATGGTTGCTTCGATGAGTACCTGAATCGGATCGAATGCGAACAGATGCCATAATGCCAGCACTGCGCAGCCGACTGGGACTCCGCGTCTTTTAGGGCATCTGGTTGTGTTATTGTCCCTGAGGTTATGTATCTAATACTTTCCGTAATAACTATGTCATCTGGCTGATACGAGCTAAGCAGCTGATGAATCCGCAGCGTAATACCCATGGGAGAGTATGTCGGCCGACCCGGCTGATTAGCCTTTGATCCGTCGCCTTACTAGGCGACGACAAAGAGACAGTAATGAAACACTACATGTGGAAGAAGGGGTTTATTAAACAGTTCAGCTTCTATTTATACTAAAATTCATACGTAAAAATGGTTACATCCCACCAGTGGCTCCGTCGAAGGCGCACGAAATGTTTCGCCTAATCACGAAGCTAATGTTTTTAAAGCTCCAAAATATCTTCGGCCAAACACGTAGTTACTTTCGGTTCAAGGCTTCAGGCTTTGACCAATCACGTAGCTTATCCAAGGTAAGTCCGCGTCTCCCCGTGGCCGATAATTTCCGACGCAAACTCGCTCTTTCAGCTCTGTTGACCATTTTCGTTAAAGCCACGTGTGACAACGAACATTTGTGACGACAAAGATGTGTGACAGCGTTGGTGTATGGAAGAATCTTGATCAGCGTCATATATTGTTTCTTAACAGAAAGTCTAATTTGATAGTTCTTGTCAGGGCTTTACTGTTTCTTTTCAAACAATAAGTCTTGCGTTATACGCGCCTTCGTACAGTAGTTGTTGTAGTTTGTTCGCGTGTTTACGTTTACGTACGTACGTTGCGATTGCGTGGACGCCACAGTCTGAACACAAGGTCCTGGTCGACCAAATCCCCCGACCAGTCTCCACTAGCAGCCATTACTGCAATGCTGGTGCTGGGGCACAGTAGTATTTTACTGTAGCTATAATGCTCCAGAAAGAGACCGCTGAACGGCTTCGGGAGAGGGGCGATCCCGAGCGAAGAAGACGTCGACGGCGGTATGAGCCGCCGACGAGAACGTGGGCCGCCAGAGAGTGGGGACCTCTGGTAGCCGATTGATTGCTGCGGTGAAGGACATGTTGGTGGCCTGATTGCACCAAAATTTAATAGAGCGCAAAGATTTGTTAATGGGTCTCGGGCTTCCTTCGGGATAGAGCCTGGTTTGGTGCGGCGTCAATCCGAGGGGAATCTGAAATCACATGGTGCGGGTCTTCCCCAGAGTAGGACGCCTGAGGCCGGCCGTTGGGGTGGTTTTTAGTAGAACAGAACATATTCCTGGGTCCTGAATTCCCAAGGATCCGGATATCCGAAGGGATTTTCCACTGTGTTACAAAAAAAGGCCTTTGTGCTAATTTGCACCCTTCTTTTGTCGCACATCATAGCTGAGAAAGGCAGGTTTGCTTTCTTCTTTGATGTTCCAGATATCTTTAATCTGACATATAATTCTATTTGGCATAACATGTAGTGCAGATATATTGTTACATATTTATTGTTGTTTTTACAGAGACCAAGTAACGAAAGTTCTGTTCATGGAAAACAGACACGTGAGCCCTTATGTCCTCTGCTAGCCAAAGACTCAGAATGGGTAGATAATACATTGCAGCCACTGACGGAATCTCCTCGTACTAGTGATGGTTCAATTGAGGAGGAAGTATTACAACTCGTAAATTTATTTATACAATCAATTATTTTTGTGCTTCCTAATGTTCAAGTTACACGATGTTGGTTTGGCTTATTAAAATGGTCGTTTGTGACTCTTTGCGTAGATCGTATCATCAAAGGGTTCTGTAATTGAAACCGGGGAAAGTTTAAGCCGCTTTTGTCCAGGAAAATTTAAATGGGTATAGTAATTTTCTTTTTACGATTATTTTTCTACCCAGTTTTATTAGCACAGAAAAAACTGTGGAGGTACGATTTGCGCATCAAGAAGTTTATAGATTAATGCATTTTAAATGAAACCTTTTATTTAGCTCCGATCACTCCAACGGTTGAGTGAATTGTCCGGGTGGAAATGAATTTATACCGATAACTAATGTAATTCAAAAATCATTTTTTTATGACGATAGGTTAAGTAGTAAAATCGTAACAAAAGAACTTATTTGCCCGTTTATAATACTTCTTAGTAAGGCTTAGGAAGTTACGATTAAGGAAAAAAGGGAGTAAGCCATTTCCTATAGGTGTATATTAGATCTTTTACGAATAAACAAATACTATCTAATAGTTTTATTAATTATGAACCTACCAACAGTTCTGTTTTTTACTGATGTGTTAATATTATGTATTTTAAATTTATAAGGTGGTACGCAAAAGCAGGCTTGGAACATTTTTTTTATCTATTGATGCATTTAATAAGAAGAATGAACGATTTTAAATTTAAAGCTCAAGGTTCAAACCGCTAAAGTTTTCGGTTAGCTACGACCAATCCTAGTGGTAGATGATAGTTTGGGGTATAGATGTAAGGCCGGTTTAAAACCAATTAAACCAATCGGTTTAAAACCGAAATAAATATTGATTTCTATAAACTAATTAAAACGAAACATGACATCAGGTGACCAAAAATTGCCCACAATGAAGTGTAAAACAGTTCTTTTATTATTGTAGGCGAGTTTTCAACCGTTTAAAACGATTTATTTTGGTTTTAACGGCAACATTTTATTTAAATCGGTTGTTTTACATCTATAGTTTGGGAGAAAAGTTAGCTATCTATAAATTATTGAGCCTTATTTGTTATATCGAACCAATTTTTTTATGGAGAAAGTGTGCGTAGGAATGTTATTTAGGCCTTTGGAGATAATTTTGAATGACCTGTCTATTTTTAATTTGATTGATTATGATCCGAGGTAAATAATTACATAATTTACTGTCACAGAAAGTTGTTAGTTATTATATTAGAAAGTACCTACGGATCATATACCATATCTCTAAAGGAAAAGTCAAGCCGCAACAGCCATTAACTTTATGCGTTTAGGTGGACTGCGAAGATGGGCCCCAAATGAAACCATTGGCCATTATGTTTCCTGATTTGCTTAAAAAAGATCCGCAAACATTACAAGGCGTTCTAAATAGGGTAATGTCGACTACAGAAGTAACGCGACATCTCGTAGATCTTGGTCAAAAAGCAAACTTTACATTTATGAAGAAAGCCGATCGCTTGATTCCACCAGATAAGGTAAATATTTAAGTAAGTATAATACATTCTGACGACTTGAACGTGCGCCAATCTCTGGCCTTGTGATCGGGTAACTGCTTATACAAGTTGGTATTCTTCCATACATTTCTAAACAGTCTACGAAGACTGCAAATTTCAGAACAAAATGCACCAGAGCTACCTCCTTCAATCCCCAAAGTTTTCCTATTTTCCGGGTCGAAGTTCAGTTCCCCACAACTTTTTCGGGAGAACATAAGCTGTAAATAGCAATTCATCTAGTTGTAGCCTCCACTATCGTGCCACACAGTCGAGAGTAAACGTTAATCACAGCTGATATCCTGGATTAACAAATAGGCTACTTTTTATCACAAAAAAAATTATGTTCCTTTTGTACTTTTAGTCAAAACAATCTGAAAGCTGAATTTGATCTAAGTAGTCTTTGTTTTACAGCAATGGATGGAAAGCTTGCCTGAGAACAGTAGTTCTTATTATTCGGTTAACTCTGCGGTGGTTAGTAACAGTAAGTCATTTATTTTCATGTATACATAATAATAATAATAACAACTTCACACCTAGCCCTCTGATCCCAAACTAGGCAGAGCCTGTGCTATGGTAACCAGACTGCTGATAAACATACGTATATATTTCTAAATACATACATATTTTAGATAAATTACACCCAGACACAAAACATCATCACATCATCGTGCATAACATCGTGCTCATTACACAATTATTTGTCCATGGTGGGAATCGAATCCACGACCTCCGAATGAGCAGGCAGGGTCACTAAACACTAGACCAACAGGCCCTTCACATAGAAGTATTAAGTAGGTACAGGTGTGTAATCTGGCTGGTTTTTCAATGGGATAATTCGGGTAAAAGTATTAGTTTAAAAAGAAATACCTCGAAGAATGGTATTGTGGCAAGTTATTGAAAAAAATCGATTTATGCGAAAAAACCGGTGTATTGGAAAAAAACAGGGTTCTTTTTATTATTGAAAAACAAAACATAGTAGATTGTAGTCTGAAAATTCTCAGCCTGTACTATATGTGATTTTATTGATTTTTTTTTTTAAATATCTCTAAAAATTAATACCCTTAAAATTTGATAGATGTCTCAAGTGAGTATGAAGCAGGCTGTGAAATAACGGAAACTGTGAAACGTAAGATATTAACGAAAAAGAAGTTAAATTCTGGAAATGTTAATGAACAACAACAGGAATCCAGCTCCCGGAATGTAAAAGAAAAAGATTGTAATGAGGTAAGCGATTATTACTCTTAGGTACTTATGCCCGCTTTCCGTAGAATTGTTATTGGGTGTTTATCTATTCGTCAGTGCTATTGGTACATAAAATAATAAATGCACTTCTGCACACCGCAACAGAAGATAAACTCCGTTTAAACTCAATTAAACCCATTGTTTATGAGTTTTAAGCTAAAATGTTCCGTCTAGTGCCAACAACTTTTGCTAATGTTTATAGGCAGTATAGTTATTGAGCGGTCCATTGTGTATTCAGGAACGCAATGACAATTAACTAAAGGTTATCTAATTCATATCTTTAATAAAGCAGGAATTGGGTAGGTATTATTGTTTTTTTTTTATAGGGCAAAGCAACTCAAGGTTGCTTAATCTGTTGATTTGTTATAACTTCGTTTTAAATTAAGGAATATTTTTTTAACCTAAAAAATATAAAAAAATTAAAACTGATTAAATAAGAAGATATCGTAATTTAAAAATTCCACACAATAATTAAAATATGTACAAATATCAGTACATCTCAGGACCTCCTAATATATTAAATAAGACAAAAACACTTGAGGAAAAGGATAAAAGTAATACATATAATCAATCATATCGTTACGGTTTTATTTTTGGCCCAAAAATTTTTTGTGCTATATCAATAATGTGGCTAGGTTTATGAATGTACTACAAATATAAAATGAATCTATGATATTATTAAGCACGAGTGCCAAATCGCTATATCTCTAATAGGTAAATTATGCACGTTATGTGCATAATTTACCTAACATTGTTGACAGCTGCTAAGATAATATACATTTCACTTGTGTGGCTATTATTGCTGTATTTTAACATTCTATGAATTTACTTTCAGAAATCAAATCCTTAATGACTTGCCATGAGATGACGAAACAAAACGGTTTCTGCTTAATATTTTATGTTTTAATTGTACATTTACCTAATTAAGATCCAAAAATAAATCTGTTATGATTCTTTCTGTCTTATCTGAAATCATTTCTTGCGCGAAATCACTTCACATATAGTATCTACACTTCATTTTTAGACAATCTTATAAAACGAAAGGGATTATATAAATTTTAATTTTATAAGCGTCATATATCTGAGGCACAGCGATTTATAACAATATTTCAGCTGCGTAGATTTCATTATTGTTGCATTACTTTACATATGAATAAACTTACGACTACGAACACATGAGCAAATTATATGATTCATAGAGAAAACATTTCGTATTGACTTATAATATAATTATAATTAAAATCTTGAATAGTATTTCTATAACAGGCTTGTTGTCTTCTTGGGCTGTAGGAACAAAACACTTACAGCCTCCCAATGATACCCAGCTCTGGTATTACCTACTGGTACTGATGTAACACAATCTCTCATTTCAAGTAATCCGTCTATGTTCTTTAGTTTTAATACTTAATTAAGAGGTATTTTTCCTAATATGCACCAAGTAAACTTACAGTCGTGTATTATACGGCAAATTTCTCAAAAGTTTTTAAGTGATTCAATTTCTTCCCTACACATTTACAATACCTAATTAATTTAATTTTATTATATGTCATGAATTTAATGCGAGACCCGGCATCATCAGTTTCTTCATCAAAGATCATAATTTGAAATCGTCAAGTTTAGGTACCTATATGACATAAATAGTTTTAATATATTTTGTTTAATACTTTTATTAAATTCTTGAAGTTTATAGCCTTACTCATAAAAAGTAACATCTTAAGCTTTCAGCTATTTTACGGTATTTTAACAGTTGCAGGTAGTAAAAAAATACGCTATGTGTTCCGAGTATAGGTTAATATGCTGAATGGACACGATTTGCCGATGCGGTAAATTTACATGTCACTGTTTAAATGATTACTATACGACTTACGAGTATTAATCATAGGTAGGTATGATGAGTAAGTGCGGCCTTATTAACATTCTTAGTATTTAACCATATTTTTAGTGCACCCAAAAGCTACAACTTTTTTATTCATAATCAGCAAAATAAATTGCAGCAATACCTATGAATTTGCTCCAAAACATACATTTTTTTTTACGATTATTATGGCGAAATCACCACTTTTTGGTATTGTAGCACTAGCAGTCACTATCTGTAACTCTGACTTTTTTAAATCAAAATTTAAAGAGGGTATTTCAAGTTTATTATACGTTTATAAATTGTTTTTACTTTTCCTACATTGCAATTAGGTTATTTTCCTTGATGAAAAACAGGGATGGGTATCAATGGGCAAGTTGCTATGTAACAGGTTAGATTAAATAGGGCTTCTTTGTTTCTATAATAGTTATCCAATATACATTTTACAGATGTAAAATGAACAGCCATATTTCATGTTACTATAATATTATCATTCGTTCCAGCTCCACTGTTTGGTATAAGTGTAAGATAATTAAGTAACTATTTTCAGATGGAGGTAAGTATGCACTTCATAATGTGAAAAGGTACACAAATGATGTGATTACTCTAAATATTTGTTGAAAATTGATAAATTTACAAAAAATATTTATCAATATCGTCTACAAAATTAAAAAGGTACACCTAAGTATATGTTTCTCTATTAAAATATTTAAACTACAACTAAGTATAGAATTTTTCTTTCATGGAACATGTCCCTTCATGACTGCTTAGAAATGATTGTTTAGTAGATAGTGTCTGAATGTTTTAGTTAATTCCCCTGCACGGTACTTATAGAATTATAGCATTAAAACTAGCGTTGACGACATTCGCTAGTACATTAATATCTAAGTATAAAACCTATTTACATTTTAAACAATCTTTTCATCAAAATCACTACACCTAATTAAAACAATAGAGTCAAAGTTATATTAGAATTGCATGTATCTTAAATGCAAGGTATTAAAGATATACGCTTAGTTATTGGGGCTGGTTTTACGTTAGGTATCGATATTTATGAAAAGGTTAAGTTGGTTTGTGTACATAACTCAAAAAGTTCTGCACCGATTGAACACGATACACAAATCGCTTCAAAGATGGTGTTCATCTATTTTTCGCGTCAGTTTTGTTCCCAATTTCTTATCAATGCTACCACAATGTGCCACAGCGAAGCTAGTGATAAAAGTAGTTTTCGGGTGTATAAACGTGGTATTCTATGTTGTGAATGCATAGTAAATATAATGTCACCTTATACCTTAGCAGTAGTGGATAAGACTATAACATTCATTTTAATTTTTCAAGTCATTTTAATAGATTCGTCTTTCATCATTCGTGCGTTTTCGAACGTTAACACTGATTCATAATATCCTAATCATCACAATACAGTTTTTAAAAACGTAGATTATCATTTATTTCTATGCTATAATGTCTTGATGACGTCTAAAGGACTGTTTAAGAGCATTTTCGTTTGTACACAAATTGCACTTATATTTACAATACTAGGTTACTATTTTACAATACATAAATAAGTTTTTGTAATATTAATATATTAAGTGGATCCTTGTTATCCATTTTTAATGTCGAATTTTTAAATAAATATCAATGTAAAATGCATAAATATTAACGCTCTAATATAATCGGTCCCTGGTTTCGATTATCGGATTCCTGTCTAATGAAATTGCTATGTATAAGGACTTATTAGTGGGGCTGAATGTGAACGTGTTAATACCCCTTCTGAGATTAAAGGACGTGACTATACTTTAAATGCGATTACGACCAATATATGCGATACCATTATGATCCAGATATCATAAAATATTGTAAACGCGTTGCCAGGGATACAGCTAATATCAGAAAAATTCGAATTATAGAAAAAACACATTTACGCGAGCGAAGCCGCAGCAATAGCTAGTTTATCAAATGAAAATAAGACTATAGCTTTATTTTAAAATTTGTCTATGTTATACTAATGTGTACAAAGACTTGAGTGGTAATAGGAGGGGAGCCCTAGAAGGGATTTTGGGATTTACTCGAGCGTGTCAGATTAAGATAGGAGGAATATCTTACACCAAGTTGAGTACCTCCACCATACATGAACTACACATAGGGGGGAGCGTCTAGGTCAGCCTATCAAATTAGTAAAAAAAATAATTTTTCGAGCATTGTTAGTCACATTTTATAAAAATAAAGAAAACAAAATACTTCAAATCGTCAGATTTTAAATACCATGCAAAATTATCGTCAGATTTTTGGTCATTATGATAGGACCATCAAGCTGAACCGTCTGTATAAAATGTAACACGCTCGGGTATTCCGAAATCGCGATTTTTCGAATTTGCAGTTTGCATTTTCGATAATTCGCTACGGGCTTTTGTCACTTTAAAATCTCCAGACCTTTCAGTGGGAACGTTTTTGGGGTCCAAATAATATATCCTTAAAATATCTAATGCGCCCGGTAAGCTTTTTTCGTATTCTTTCCCTTACATTTTTGAAAAACTTCTACAAGTTTTCATGCGTCGTGACGACTTATTGCTTTCAAATGCAATAAGTCTTCATGACGCTCGAGTAAATCCACATTTAGTATTATTGGCTCCCCTACTAATAAGCACTTGTTTGGTGCAGTATCTTTGTAAAGGCAATCTCGACTCTCAATAGCCGGTTCTGTACAAATGCATACAAATATAACTACACTATAACACAACCATGAAAACCGTGAATGTTACTTTTTGTATCATAATCTTAGCCTTCCTAGGCTATACGATTGAGGCTATATCTTAACAAATATCTTTTCGCTTTAAAAAAATCTTATTAACAATGAGGCTCGGGTCTAACAATTAAATATAGCAATCAGTATTATAAACTCTCCTACTATATACACACAATAAAACCTTCATCTGAATATCAAATCCAAAGTAACGTTAATACTAAAAATTACAATAACACTATATCAATTATTGCATTGTTAAGTTTACAACATCATCTTTTATACGTAGTGTATACTAGGAGTCACAGTCGATGCCAGCGATGAAGCCCTGTCTCGATATATATACACTAGAAGACTCGGATCAGTACGGAACAAGCGAGCGAGTCGGCTCGGATTTGGTGAAAATGATGCCGCCGATAAGCGCCAGCGCCGCAGCGGCGACGATGCGTCACGCGCGGGGCCGCGCTGCCGCGCTGGCGCCGCGCGCGCACACGCACCGTCATTGCGTCGGCTTCAGCGCCGCCATCTTGCGCCCGCGCGCCCGCGCCTCCTGCCTCGATGTCGTATATTCAAACCACAAAACGTTCGGTATTAGTGTTGTGTCCCTTATCATTAGCATTTCACACAGTTTCCTGAAAATAAACATCTTTTTGTTTTTACTGCATCATTTATAACTAACATATATCTACGTATAACCATTTCTAGCGACCGTGTCAACAAGTGATAAGCTTGCGTGATTGAGAAATTTTAAAGTCATATCTCTTCAATTAATATACCAACTAGACACCCATTACACTAGCACAAATAGTACGTGTATTAGAAGTGTAATTTAATTGAATTCTCATACTTACAAGGAAACAAGTTGAGGAAATAGTGGAGTGAATACTCTATGTACTATGATAAACCATAGTGTGGCAAAAATGAACCCAACCACACCTCCGACAACCACTTGCGAAGATGTGTGATAGTGAAGGTAAACTCTTCCGATGCTGACAAGCACGGCTAGGAACAGACAGCTACCAACAATAATTACTCTCCATAAGGCAGATATTATACTATTGTTATTTATATGGTGTAACCTGAAATCAGAAGAATAATATGAATTAATAGACTGTTAATAAATAATGACAGTAACTGAAAGAACAAATCAGCCACCAATAATTAAAATTTTTGTTTATAGGCTTCGTCTTCGTTTTTCGTCCGTTTTAAATGTAAGCAAAATGAAAACTATGCTGTAGAAGAACAATAACGATGGAATCGATAAGCTTAATATTTTTATGATAACTTTAACGTATATTTTATGGTCCTTTACTCTCTTTTAATTAAATATCCACTGTCTTTTTCACTCTCTCTAACGTCTTATACAACATGGGCTGAAACTGGTGGTTTCGGTCTGCAGTCAGTGGACTACTGGGAATCATTTTCAAAAGAGTAACAAAAACCACTAGTGACCATGCAACTGCAGTTTTAGGTTTGAGGTTCCTTATATTCCAAAACTATCTAGACCATTATAGACCAAAGTCAGACTTTATATATACTAGTATTCTGAAGCTGAAGAGTTATTTATTATCTGCTTGTTTGGTTGAATACACTGATCTCAGGAACTACTGGTTCGAATTCTTTTAGCATTGGATAGCCAAATACAGCCAAGCATCAATGAAAAATGTTGCGAAAACTGACAATTTTTTATCCTTTTCAGAGACACAATGATGTTGCGCGTGTCAGCTGGTTATAAAATATAAGGACATGTATATGACGTTACAAAAATATTTAGTGAATTAAAGTTTGCTTTAAATGACTATGTTCACCTTGAAAATTTAACTAGTTCCAATTTATAAATGTTTGTTACATAATATTGAAAACTACTGTTCTGTGTAAACATGTCTACTCAACAACTCACTACAATGGTGTAAATTTAATATTCAGAAAGCATTATTATTCATTTTGAATATCCAGTCAGCTCAAGCCAATACAGATCATGTAATAGAAATGCGTAAAGATTAACTGCAGGTAATCAATAATGCTTTTGGTAGTTTTGTGAGCCCGTTCTAGGGCCTGGCGGGCCTAAGGAGTTCTAAGCCTCTCCCTGTCCCGCCATCTCCCTTGTAAGCATAACTTGCTTGCAGAAGGAGATGGTAGAGTTCCATACACTCCCACTCCATACATTGACATACGACTGCGAAAGCTACAGCTTTCGCTATTTAAAAGCAAAGCAATTTTAATTTTATATTCATAATTAACATCCAATTTTTACTTTTGTTACCTTGTTCCAAACATTATGTAAATTTTCAAATCTATAGGTGAGGGTAAACACAGAAATTTAAGATTTCTCCATCTATTTCATTATTTTTGATACAGAATGTGTTCATAGAATTTATCACAAATATTCACATTGCATATTGTATCTATATAACTGGAAAGTGTTCTTACCTGATTAAGACAAAATATAGTACATATATACTAAAAAACCAGATAAATTGTGAATGTGATGATGGCATTCCATATTCATTGTATAAGTTCCCTCTGGATAGAGGTCTAGCCTCACATACTATATGTTTCAATGTTATGTTAAGAGCTTCATTCACCAAGGTACCAGTGAAAAAAGCTATCTGAAAACACATGTTACACTTATACATTCAAACCCAATTCACAAAGACTTATAAATAATAAGGGTAGTAACATTTAAAAAAAAACAAATGTGCAAATATAAGGTTTATTACTAAATTGTGTTTCTATAATGGGGTAGATGACTGACAAGTCAAATCAGTGTCTTTTTAATAAATGTCAAAAGTATTGATGTTATACATTTTTGTATAAAATACTATTGTGTGATGTCATACCTATCTATTTACAGATTGTATATGTACTATATTATTATTTGTAATATACTTCATTAAATACATAGTAATATTATAATTAACTGTTATTATTTAGCACATCATTTGGAATTTTCTCTCTCAGTATGATAACATGACAGCTTACTGCCCATGAAAATCACTAGATGTTAGCAGAATACTAGCGCTACATGTCAAGTACATGGAAACATCATCTTTATGAACACAAAATAAATGTTTCTCTGCATATTCTTATTATTGAATCATTTTCTTTTATTTATTTATTTATTATAACTTATCTCTCTACCGCATTATAGAAATCTTAAAGTTTTAGGTTATTCAAAATCAATAACAAAAAACACGAACTTCAGTTTACTTATATAAACTTTAGGACATTACTTACAGTGTGAAGATCTCGCCGAAATAAAATGAGAGCAACAAAACCAGCCCCGATTCCAAATGGGGATAAGCTTATAAAAGCAAAAAACTTTCCCAGCCAATCTCCTGTAAGCAAAATCAAACGTTTCCAGAGCTTCCAAATACATTTTTACATTACCAATTACTTGATAAGTAAGGCAAGTTATCTTACCTTTTGGATACTCAACTAAAGTAAGGGCAAGTGGTTGCCATTCGATATTACCGTTATTAAGTAGAAATTCACTCACTGGTAAAGAGTTATCTTCCATTATTACTTTATCTATTATGACCCTGTAATATCTAACACTAGCTCAACGAAAGCCATACATATATAATATGATACATGTACGTTATTTAATTATACAACTCACTAACTCACAACAAGTAATACAAATCAACAGTACACGAAACAAGTTTTTTGACAATCAGTAGATCCTGAACAATCAATCAAATATTTGACATTAGCACAATTCGCAGTATTACCAGTGTTCAACATTTTAAATACTCTATTCCATTTTGTCAGTGTAGATAACAGTTCTGAAATACATATATATGTAGTCGTGTCGCAAAAAGGTCAGCGTTAAAGACATTAAAGAGTGACAAATTAACAGTGTCACTCTAGCGAAGCGTCGTGTTGATGGTAGCGGGTCGGCCATCTAATGACTGCAGCGCACCTCGTCTGCGACGAATCGCTGTTTATCTTAGGAACAGTCTTAGTGATTTCGAACCAAACGGAGCATAGATGAGTTCAGATGAAGTCAGCGCCTAATAAAGGCGCGGAAATGCGCCTTTATATATAAGTGAAGAATGGGAGAAACGCTTAAATCAATGAAGGAAATATGTAAATAAAGGCAATTTGAAATAAAATCAGTTTATAAACATAAACAAGAAAGTTAATGTCGATTTTTCTTAAGCATTTATTAAAAAGCGAGCCCATCCAAGTGACCAACATCTATGTTATTCCCAGTTAGCATCAGAATTATTTCCCACTTTTTAGTTCGGCTAGCTACAAAAGCCTGTTCTTTTAGTTTTTTTTAACTATTATTTATTTTTCCTTTTAAGTTATTAATGATAATTTGGACTAAAAAAGTAACAAGTGGGTAAGCACATGCCTTAGTATGTGGCAAAAGAAATAACCGTATTTTAAGGTATTGAAAAAGCCGTTAATACTGAAGGTCCTGATCAGGATAGTAGGACAAAGTATTTAAATTATTGCATTGTCATCGGTCCTTGATAAGGATGAAAATTTTCAACTTAATTCAACGTTTGGAAGGTGGTCAAAATCATGCTTGAAGATTCCGTTACATACATACATAGATTCCACCTAGTTCGGCCTGACTTCTGTCAAGGGGGAAGCTCTATATCTCATTGTTACTTCTGGCACCGTGTGCCTTCTGTCACGACGTCCCCACTTGAGGGCTCCAAGGAGGGTGGAAGGACAAGGAGATGAACAACTAACCAGATTAAGTTAAAACTAACAATAAAAAAATAAAAAAATCAACCAAGCCGGCACCAAGGGTGAAGAACCCAACTGCCAGGCTAGAACACCAACCGGCAGCCCCTCGGGTGAATAACCCGAGTGCGAAGCCAACTAACCTAAGCCTTATCGGGTGAACAACCAGACCGTAGCGCCATCCACGACTCCGGCGACACCTCTGGTGCATGACCAGAGTAAGGCGCCGGTGTCGACCATCGACCTCTCTTCTTTGAGGGCAGCAATGTTCATACCTGCTGGGCCTAATCAGGATGAATCCGGATGGAGCCTGGTATGGACAAAGAAGAGGACGCCGACAAGTCTAAACCAGTCTAAACAGACCCGAAATGTCTGCATGTCTGCACGGCGTCTGACCTCGGGTGGTAGTAAGCGGCTTGAGGCTGCTGAAGGACCCGCAAAGGCCCACGATACCATAGCCAAGCGCTACTAGACTAGACTTTTGTCTTCGCCTTGGGCGAAGACAAAAGTCTAGCCAGAAATATACGCTACCTGCTAAGACGTCGGCAGCTGCCATAGGGGTACTGTCTATATACTATCAAGCAGTGTCACCCGCAAACGCAGGACGAGCAAAACACGGAGGGAAACTCCCCAAGGCAGTGGCAAGCGGTGGAAATCGCTGTCAAATACCAGCTCCGTCAGCTACTCCGACGCGTTAAAGGCAAATGACCTTTGCGTCGCGGTGGTTGGAAACCTGTGGATAAAAAGTGGTTTTAAGTTACGGCCACACACGGCATAAGTTCTTCGCTGGGATGTGATGGGCTTTTTTGAATATGAAAAGTTGTCGCATATTAATATGGAATTAAAAAGGGTCATGCCATGGCCTCCCACAGCTGGGGCTGTCACTGTCTTCGTGCCCCCAGGCTCGGAGACGACGATAGCCAAGCTGATGGAGATTGCAAAGGCCAACATCAGACACTGGGTGACCTCGGCATCAAAGGCGGGCTCCGTACCAGGGCCCTGATTTTAAAGGTCCCCGGCAAAGGTAGCGCCGCTTTGGTGGACAAGCTGGCAGCACGCTTGCGGGAAGTATTGTCCGGCACAGACGCAATTATTGCGTGTCTGTGTAGAACAGGTGATGGCGTCCTCGATTCGGGTGATGGACTCCATCACCCAAATCGAGGACGCCAAGGCTATAGCAACGGCGGGGGAATGTTCTATTTCCGAAGTCAAAGTCGCGAACATCCGTGTTTCCCCGTCGCGGCTAGGCACGGCCTGGGTCCGCTGTCCGCTTGCGGCGGTTCGCAAAGTTGCTAACGCCAAACGGGTGTAGGTGGGCTGGGTTTCGGCCAGGGTAGAGGCACTAGTAGCACGTCCGTTGCAGTGCTACCGGTGCCTCGAAATGGGGCACGCACGTGCCCCAACGAGACACACCGTAGCGCTCGGTCCTACGCGTGCGGTGGCACAGGCCACGTGGCACGCACATGCACCGCAAAAACGCCGAGGTGCCCGGTCTGCTCAGACCTTGGTCGCCCCGCGGACCTCCGGTTGGGGAGCAAGAAGTGCTCCCCGCCTAAGAAAAAGAAAAGGGGGCTGCAGATCGCCCCCACCCCAGCCTTGGCGAGTACTAACACCGGTCAGAATCCGCCAGCCGCAAGAGCGCCACAGCCGGAAACCCATCCGGCAGGAGGAGGTTCGCCGCCTCTAATCAGCGCTGCGCTGGCTCAATCCGGAGAAGTCAATATGACTATCAGTACAATGATTGCCGAATCCACAGCCCACATGTCGACAATCTCGTGGGTCCAATTCAAATACTTTACTTTTCTTTTTAAGCTTTCAAGAGATTGTCATGTGGAATGATAATGTCAACAATCATTGATCGGCTCCCTATCGGTCTACGATTATATCAGGTTTATTCGCAACAATAGTCGTCCCTCCCTACTAACTTCGCGACTTAGAGTCATTCTGGAAAAGCTCTGGAAACAGAGCGGGAATGGTTTCATTGCTGATTCCAGAGCATTTCCAGAGTATGTTTGTTACATTTGCCCATCGCGACTGTAATACATCCTGATACCAAAATTATCCAAAATGAATGTATATTGAAACCATGGTGAATACATTTTGAAAACAGAGTGTTTCTTAAGTGATTACATAATGCGGCGTTACCCCAGCAAAATAATGTCGAAAATGGTCATTTAAACGTTATAGATTATTAGTTGCCCCCCTTCTGAAATTGTTTGGCACATTTTAAATTTTGTTTCACTTAATTTTTTTTAGTTATTTCAAAAAAACATTTCCTACTGGGGTAACGTTTGAAACGTTACCTACCGCAGCCAGACATTTTCTTTTTTTATTGGAATATGGAAAAAAAATGTTAGCTAAATAAGTATTGAAGTGTTTTCATACTTAATTAAATAATTTTAAAACGGTCTATTATTTTTGATTTTTTTTTTATTGTTAAACAAATTAAAACTAATCCTTAAGAAGTTTTGTTCAAAAGATGGTTATAATCCGTTTACCCATTTCAGAGATCCAGCAAACCAAGCAGGATCTTGAATAACTTCGCAGCCGAAGAAAATACAAATATCAAATAAGTTGTAACATTTACCTCGTCCAGATAACTAATTATTTGTGTGCGTTACCCCAGCAAAATAATGTCGAAAATGGTCATTTAAACGTTATAGATAATTAGTTGCTCCCCTTCTGTAATTGTTAAGCACATTTTTAAATTTGTTTCACTTAAACTTTTTTAGTTATTTCAAAAAAACATTTCCTGCTGGGGTAACGTTTGAAACGTTACCGCAGCCAGACATTTTCTTTTTTTAATGTAATATTGAAATAAATTTTAGCTAAATAATTAGTTATCTGGACTAGGTAAATGTTACAACTTATTTGGTATTTGTATTTTCTTCGGCTGCGAAGTTATTCGAAATCCTGCTGGAGTAACGTTTGTGGGTTTGCTGGATCTCTGAAACGGGTTAGCGGATTGTAACCATCTTTTGTACATAACTTCTTAAGGATTAGTTTTAATTTGTTCGACAATAAAATAACAAAAATAATGGACCGTTTAAAAATTATTTAGGTAAGTATGAAAACACTTCAATACGTCCTAACACTTTAAATAAGACCTCTAAAGACTTACTTGAAAGGTTATTCTATTGCTTGTAACTACCTTCAAATGTATACGAATTTTCGTAGGAATACTGTAAGTGACTAAAAAGTTATGATGAAATGTAGCTCTCCACGTTCACGATCACAATGTGTGCGGCCTTTTTTGGCCACCTATAAACCTGTGTGTGGATATATAAACTGAATGTTATGCCAATAATTAGTTGTTTAGTTCAGTTGTCTACCTGTAGAATTTCAGCGTCGTACATATAATAATTTACGAGATAATTAAATAAAAGTCATTAGAAGGTGCAAGTCCGTGGTAATCCGACCATGTTTAGGTGGTTACAAAAAAGCGATCACCCAGTACATTGCGCTGTCTTTTAAAATGTTTAGTGTAATACACCTTACGATTTCGGTACAGTTGCGTACAGTGTTAAATACATTCAATATTTATTCATTATTATTACCTATTATTTATTTTGTTTTTTTCCCTAATTGATCTTAAGCACTAGTTTCTTTACTTAAAATTTATTTAGTCTTTTTTACTACCGGAGCTACAATCAACAGAAAATCTGCACTGGTCCGCTAAAATTATAAATATGTAGATACATGTATGAACGATTCACCTGACTGCAATAAAACGAAAATTTAAACCAATAAGAAATCGTTTCATTTCTTTGATTTTTTTTTGTAAAGAAATAACACTAAAGTAATTGTATTTTATTT